TTAGACTCTACGGCTAACTTTCTAATAAGGTTTTACATGCAATGTATCCCAAAGTGTGGTCGAAGAATGGTCATTGGAAACAGAGAAGACTCAACAATCATTGACCTAACACCTACCGGAACAGACCCCTTGATGAGCGATGAGACCCTCGTTCGACTCTACGGCCAACTTTCCAACAAGGGTTTGCATGCAATGTACCCCAAAGTGTGGTCCAAGAATGTACATTGGAAGAGTGGCTATCAGCATCTGAAACACGAAAGGCCTAGGCATGACAAGACGATCCAAGAGAAGGAGGGGCTAAAATGGTGCGTTTTGCCCGAGAAGGCTTTCCGGTGCTCTATGGTTTCAGCCATGCCTGGGTGGACTCGGATCGTCCTTAGCATCGTTCGAAGGAGGAGCAATGCCCCCAGTTACGGTCTTGAAGGAATGAGACAACGAGCTACTGCCGCGGCTCGTGCGTGGATGAAGCTATATCCACAGCCCAGTCATTGTGTCATTGAGTCTTGGGTATAGGATCAGTTGTGTTTTGGCTGTGTTATTTCCGTTGGGTTGCGCAGAAGTCTACCCCCACCCCCCTTCTTCGAGCCCTTGAGCAAGCTATATCCACAGCCCTCGCTCCTCGTGGTTAACGCAAGATCGAACGTATCCAGCCGCTTGTCTCCGGTCGATGCCAGTTTTTCTGAGGGTCTCCGTCTCCTCGAGGCTGCCAATCAAGTTGTCCAGTTTCTTATTGTTGGCATCGACGACTTCACTACCGATGTACACAAGACGGCTGTGGCTGTGGCTGTACCAGAGGAAGATCATCGCCACTGTCAGTCAGTGAGTCGGGACAGACGCGGAAGCTGGATCGGTACTCGGTTTATTTCAGAAATCGTTCACCAGCGTCGGCTAATTGATACGATCCAGCCCTGTTGCGGCTCGTGGCTGAAGCTGTATGCACAGCCCTCACTCCTTGTGGTCAACGCAAGATCAAACGTGTGCAGCAGCTTGTTTCTGGTCGATGCTAGTTTCTCTGAGGGTCTCGGTCTCGGTCTCCTCGAGGCTGCTAACCAAGTACCGGTACTATTGTCCAGCTTCTTGTTGTTGGCATCGACGGCTTCACTGCTGAGGCCGAAGCTCTCCGGCTTCGACAGGGTGCCGATGAACCTGACGATGTATGGGGCCGACGTGTCCATGCATGGGTGAAGGAACACGCCTCTTCTCGGGCGCCAGCTCCCATCTTCGGCTTGGGGCTGGACTGGCCAGCCAAACGGATCCCTCTGCCAGCAGGCACGCAGGCGAGCATTGCCGTCTTCCTGGTCGAAGTGCCACGGCAGCGCAGCTAGGTGCCCGGACTAGTTAAGCCTTTCATCAAGCACAACCTAAAGTCCGTGGCCCCCCTCGGAAGTATCAACACTTTCCTGGCGGACATCTGGTCGCTTCCCGAGGAAAACCTCAACCCCGGCTTTGAACCCCGCCCGACATCAGGCAAACTGCCTGCCACGACAGTCAGAATGTGGTATGAACCCCGCGAAAAGACAGCTGTCACTGAGTGTGACGCCATCACGGCCCTCAACGCCGGTGCGGATAGCTCCTCCAAATCTTGTGACCGTGGGCCAACGTCGGTCGGATGACAGGCTGACTCTCGCTCCCCTAAGAACGCAGAGAATCTCAAGGGCGCTGACCTCGCACGTACGGCGGACACAGAAAACCGCTTTAGATTATCCTCCCCTAAAGATGATAAATAAAGTATAGTAAGAATAAATAAAGAAATGCTAAAGCTTTAGCTTTATTTTTATACATCTTTAGCTGATTATCGTACTCGAGAGAAAGGAGGTAATTGACCCTCTTGATGTTCTAGTGTCTAGTTTTTCTTTTGACCTGCCCGGGAGGAGAAATCGGAGCCAAATTGGCTCAATGGGACTCTCTCAATCGGGTAGCCTGATCATCGACCATCCGTTGCTCTTCGACGGCACCAGCGATCAAGGTAACCGTACGATGCTCGTCATCGTGGGAGAGTCTGGGTTTTTGAAGAGAGGTGTACTCTGGTGTTGAGTGCGAGATGGATCCACACCAGTCAATCAAACATACTTCAGACAGGACGGAGCGCTAATTTAAAAGAGGATTAAGTAAATTAAATTAAGATAAAAAGAGATAATACTCTTAGTATTTCTTATAAAATATTTAATAAATTTATAATATTTTTATTAAAATCCTTAGAGGAGTTTTATCTTATAAGCTCCTTCGTTCTGGCGTTCTGTATAGCGTGCCTGTTGAACAGCAGCTGCCAGCTCACGTGATATTCTAACAGAGCTGTCGGCCGCCCCACAACCTGCCCGTCTGCGTTCTCCGCTTTGCTCTCAAGTGCTCTCACCCTAACCTCCCCTACCTCTTCCACCTCTCCCAGGTGTCATCGTCTGACAATCTGAACCAGATTGCCTAATATGTATGTCTTGGCAACCCCGATTTGACGATGACTGAAGCCGCAAAGGCAACGTAAGTTATCGCAGCTGCAATCTGACCTGAAATAATAACATGCTGACCAGTCACCAGGGCGATAAGCACCATGATGCTATCCGGACTTGATTCGACCATCTCAATGGATCGTTGCGCAGGCCACGCCAATCCTCACATCTCAACTCACTGGCCTTAGCAAGAACGATGGCAAACCCGCTACTGTGCTGATCATGTCTCTTTGCAAAGCGCAGACAATTCAGTACCAACGTCAGATCCGAATGCTTGTCAGTGGTGGCGCCCTCTCTCCCGATCGCGTCAAAACCAAGACTCGCGATGAAGCTCAAGGTGATGAAGCCGACTTCGCCTTTGTCGACTAAACCGCTGTTTCTCATTCTGGGTTTACCACTGAGCCGTTCCGCGGGACCCTTGCTACGACTCGTGCTCGCGGCTTTACCATCCTGCTTCTCAACCGCGGTCTCTTTGTCGGCTGGGAGACTCGAGATGCATCGCGCAAACGTGCTAACGAGATCTTCCGCCTTTACGACTACTTCGCGGCCAACAACCTTGTGGTTCGAGTGCCATGCTGTTTGTATTGTCAGACACATGAGCATGATACCATCACCTGCCCAAATGAGAAGCCAACATCAGGAGAATGCGCTCGCGCGACTTGTGACAACGCCGAAGGTCATACTGCCGGGACTTGCCCCACCCACCCGTCTTTGCCGAAACTGTTCTACGACAGGACATGGTGCGAACGAGTGCCCTCTTGATCTGATCTGCACCCGATGTGGAGAGGGCCATTTCTTCTTGAAGTGTTCCACCGCCGGTCTTCTTGCAGACTATGCAACGCCGAAGGTCATACTCAGTGGAGATGCCCAAGCCTGCGCCCCGAGGAACCCCAGGCTTCGTGGGAGGACCAGCGAGGGACATAAAACACGAGACTCAGGGAGGTGAGGGCACAGCCAATTCAGTCTCGTGTATTTTGTCCCCCGCTAGGAGGAGAACGGGGACACTCAGCGAACTTGCCACTCCTGCAACGAGGTTGGACATAAGGTCAAGGATTGCCCCACGAAGAGATCGGTGACCTGCCGCGAGTGTGGTGAGTAGGGGCACGAGAGAAGAGGTTGCGAGCAGCGCACCTGTAACAAGTGTGGAGGGAAAGGACACAATGCTGTTGATTGCAATATCGAACTTTGCAACCGCTGCTTTGAAATTGGCCACCTGAGCCTCGGCTATAGCAAGCCTCGTTCGAGATGCGTAAAAATCTGGATCCTTAACCGGCCCCAATGCCAACGCTTGCCCTACTCGTCTTTGCCGAAACTGCACCGAGTCGGGACATAGTGCTAACGAGTGTCCTCACGAGCTGATGATATACTCCCGATGTGGACCGCTACCAACACCAGCCGTATCGACATCGAGCCAAGCAACCTCCAGCCAGCTGTTGCAATTCTATTCTCTTCCCAACCCCTCAGGCAATCAATAGACGCGACTGTGCTGCTCTCGGAGTAACGTTGAGGAAAGCCTCCGCCAACAGATCGAGAAGGCTCAGGCGAAAGAGAATAACGACGACTAGGTAAACCGCCTCAAGTCTGAGCAGCCCGACAGGATCCGCGACGCCTATATCCAACAGGCAGGTGAGGTTTTGTACGACCTGATTTCGGAACCGACTGAGGAGATCGCCAGACAGTTCCCCACGCTCTCGGCCAAGTCGTTGTGCGCGCTCACTATCGATGTACACAATCTCGTCTTCTTGAAGAAGCAATTCCCAGACCTCGATATTCAGCTGATATTCGTGGTTCCGAGTTTGTTCCCAGATTTGGAGAGCGCGTTCCCCAAGTTGGACAACGGCATCCGATATGGCCATTTCCATCTTGAAGACGTCGTCATTGCCGTCCAGAGCAACAGCGCTCAAGGTAGCCTTGCCGCCAAAGATCCGGTTGCACTGCTGGATCACATCAATCAGTCGAAAGCTCATAATGTCGCTCGCTGGTGAACAACATTTGCAACGGACCAAGCACCGATCTAACTTCCGCGTCTGTCCCGACTTACTGACTGACAGTGGCGTTGATCTCTACAAATGCTTGTTAATGTGTATCATAATTTAAGAGTAGAAAGATAAAGAATTTACATAAACTCAGCACTTCATATCATAATTCTAGGCTCATTTTAGAGCTTTATTAGATATTTTGATTGAGTATCCTAACCATACACTCATCATAAGACAACCCAGTCTTACTGCTGCAAGCGCCGAACCTGGTGTGATCCCGGGCTTCACGGAGTCTTGTCTTCAAGAGACGATATTGATAGTAGCGGTACACCTGAAGAATGTAACCTTCGCGTCCACATCGGGAGTATATCAACTCGTGAGGACACTCGTTATCCGCAACACGTTCGCCGGCGTGGCAGGCTCGGACCACGCTGCTCACGATTCTGGAGGTCTGGTTGGCGGTGAGGGTATTCGCGGGCATCTTGCGGCACTTGAAACCGACTGTCGGGAAGAAAGAACACCTGTCTCCGACCTCTGGCAGTAGGTCTGCGTTGTGGTCATCGACGGGTATCACTGCCTAGTACTGGGTAAGGAAACCGTCGGCTCTCATACCGTATACGTCTAGGTCATCAGGCATCGGGGACCAGGCGGAGAAAATATCGTTGACGAATATAGTTTGCATGAGGGTGCCGATCAGTTCCAAGGCGTTCTGATCTACCATCTGTTGTTCCTCAGCGGCTCCAGCTATCAGGGTAACGGTTCTGTGCTCGGCCGAGCGGAAGACAGTGGCTGCGGGCACTGGCCTCTTTGGACGAAACTCCTCCTCAACGGCGCCCAAGTTATTGTACGTCAAATCCGTATAGTTGGTACGCACATTGGTGAGGAAGTGTGCGAACGGTGGAGGCAGGTTGCGAATCCTGGGCAGCATGCCTTGCCAATGCTTCGCGAAGGAAGATTCCACGAAGAACCAACAGGTCAGGGCAAACTTCGGAGCAGAGTGCAAGCGGGCCATGACCTCGGTCACGATTTCCTGCGCAACCGGAGGGCGATCTCCAAAGTCTTGAAGAAGGCCGCGTTGGGGACCTCGAAGATGTGGGAGAAGTCTACTTCCATGCGGAAGTAATTGACTGTCGAGCGTCACCATATCGAGGGGAGCCACCGGGTCCGAAAGGCCAGCGTCCTTAAGCTTCTCTGCGTACTTATTATCTCGTGAGTATTGAGATAAAACGTCTAAGTCCTTAGGAGTGGAGGTTCTCAGGGGAGCAAGAGTTAACCTATTATCTGACCGACATTGGCCCATGGTTATATCGCTGAGCAAGGCCGCCACCGGAACGTGCAGGCTCAGGAAAACATATAGGTCATTGTTGTGTCGGATGGAAAACTCGAAGTGGATGTTGGGTTGGGCGGACTGTCCGGCCGTTACATAGACGCCGACGTGTAGCCCACCACCGACGTCCATTCCGAGTCGGGGAATAGTCGACGCGCTGTAACCGGGCAGGATCTCGTCATCCACGGTGACCAACGTAAAAAAAGTAGTGGTCGTAGCGAGTCGCATGTTGAAGACTTGGTCTGGTCTTCGCGAGTGGTAAGCTCGCCCTTGGCGTCGGCCGCCAAACCAGTGCCTTCTGCATCCTGGAATGGGGCTTCCTTGAACACCGCTCGTCCAGATATAGATAGCGAGCGACGATGGTTGTTCGTGGTGATATCCTGAGCGAGGGCGGCGAAGGTCATTAAGAGAATTACCTAACTCTTTATAAATATCAGTAATTAATTTATAAAGAAAGATCATAAAATAATATAATAAGAAGAAGATTGTTGTACCTTTTTATTATAATTTATACTCGTCCTCGTGTCTCGTTTTTGTCTTGACCTATGTGCCAGGCTGGAAGCGTCATTTCGGGAACAGGGCTAGCCAGGCGAGGAGAGGGCACCGTCTCAGCGCATGGGTGAAAAAGCGAGCAAGAGGATCCAACTTGGCATTCAACTTAGCTCGGCCACGGATGATGTTCGACGTCGCGTTGATGTGGGAGGGCTAAGCGAACGTTCCGACGTGGCGATGCTCTGGGCTCTGGACGGGGCTAGCAGATCGCTCTGATGCAGGAACAGGGCTAGGGGAAGGCTCTGGCATCCTGGGGTAGAGACAGGGTTGTCGGAGTGATCAAGGTCGGCCAAAGTAACCCGAGAAACGATTGTACGAGGAAGGCCTATGGCAATACCGTTGGTCGTGATGCTCAACGAGTGCGGTCTACCCCTTCTTCGAGCCCTTGACCAAGCTCAGCGAGTGCGGATGGGCGCGACCGGGCGTAGGGAAGAAGCTTAGACAAATCCATTTCCTCGAAGGTGAATAGAGGAGCTAAGGCAGCTTCATCTGTAGAGTCGATGGACTGAAATGCCGCCGAGTATATATAGGTAGTGTTGAGGGGAATAATGACATCGAGAAAAGCGTCATAATAAGTACCATGTTGAACGAGGAACTGGAGATGCATGGACGGCTGGAAGAATTCACCAGCGGTGATCTGTAGTCGAACTTTGAGACCGCGGCCAGATCCTAGGCCGATCCGTATGACCGTGTTGGCGTCAAAACCAGGGAGAAGCTTGCCATTGGTATATAGTAAAACGTGAAACCAGCCGGTTGTCTGCTGCTTCATGCGAAACGAAAGAGTTTGAGTTTGAGCATGATCTTGATCTTGATCTTCGGCTTCAACTTTAACCTCGCATTCGTGGACTGCCCCTTAGGTTGATATGGATGTGTCGCCAGTGATGATCTATGCCTTTGGGCCAAAGAAGGCGATGGGGATAAACGCCGTTATCTCTCGCATAGTGGCTGCCTCGCCGACGAGCACAAGGTCGGTGGAAGCAGCAACTGGTGTGGTGACGACTGTACCATCGAAGGTCCGGTGAAAATCTGCGTATACGTCTTTGAGACAAGCCTTCAAGTAAGACTTGCCTGTGTCGTCAAGTTCTGCGCCAGCGATAGCTTTCTGGACCAGCTCGTCAAGGGCAGCGTATTGTGCCATGTTCGTCTTGAAGTACTCGACTGCAACAGAGTGAAGCGACATTGCGACATTGCGACGCTTGGCGGACCGGTAGGCAACAGAGGCGGTATCGATACCAAGAGCAATGCCAGTCAGAGCATATGCTGCGAGAAATTTCGATTCGATACCAACGCTATTGGCATGTAAGAGAGCCTCTTCGGCACCTTCTCGATCAAACGTTGCTGGGCGATCTTGCTGCTCTGTGGAGTTTGTCTTCTTCAGGCCGGCCTTGACTTCGCCTAGCATTGGGTAGAGACGCATCACGCCAGGCGCATTGGTGATACAAAGGTCGGCATAGGTATCCAGCAGCCGAGAGGTGAATTCTTCAACAGCGGCATTGTTGTTGAGAAGGTCAAGGGACCACCCGTGATCGCGTGCTTGGTTAGCGAGCGGGACGTCGTGGGTGAGTTTATATAAATCACAAGAAGTGACAATGATGCCGTCAACGGTAAGGGGGGGAGTAGTGGTATATATAGCTCTCCTGGCCGACTTGACATTGCCTTTGTGATTGCTGTGCCAGGTGTTGACGATCGTTGAAGACTCCTCGAGACAGGACAGGCAGTTTGTCCTGCAGGATCGACCAAGTGAAGTAAAGAGCGGGTTCAAAGTGATCTTCCCAGCTCCGAGCTGGTACTCCAAGGTCATGTATGGAGGTTTCTGTGCGATGTCGCTAATGATGGTCTATACCTTCGGGCCATCAGATCGATGTCCCCCTTCGGGGAGCTCAGCTTGAGGCTTCTCACCGGCGCGATCACCCTCTGAAAGGGAAGAAGTGGGTGCGAAACTGCCGAGCAGAGGGTAGGCCTCTAGGGCCGCATCTTGGTCGCAAGGTGTCCTGTTATCAGGCTCGAATGAAAGATTCGTGAAGTATATATGCAGGTGGTGGTGTAGGAACGAGAGATGATCTGGCCGCGCTTGTCATCGCCCGAAGGGCGAGTGCTTTTGAAAAGAGGTTCGTCGCATGGTGAGTCGACTTGCCCTAACGCAGAACGAGTAAATTGAGGGCGAAGGGGAAAGGTGAGAAGGTGAGCGGTGGCGGAGAGCTTCGTGGTTATATACGAAGAGAGAGAAATCGGGGAGGCGCCTGAGGAGACAAATTGTTTGTTTTCGCGTGGTGGTTTGGTGAGGGGAGAAGAGTTGTGCGTTGATGATGTTTAGGATGGGGTGACGCGTCTACACACAACCGGCAAAGAACAATAGAAAACGAGACGGGAAAAGTAAAACGTCTGGGAAACGGGTAGATTTGTGCGGCATCGTAAAGAAAAGCTGAGCAGGCATATGCAAACTGTTTGACAGATGTTTGAACAGCAACACAAGAATGGAGAGTGTGCGAAGGCGCGTTGTGGGGTTGTACCCAGCCAATCATCTTACATGGACGCTCCGTTGTTCTATGAGCAACTCTTGTCTCGAGGTCATGAGGATTCTGAGACGTGCAGGTAACCGCGCAGGAGGAGTAAAAAGAGAGACGCAAGCATATGCAAATTGTCCCTCAGTCTTCACGCCGTCTCCCTGAAGGACAAGCGAGTGGTCCCGCAACACGTACACAGAGGATTATTACCTAAACTTAGGGATCTTTATGTAAATATTCTTCTTAAGTTAAGGACACAATTAACTCAACCTTCTCTTATGTTTACTTAATCTTATGATTAGTAACACCAGTCGGCACCGTTCGTTCGCGATGTCCTTGGTTACCGATATCGGCGACTTGACAGCCCCAACGATGATTGCGTCGGTCGCATCACCGTTTGCTCAACCGGCACGAGTGAACAGATCCAAGGCGCGGCACCACCATCCGCACGACTACAAAACGCACTCACGCTTTCTAGCTAAGGCAGCTTCTTCCTTCACACATCCGCCCAACGCAGTTCGCGACAGACTACCAGTACCTTCTGTACAATGGCGCCGCCGCCAACTGATGAGTGGCACGCCATCGAAAACCTCAAATCCCAAGAGCTCAACGCATTCATCATCCGTCCCATATATCGCATATCGCATATCGTATACCACCTATCGCATATTGCGCATCCCACACCTCGCGCGAAGCACGAACCAGCTTGCTTTCATCCGACTACATAGCATCTGACGATGGCCGAGCCCAAGTGCAACGTGAGTTATCGCAGCTGTAACCTATCGTTTCAATATACTGACCAGTCACCAGGGCGACGAGCATCCTCCTGATGCCGTCCAGACACAACTCATCACGATCACCGATACCGGAGGCATCACAACGGCCGATTTCGAAGGCAACGTGAGTTATCGCAGCTGTAACCTATCGTTTCAATATACTGACCAGTCGCCAGGCGGACGAGCATCATAACGCCGTCCAGACTTTATTCGATCGCACTAGGCAACGAACTTCATTGGACCAAGGCTCTTTATGGTCTCTTGAAGGTCAATGATGTTGCGATTAGCACACCTATGCAGAAGTCGATGGAGTTGCTCACTCGCCCATGGAAGGAATCGCTGGATGTTTCCTTCGAATTCTTCGGAAGCCCCGACGACTTTGGATCCACTCACCTCAAGCTATCTGCTCGCGGATTTGAGGGGTTTGGTGACGAACAAGTCGGAAGCATCACGATCTGGTCCAAGCACATGACCGAGAACAAAGTTGAAGAAGAGAAGCAGACGAAGTCAGTCCTCGGATGCTTCTGCAATGGGACCTAGGCGGCACCCGAAACAGTCATTCGCGTGACTATCAAGTGCACTGCTGCTCAACTTGCCGTTCACCCTGGCTCTTTCAGCAAGCTGCTCGTGAAGGGCCAAGATGGTCTACGCATGCACGCACAGCTGCAGTCTCTTCGAAAGACTATGGACATTGACTCTGAGCAACACGGGGGACTTTACTTTCCGTCGCGAATCTTGGAAGACATCAACGCAACGTCGACCATCATCCGTGGCCGAGCTCAGTTGGATGCGAAGTTAGATCCTCTTGCTCGCTTTTTTACCCATGCACCTGTGGCCAAGACCCTTACCATGGGACAACTCCCCGCTCCTGGAGAGGATGGGTTTCCGGACACTGAAGTCGCCGCTCGAGTTTTACACTTTGCGACTGACTCCCAGTATCTGCTCTACAACGTCGCTGGAGCGTACTACGATGAACATCTGCAATGGCAGGCCCTGCAAGAACTCGCTATTCAGAAACGCCAAGGGCAGTCAGGGGACCGACAGGCATGCGGAAGAGGGCCATCGCCGCCCTCAAGTCAGAGAAGATGTCAGCCTTCTTGGTTTCGCTTCCTCACACGGCCCGCGACCGATCTTTCATTTGCTTGATCGATCCTGCAGGACATGAAGTTAGCCTCCCCCAGACCGGCGAATCTTGCAAGATGTTCATGAGCAGCGCCGCCAAGCCAATCTCGAAGGGTGAGCTAACGGATTTTGGTCATCGCCTGGCAAACATCGTCACCCAGTGCCTTACAGAACGTGACCGTCTCAGCTACGTCAACAAGGAAGCTGACCTTATCTTCTGTCGCCAGATGTCGCCAGATGTCGCAAGATGAGCTGAACGAGGTTGTTCCCAACTCCACTGAAAGCAATCAACCCGACAGAGCGAAGTGGCTCGAGCGCGTGGTGGGATGGGCGTTTGAGCATGAAGACCTCTTCGTCAAAGCCTACGAGCTTGCCAAGGCTGAGCCCAGCGATGGTACTTGAGACAGGACGGATCGCCAATTTAGAAGAGGATTTGGAGAAAATAAATAAAGGATTAGATAAAATTGAGATAAAAAGAAACAATACTCTCAAAGTTTTATGTAAAGTGTGTAATGAATTTATGATATTTTATTCAAATCCCAACCGATCGAGCCTTCCCAACATGATTGCCTTTCGGCATGCATCCATTGTCATCAAACTTTTTCGTCAATTTGCGGCCCATCAGCTAACATAAATAGGCATCATGTCCGACTACGTTCATTACCTCCGCACCCTTCCGACTCCTTCTCCTCTGCAGACCTTCGCGAGTTCCTTCGGAAAAGCAGCAGATCAAGACCGAGACCGAGATCCCGTCCTCAACAGAACTTCGTCAGCCAATCGTGGCAATCGGCAGATCATCGACGAAGCAGGAGTCTCCCCGTGGACTTTGAGGATAACATCCAATCATGGTCGAACCCTCGCCCGAACCATCTCCAACTCAACGCCCCTTACCACCAAGCCTCGAAGAGCAGCGGGACTATTACCTTGGCTTACCCAGCTGTCCAAAACTGGTCGCACGAAGCAGCACTACTCCATGGTCATCACAATATGACGGCTGGCCGATCCCCAAATGCCTCTATGTGGTTGGCGAGCATGCGATCGTGGAGCTCTGGAACGACGCGGATAGCTCCCTGCGAAGACAGATACTGCAGGTTGTCGATAAGGTTCATTGGACCGCTGTTGATGTGCTCCGAGTTGGATATGCCCGTGATAATGAATGGACTGGAGAAAAGTTTAGCCGTCCAGTGACTATCTTGATTTCTGTCAAGACGGGCTTGACCTTTGAGCAAGGCTATGATGTCGTCGTCGCCTGTAGCCGAATCTTACAGAGTCACAATCTCGATGATGTCCAGGTTGAGATGAAAGAGTCGGAAGTCACTCAGGCCGCATCGACACCGCCTCCAGCACCGCTACCAACACCAGCCGTATCGACATCGAGCCAAGCAACCTCCAGCCGGTTATTGCAATTCTCTTCCCAACCCCTCAGGCAACCAATAGACGCGAATGTGCTGCTCTCGGAGTATCTTGGATTATCGATAGCCCCATCCGATAACCCGAGACACGAAGGCACCAAGTGCCTTTACCTACAATGCGGCGCAAAAGTCTTTGCACTGACATGCCGACATGTTGTTTTCACGAACCTACACCCCAATACTAAGTATCAGCATGATGATACGACGATCCCGCACACAGTCATGCAGCCCGGCAATGGAACTTGGGCGAAGCTCATCAACTCTATCCCTGATGAGATCAATTCCAACAAAGAGTATCTCTATGAGTTGGAGGAGAAGTTCAACCACAATCTTTGGAAGGAGAATGCCGAACAACGAAGGCTCCAAACACTCATTCAGGTAGTCCAAACCCAACTGGATACAAATGAAGCCTTGAAGGAAAGGCTCGCAGAGTGGGATAACCCTTCATCGCGGATTTTTGGGCACGCCACATTCTCGCCAGCCTATAGCCTTGGATCAATCCAGGGTAGGGAGGGGAAACGACTAAGAGACTGGGCATTGATAGAACTGCACCAGGAGAAGCATGCTACCCCTCTGACCTCCTTACTGAACAGAATTTATATTGGGTCGGGCGGTCGGGGGTTGATCCAGGATCAGTCACTTGAATGGACCCATATCCGGCAGTCTCTAATCTACTATGAGCATGGTGTGCTTGTTTGGGGCACCATTCCGGAGACCGAAATGCTAGGTCCCCGGTCTCGCACAGTTGATGGCGAAAAGGGCATTTTCGTTCTTAAATATGGTCCGACAACTGGGCTTACGACTGGGATCGCCAATCCGGTCAAGTCTCTCATGAGGTCGCCTCATCCCGATGGTGAATATAGATCCGAAGAGTGGTGCGTTATAGGGCATGGACGAGAGTTCAGCCGGACAGCTTTTTCAGGCGATGGCGATTCTGGAAGTTGTGTGTTTGACATTCAGGGCCGTATCGGTGGAATGTTGATAGGTGGATTGGCCAGAAAGGACTCCGGGACCCACGATGTGACATATGTTACCCCGATGGAGTGGCTGTTGGAAGACATTAGGAGACATGGTTATGATGTAGAGGAGTTGTGATTGCCGCGTACAGAACGCCAAAACGAAGGGGCTCAGAAAGATATTCTCTAAGGATTCCAATAAAAATATCATAAATTTGTTAAAGAAGTTATGTAAAACTTTGAGAATTTTATCTAAGCCCTTAGCTACTCTCTCTAAATCCTCTTCTAAATTGGCACTCCGTTCTGTCTGGAGTAAAAGCTGACATTCATTGACAGTTCAGTCAACAGTACATCTAGTATCCAGATGGCTACTTGTCTCAATGGATGTATCTGCCTACCTACTTCCGCTGCCAGACACCTTCCTCATCACGGGCAGTTGCTCCTTTTTCACATCACCCACGACAAAATTCTTTCCTTCCCTCCAGCCTCTGCTCCTCTCTGTTCCTCGACTCTTCCTTCAACAATTTCAACAATTTCTCCAGAGCCTTGCCGTGGACAACACAAAAACAGCCTCCCAAGATGGCAGCATCTGGGCTCTCTGACGCTCAGCACGAAAGAGACAAGATCGCTGCACTTCAGAGTTCCATTCGGCGCATCTCCTTCGAGAATGATGATTTCAGCGGGCCCGCACGCGACGTCTGGGGCAGCCGTCTCCTCTCGTCCATGAGTGACTCCCTCCATTGCAGCTTCGTACAGGTTGTTAAAAACAGTAGATCCTCACTAACATCCATGCTAGCAGCCTGGGAACCGAGCGAACCATGGACCATCTTGCCAAATTCTGTCAATCTCTTCTTGGAATGCTCCCCCGCAAAGTTGCTTCCCTCGGAACTGCCTGCCGTGGACTTCGCAGCATCTACCAGTGGGCCAAACTCAACTTCCCAGGATGGGTTCTGACAGATAGAGACGCCCACTAATTGTGTATGTTAACTGTTTGGTTGATGTGCCTCAACTAACTGGTGTGACTTCAGCAATGACAATGATGACACTTGCCCATGACGGTGTATTGCTCGATGACCACAGTGCTGATGGGGAAAAGTTGCTTGTGGCAATGTAACTCACACACAAGATGATCACAGGTTTCCTACAGAAGGCGATTGACTACGGCGCTGATGTGTGGGACTACCGTCTGCATTCTCTCATGGCTGTCGTGCTCCTGGTTACAACAGGAGCCAAAGCTGCTGATATGCTACGTGTGAACGAGTGGAAAGGCACTACCGATAACAGGTGTCTGCTCTGGGAACACATCAAGATTTATGAGGATCGTACCACTGGTTTCCTCCGCGCAGACATACAATTCGAGTTCTGCCAAAATTCCAGGTATGGAGAGCTCAATGGCAATCATGATCCGCGTGCTGACTCGAACCAGCCAACGCCCAAGCGTTCGATGCATCAGCCATCTATATGAACTGCGAGATCCTTCTTGCGATCATGTATGCCCTGCCAAGCTCCTTTTGGTCTGGGCACTCCGTACTGGTGCCGTCCACGAACAATCCTGGGAAGAGCTTAAGGCCGCCATCATCAACCACCCCGACAAAACGGTTATCTGGACCAGACCTGGGATGCCCGTATTCGTTTCCTCCACATCAGCAAAAATCGGAAATTTTCGAAACGAAGTATCCGCAGACCGCAGCTCCGTGTTCACTTGGCTCTCTCAGGTGGCTCAATCCTGTGATGACGAAGTCATTGGGCCCAAAGCGCCCAAGAGAACACGAACCTCGAAGGATGAAGGGAAGCCTGCGACAGATCAATTCAAGGAGCCTGCATCCGATGCCCACAACAATCTTGCCCTAGATGATGACGAGCAGCCCTCGCTCCTCGTGGTTAACGCAAGATCAAACGTGTCCAGCCGCTTGTCTCTGATCGATGCTAGTTTCTCTGAGGATCTCTGCCTCCTCGAGGCTGCTAATTAAGTACCGGGTACTGTTGTCCAGCTTCTTGTTGAGGTGGATAAGTGTCGGTTGGCAGTTGGGGGGTAGTCCACGAACGCCGCGCGCCTTTGGCAATCCTTCAAGACATTCCGTACAATGTTTATATTAATTTAGGAAAAAACCTTCTTAGATTCATCCCAATCCTGACCTTCATCATCATAACTTGGAACAAATTTAGGAAGAGAAATCCATAATATCATCATAAATCGGCTCTCTTTCTCACCGCCATTGATGCTGTGATGACATCCCAAGAGAGTCAGCGTGTACTCACACAATTATATCCCGTCAGAACTACATGATCTAAGATGAGGTCCATATCGACGAAGATATCATCATCTCCATTGAACTCACCATGTCGACGACCAATACCATCGCAGACGACCGTCAGACACGCCGGCTCAACTATGTCGCAGCTATACGAGTTGGTCGCCAACTAACCAATCAGCTTAAAGCCCCTGGTTTGATATCGCCAGTGATGATCCATGCCTCTCGTATATTGGGTGCCTAGTCGATAATCACATGGCTAGACTTGAAGAAGTCGCAGAACGTTGCGGTGAAAGCAGCAATACACCGTGGTGTGGTGGCGACTGTTCCGTGCCTTTGGGTCAAAGAAGGCGATGGGGATAAGCGTCGCTATCTCTCACATAGTGGCTGTCTCGTCGACGATTATAAGGTCAGGCTTGAGGAAGTCACAGAATATTGCGGTGAAAGCAGCAAGTGGTGTGGTGACGACTGTGCCACCGAGCGCCCTAAGGAAATCTGCGTACACGTCCTTGAGACGCGACTTCGCGTAATAGTTGTCCATGTTGTCAGCGACAGCTTTTCTCGACATGATCATCGAGAGCAGGGCACTGGTCTATGTTCTTCTTGAAGGACTCGATTGCAAGAGAGTGAAGCGAAGAACACCCAATGGCTCTGTCGTCTCTGTAGCCTTCCATTTCCCATGGGAGGTCCAACCGTCTGGTGTCAATCAATGAAATTCTAGACCAGAGCTGTGCTTGAAAATTTCGAGGAGGCGTTCATCGGCATCCTCGATCTCGCTGTTGTTGCTGTTCGTTGTTGACGTCTAGCAAGACATGTAACCAGCCAGTGGTTTTTCGCTTCATGCGAAACAAAAGAGTAGCTCGATCTTGGTCTTGGTCTTGTGTCCAACCCCGCCATGTCGGTCACCGATATCATCGTGAATATGGCCTCTGCCAATACCGTCGCTGATCTGAGGATCAGGGCGAGGCTCGGGCGAGGCAGGTTGTAATTCGGGGGTGGGAGGCAAAAAGATGTCACCCACGGGCGTCAAATCTTCAGGGTCAGAAGGGCCGGGGCTGCAGGGCAAAAGAGGTAGCTCCTTGGGCTCGAGAGAGTTGGCGCGACGGGGCGTGAGGAACAAGGCCCGGGGGGGGGGGAGAGGAGACGAATATTCTCTAGAGAATAGAAGAGGAGGAAGATCCTAGGGGAGTCAGCGCCAGAGGGAGTGATCAAAGTAAGCCCGAGAGTGATGGAAGGAAATGAATGTGTTTTCAAGAACCGTGGCCTCAGAAAACCATCTTCTTGCTCTTGTTCTTTCCATTTTCATGGGGTTGTCCAAAATTCCTTCAGCAACTTTGGGTAAGTCTATGCTTTTGGACCTTTAATTGCGAAACGCTGACATGAGAGAGGTGGTGAGAATGGGAGGTGGTAGGAATTTCCACTATCATGGTGTCGTAGAGAAGTCCTATGAAAGAATCTTTAGGTATGCTACTGCTCCCAAACTCTCTGATCGGGATTCCAGGCCCAAGGCTCCCAAGACTCGAATTGACTTGAACATATCGAGGCAGCGATAGCAACCATGACCGAACAGCAGCGCGTGTGTCTTGGACGCATCGCTCCCCGTTTCCCGCAGATCAAGCACTACGGCCTCAATGCATATTACTCCCAGATTCGATACCCTCCATCAGGGGGTCGCCTCAAAGTTTATCACCGGTGCAGTGAATACGACATCTACGAACTTGTGTTGTGTTGATGAGAGACCATGTCAATGCAATGCTGAGGTGGATTTGATGTGCCATGGCAGCAAATGCAACCAAACTAAACGTGACCAAAAAACCCATATTGTTCCTTTACCAAAAATCCTACGCTGTAGAACTACTCGGCATACCGAGAAGTAGTACTTGCGCTTTGCCTAGTCATTCAACAAATGTCCATCCCTTCCATCGTGTCCATTTTCCCACACAAACTCCTTCATCTGTTGTGTGACTTGTCTACCCTTTCTCTGGAACACAGGCTAAGAGGTCAAGTGTGTCGAGGTTCCGTCAAGGTCCAGGGTTTCGGTGCAGTCTGCGTAAACTGGTGGGCTGTCTGTCACCGATTAGCATGTTTTCTACAATCATCATCTCAAGGTTTCTTACCGGCAGCAAAGAGAAATTGAATGCGAAGAAGAGGAGAAGATCAGAGGGGAGGAGAGTCAATGCCGAACCGGTACCTCAGGTCTGTGCTAAGCAACCCAGCAGTTGATAGAGGTCTGGTCGGAGAGACAGAGACATGGTGACGGTTACCCTGATTGAATGGTCAGTTAAGTGAGTCAGAGGAGAGAGGGGAAGATACTTTAGGTCTTACCTTGACGGATCAGTGAAGATCTGAGAGTGAGGAGAGAGGCGAGTCGCCGAGAAGAGCGACTGGGGGGCATGGTGGAATGAACTTGAACACAACTCGGGTCTAGCAACACGACGTTTGGTCAAGTTCTCTCCGGATACCCATGGGAGCGAGCGACACATGATGGCAATTCCACTGTTACAAAGTTAGTTGAGCGAACCGAGACAGCAAAGGAAACATTTGAAGTCTTACCTTGGGACTTGGCCAAGATGTGAGGTGAGAGGGTGTACCAGAACACAAGGGCAAGGGACGGTAAATATAGGTCTGGTCCGATTGGATGTATCCATCAAGCCGTTGCACCATGGAACTGGAAGAGACCTCTCCATTGTTCTCGTTCACCAAGGGTGCGCACTCCCACTCATCGTCGTCAAGAGAGTCGAACTGTTCTTTCATGATAAGTTCCGCTTCATAGAACTCCTCAGCAGAGATCAAACTGGATGGGAAACAGGTGGCCGAGGGATTACCACAGATGGAGAAAGTTGAGAATTCTTGCACATCTGCTGGCGGCGACGGAGAGCTTCGCGGAACAAACCAGGAAAACAGAAAACAGAAACTCAGGGAAACTCGTAAAGTCAGATGACGGGTAGGCTGGGTGCAAGTCGTTTGATATAGTTTGCATTCGAAATGAAAGAGTCCCAACACCAACCCGTGAGGGAAGGCAACATGGTGAAGGGTGAGGAAAATCTGTCAAATCGCCCGCCGCGTCCGGGCAGACGCCCCGTCCCGGTGCAAATGAATTGCATGGGGTCACCACAGGCGAAATGGACGCATCTGGGTGCAGTGTTGCTTTGTGTAGCCATCCAGTGATTCAGAGACGTCCAGAGACAGAGAATCCTTGGGTAACCGCGTAGTCTTGGCTTTTATAAAGGTCATCCGGGACCTAAGGCAGGGAGGGAGGGAGAGAGTCGTAGGGGGCAAAGGTCTATGAATGACCGATGGGGAGAACTGCGCATGATGACGGCTTCATTGTCGAGGGTTAGTGGGAATCCAAAGATAGAGAGGAGAAGACAGGTCAAGTCTTACCTTGGGGAACCAGTCAAGATGTGAGAGAGACGCGTGAGGAAAGGGAGAAGCGAGAAAGGTGAGAGGCAAGGAGCGAGATCTCGTCGATGACCTAGCCGTAGGAGAGACACATGATGGCGGTTCTGCTGTTGAGAGGATCAGTCAAGCGAACCTGAATATGAGGGGATCTCGGGTCTTACCTTGGAGAATCGGCCAAGATGTGAAGATGTTGGGAGTGTCAGGTGGTTGTTTCCACGAAAGTGGAGGTAGTTTGAGAATTCTTGTCAGCATCTTTGGGTAGGTCTATGCTAGGTGACCCGCCTCTCTAAAAGAGGTCTGATGGATGCAGCAACAGGGATCAGGTCTGTGCTGGCAGCCGTGGCTTTTATAAGGTCATCCGGGACCTATGAGAGAGAGTGGGGGGAGGCGAGAGACGCGTGAAGAAAGGGAGAAGCGAGAGAGGTGAGAGGAAAGCGGCAAGATCTCGTCGATGACCTAGGCGTAGGAGAGACACATCATGGTGGTTCCGCTGTTTAGAGAGTCAATCAAATGCATCTAAAGAGAGAGAGACACCTTGAGTCTTACATTAGAGAACAAGCCGAGATGTGAGAGGAGTACGCGAGTGTGATACATGATGGCGGTTCCGCTGTTGAGAGGGTCAGTCAAGCGAACCTGAAGAAGAGAGAATCTCGGGTCTTACCTGGGGACTCGACCAAGATGCGTGTTTGTGCCGAAGCACAGGGTTGTTTTCCACAGTTGTGGGAGAGTTGAGGTTATTTGAAAACAGCCGCATTTACCCGTAGGTAGGTCTGCTACCATAAGACCTGGGGGGATGCAGCAACAGGGATCAGGTCTGTGCTAGCAGCCGTGGCTTTTATAAGGTCATCCGGGACCTATGGAGGAGATGAGGGAGGGAGAGGGATAAGGTGGCGGGCGCCTGAAGGCGCCGCGGATGTGAAGTTGTGTGCGTGAGGAAGAAGAAAGGAAGCGGAGGGGAGAAGATGGTGGGGTGGTGGTGATAAATATGTGCCAGGCAACCGCGCACAAAAAACAAAAACAAAAACAAAGAATTAGGGCAAGCTAGCGCGGTCAAGCTGTGCAGCAGAATGAGGCCAACAAGGTAGAAAATCGAGTGCGTGGTTGTCGGTCGTTTGCAGCTGTTCATCAGTGCCAGGAAAAGGGGGGCTGCCTGAGCGGCATCTCCCCTCCCAATCCGCCCCCGGTGGCTTCAGGCGAGCCCGGATTGCAAGGCAGTGAGTTGAAAAGCGAGCGGTTCATTTCGAGGTGTCCATTGTTCCGTACTACAATAGCAAAGAAACTTCTTCAAGAGTGACGATGAATCACCTGCCCCCTCACCCCTTTATTCATGGGTTCTTCAAGGTGAACGGCAACCTTACCAGCATGCCCCAATTGGCTCTCCCTAAGAGTAAATAACTGAAAAAGACCATTCATTGTCCTTGTTCCTCTTCATTTGATGTTGGTTGCCCGCGCGCTTGCTGGCATCATACATGATTGTGTCCGTCGTGTCCCGGTTTGGTCAATCGACATCGTGACTTGCGAGGAAACAGATCTGAAAACTGCACTGAGCTCTGTATGGCCAGCAGGAAACGCTACAAACGATATTCCGAATGCCTCCCTATAAAGCACACCCGTGCCCGGCTCGTCATTGCCCTGGCCCACAAACCAACCCCGTCCCTCCCTTCGGGACTCACTACACCTGCAACCGTGGGCGGTGATGGTCCTAATATGTACAACAAGCTTGACACTCTTGGTACTAAACAGTATAGCTGGATACTTTTCCCACAACAAATGACAAGCCTGGTGGCCCCGGCATCAAACACCGTCGGAAGAAGCTGATTACTTCACCATTACCCTCAACCCCGAGAATGCTCAAGAAATACGGATCAAACGTGTAAGATCTCGGAGTCTCTTACCGCCAACTCCTTGAAGTACTCCCCTCCAGCAAAGCCCCGCGACCCTTCGTCACAAAATCAGGTTACGTTTGCAACGGCTCTGGGGCACGGGGATGTCACGTACATTATTCGGACACTTGGCTAGTTAGAGATTAATCCCCATAGATAAACTAGACAACACGCTCTATGTCCCTGCATCCAGCTTAGCAACGGATGTGCGTAAAGTTGTTGCCAATTGCGTGGTATATGCTTGTCGCTCGCATCGAGCAAGCTACAACTTGTGCTGGCATCTGCTTGTTGTTTTAGACCCTCTCTTTTCCGCTTGCTTCGTCTGCTTTCACCTCTGTCGTCACTTTCCTATGGTTGATTGAAATTGGCTCCTAAAAACAGCTTCTAGCTACGTAGTTATGAATGCGTGTGATGTAGGCCCAGTTCCGGTAGTTCTTTGCCGTTATACATGAAAGTGTCGAGAATGTCATTCAGTCTGTTGTTTGCTGTCTTACAGGATAAACTGCATGCGTTGACCTGACTAGGGAACAACAATGGTAACCTCGTGTGGACTTCTGTTGGCCATAAACCCCTTCTCCGTCAACAATTAGAACAAGAGTCAAGAACGGGCCAAGAAATCTCAATGACTGCCTGCGAACCCGTAGCATAGTACCAGAGACAAGGGCGTTCCCTTGAGTGAGGACTCAAAGACAGTGAATACAGATGTTCTGCGACATGTCTCTGCGTTAACCCTTAGCCATAATTCGAGCGAGAATAGGTACTACGTATCAAGTGCATCTTGAGCATGTGTGATGGCCGCTCGCGAGCATCAATTGCTGGGTGGTCTAGGGTACTGGCGATTCAGCTGTCCTTGCTGTGAATGCTCTCATGTGTTACCCACGACTCAGGCGTCATTACTTGTTCACAGAGGGTCTTTACATTGTTGCGATAGAAACTTTGGATCTCGAATAGGAGAGACCCTGTACTCAGCAGGTAGATAAAAATGCTGAGGGAAGGTGCTTCCTGCCTGCCATGTGGAAAGCCGTTGCGCAGTGCCTAAAAATGGACAGCCCCACCCACTATTTTTGGACAACAGCGGCATGACTAAGCGCAAAACACCAAGCGCAGACATCGCGAAGCCAAAAATCCGGGCTGGGACGGGGGAAAAAGAAAAATTCCCCAAAAATCCAAAAAGATCGCAAAAAGCTAGCACTTCACCGTTTCGATCGGTGGTCCTCCGGGTTATGAGCCCGGCGCGCTTCCGCTGCGCCAAAGTGCTTTGTTGTTCGTTGAAGAGTGGTTGTTTAACCTGGTATATGATCTGTGGGTTTTGGTCCACTTGCGCGCCACCACGGCGCCTGAGTGGCTGATTCAGAGCTGCAGGCGCGAGCCAATGACTCACGTTTGAGTTCTGCCAGAAAAAAACTGGCCTAGAGGCCTCGGTTTCACCCAAATTGGTGTGTGAACGACCCTCAGGCTGATGAAGCGACCTTTGCATGATGGACAATAGTCTCGCTCCCATTACAGTCTGGTATTCTGAATGACGGTTGATATTGATCTCTTATTTGCCATGGCTATCCACCGAGACTCATATTGTAGGGCTGCATGAGCTGCATCCGAGTTCCTTTCAACTAACCCTCTTGTATGCTCTCCCTATCCTGGGCAATCACTATCGCCATGTGCAATTCAACATACTCTCGCATTCTCTCTTTTTATACAAGAATCCATGTTTGATTGGAATAAGGGAAATGAGTGTGGCCCTTCCAATATTTTTTAGACAACGTCATATCATGCTGATTGATCAGTTTGCCCGCACTCCCTCTCGTGGCGCAATTCGGGTGCATTGAGGCTATTCGCATACCAGCCATAGCCTGCGTAATGAGCAAGCAGTCTACCGGGTCTTTTCACGAGACTAAGCGTCAAACTATGACTAGGCCTGTTGGCCATATGTTCGACACACAGGTTCATTGCCCCCCTTCGCCAGTCTTTGCGACCTCGCCTTGAGCAATTGCCCAACTGACCATGCGACCGATGCCACTGAGGCCAAGGTTTAGTGTAAGAGGTCAGATTTTCTCCCTCCTTCTTTTTCCCTACTTCCCTCTGGGTTCGCAAAGAGAAGCTGCCACTGCTTTAATGGATTATACTAAGTCAATAAATGACCTAGAGATCCTAGTCCTCAGTCATTTGCTGTCATGATTTGGTCAATCCTGTCTCTTTCCTTACCATTCCTCGTGATCTTGATGTAAACTTTGGAGTTTTGGTCTGCCATTGTCACTGAGTTTGTAGACACCAAGTGTCAGCTTACCTGAGGCCAACCACAACACCCGGTTATTCCTGGGAGGTACAGCCTTGGGTATTTAACGCTGTCACCTTCATCGATCATTTTCAATGCTCATCTGCGATCTTTGATCTTCCGGGGTCTCGACTAGTTCCGGCTCGGTTCCGGCGAGTTCCTACGGCAGGGCGATCGGGGCTGAGGATCGGGTGTGGCCCCACCGCTACCCCGAGTCGTAATCCGGGCCAATAGCATGGATGGCTTTTTGATGCTCACCAGGCAAAAGACCATTATCAAAGGCCATTCTGCCTTCTTTCAAGCTGCATGACCAAAAGTACAGTACAGTACAGGATGCCTGAAAAGAGGCCAAGGCAACCTCCAGAAGGTTCGGGGCGGGGCTGCCGGTTTGTTTGTGTCGCTGTTTGCCTGGCTCATGACCAGGCTTTGGGTAACGATACTTTCAGGGACTTGAGACGAGTACGAAGGGTCCATGCATGGATATTGAAGGTGAGGGGGCTTGGAGAGGGATGTGGTTTTCAACCACAAGATGTTTGCCATGCCACAGCTTATTTCAAAGTCTAGCTGGATATGAGATCGGCAAGGTGGTAGAAAAACCTTTTACACCCTAAATCTAGACACACAAAGAACCTCAAAAATGCATCAGCTAAAGAGTCAGGTACCTTTTGGCAGACCAGGTACAGTACCTGTAGACACATCGCGGGCGAAAAGTGAACGAATCAGTGAAACATGGTTGCTCCGGGGCCGGGGGGGCCTCGTAGGTTGGGCGCCTTCTGGCCCAAAGAGAAGAGACGGCGGCGCGCGTGTGGCTTCTAACAAGAGGGTGCGGGGCCATTTAATCGGACCCTGCGGCTGGAGAGAAAAAAATGGAAGAACTTCTGGCCACTGCCGCAGTCTTTCTTGGGGCCGCGGGATGGGGAATCGGAGGCGTTTTGGCAGGGGACCGTGTTAGTGAGGTACCTGCACAGCCTTGTCATGACGCCTGTGGGAGCCTGGGTTAGGTTCTTTGGCTTGGGGGGGAGTGTGTGGTGTAAGCGCCTGCTTACGGGAGCTGAGATTGAAGCTGAGGAGTGAGGAAGATGCTGGAAAAGGGGGCAATAGAGGAGAATAGATAGAGTAATGGATTGATACAGATTACGGACAAGAAATAGGCTGAATACTTGGACTCCTCGTAGCATCAACTCGGCTTTGATAACCCAACTCCTCCGAGGCCCGCCAGTGTGGTACGCCTAACCAAGTCCCTCGTACCAAGGCCCAGGTCGTGCATTATCAGCACCGCCACAGAATCGACATTCTTCCACACAATTCCATGAGGTGCACGCTTCGCCGGCCGGCGACCCTTCCTTGCGCCTGCTCCCGCTCGCTCACTCGTTGCAGCCTCCCTTTCTTCTCAAAAGCCGTCCCTCATCAATCCTCAGCGCCTTACCCTGACCTCGACATCAAAAGTCGTTGCTCAACATCTCCTCTCTTCTTGTCGCGCGACTCTCTTCTCTTGTTGCCTTTTATTCATCAAAGGCTGAAGCGCTTCATCTAATCGATCCAACGCCTCCATCGTCGTCGAATCGCCCTCGCCCTCCACTTCCCCGATTTTCGTCCACTCAGGAAAAGAGAGCCAACCCGTGCAACTTCTCGCTGCTGCCCCGCCGTCGGAAACTCGAGATAAACCCTTTTTTTCCGGGAACAAGGTACGAACATATAATACCTACGTTGCATCGCAAAGGCGTGTTCAGTCTCTGCGCTTTGATGCAATTTTCTTCTTTTGGCAACTTGACTTTGCGTTTGCCGCGCGCGCAAACTCGGAAGCCTCTTTGTCTGCTTTGTTTGGAGCTTTACTAATACTTAACCCCCCAGCCCTTCCCTCTTCTCGCCGACAACAACTTGAAATCCTTCCACAACACAACAAAACACACACAACACCGCCAACATGGTCAAGGAAACCAAGTTCTACGATACCCTGGGGGTAAGCATCTCCCTCTATGTTAGCCATCTGGCCTTGCGCTAAAACATTCTACTAGGTTTCCCCAACTGCCACTGAGCAAGAGCTCAAGAAGGCCTACAAGACCGGTGCCTTGAAATACCACCCTGGTACGTCCCTTGAAACTAGCCCTTGCGTCACCAGCACCTAACATTTCACAGACAAGAATGCGCACAACCCCGCCGCAGAGGAAAAGTTCAAGGAAATCTCCCACGCCTACGAAATTCTCTCCGATTCACAGAAGCGCCAGATCTATGATCAATATGGCGAGGCCGGCCTCGAGGGCGGTGCCGGTGGTGGTGGCATGGCCGCTGAGGATCTGTTTGCCCAGTTCTTCGGCGGAGGCGGCTTTGGAGGAGGTCTTGGCGGCATGTTTGGAGGCGGCGGCATGAACCGTGGTCCTCCCAAGGCCCGAACCATCCACCACACTCACAAGGTCTCCCTCGAGGACATCTACCGCGGCAAGATCTCCAAGCTGGCTCTCCAAAGGTCCATCATCTGCCCCAAGTGCGAGGGTCTTGGTGGCAAGGAGGGCGCTGTCAAGCGCTGCCCTGGCTGTGATGGCCACGGTATGAAGACCATGATGCGCCAGATGGGTCCCATGATCCAGCGATTCCAGACTGTCTGCCCCGACTGCAACGGAGAGGGTGAGATCATCAAGGAGAAGGACCGATGCAAACAGTGCAACGGAAAGAAGACTACCGTCGACCGCAAGGTCCTCCACGTCCACGTCGACAAGGGTGTTAGAAGCGGCACCAAGGTCGAGTTCCGAGGTGAGGGTGACCAAGCGCCTGGTGTCCAGGCTGGCGATGTCGTTTTCGAGATTGAGCAGAAGCCTCACGCCCGCTTCACCCGTCGGGAAGACGACCTGCTCTATGTTTGCGACATTGAGCTCATCACTGCCCTTGCTGGTGGTACCATCTACGTTGAACACCTCGACGACCGGTGGCTCGCCATTGATATTCTCCCTGGTGAGGCCATTGCTCAAGGTTCGTACTCAATTCCTCATGTGCCCCAAATGTGTTCCAAGCTGACCCTTCCAGATGCTGTCAAGATGGTTCGTGGTCAGGGTATGCCTTCTCCTAGGCACCACGACTTCGGGAACATGTACATCCGATTTAACGTCAAGTTCCCCGAGAAGAACTGGACCGAGGACCCCGAGGTCTTTGAGGCCCTCCGGAAGGTTCTTCCCCCGCCAGCTGTCCAGAACATTCCTCCTCCCGATGCCATGTCGGAGCCCGCCAGCCTCGAGGATCTCGACAATCAGGCCCAGACCAGAGTCTTTGGTAACTCTGACGGTATGATGGATGATGATGACGAGGATGGCCACCCCGGTGGTGAGCGCGTGCAGTGCGCCTCGCAGTAAGCCAACTGTGACTGAGCCAGCACTCCACTCGAGTGCAGCAACAACTCTCGACGCCAAAGCGGCGTCGGCTGCCAAATCGTCGTCCTTCAACTAGGAACACAAAACATGACTTGTGTGGGACGACAGCGCAGCTGAGGAAGGGCGTTGACGAGCCGATCAGCGTCGCCTAATCATTCAATGATACCATAACGAGCGGAGGATATAGTCTGTGCAGTGATGGTGTTCACGCGAGGCTACCGGGGAGGGATGAGCCGAGGAGGAGCTGAGTGGACGTTGTCACGCACTTTTAGGATCGTGTTTCGGGGTCGTGGGAGCATTTGATCTGACTGGGAGGCGTTTTGAGGTCATAGACGATTAAATGAATTTGGTAGTTGCAGACGTAGACCACGAACATGATGATTTGATTTTCAGTTCTTTCAGTCTGAATCACACGTGAAGCTTGTAAAGTTGATTATAACTATTGAATGCGTATCTTTTAATTTTGTTGTGTGATGCCATTACTCCGCAACTTCTGCATCCGCCATCACCTCTGTACCCTGTGCTTCACCCTGCTCTTCCTCCTGTTCCGACTGCTTTCTTAGATTCTCTGTATTATACAGCAAGCTCTTAACCACCTTTTTCTCAACATCGAGCTCCGCAGCCTCGACATCCTCATCGCTCACAAGGGCCGTTGTGCTTGTGGCGAGCTTCTCATCAGTCATGGTCAAAGAGTAGATGGCTAGACTCTTTGCCTTGGTAGGATCGCTGGGATCGAGAGCGGCGATGATCTTGGGTGACTCATCACCACTGGCGGGCTTGACGGCGAGGTCGAGGGGGTTGCCGGGGACTTGGATGATTGCAGGGTGGTTGAGGGTGTTTTCTTGGGTAAGCTGCCATGAAAAGATTGCCGGGATGCTATTACAGTCAGTACATGTCAAATACAATATCAATCAGAAAACTTACCCCTCGCAAATGGCCAGGATGTAAACGAGGTCAGTTCCCTCATGTGGGAATACCAACGTGGAGAGGCTCAAGACGGCCACCTTGGTCAAATCCGGCAAAATCTCCTGAGCCAAAGACAAGATGCTCTTCCGTGACAGAAGCTTGCTAGCCTTCCAGTCCCACACGAACAAGTCCTCATCACCACCTCCCGACACGAGCACATCCCCACGAGGGACAGGAACCGTCATTGAGCTGATAAACTCCTTGTGGCCGAAGCAAAACCCCTCAATGACATATGCCTGAGGAATGTATCTTGATACTCTGATGTGCTCATCGCGGTCACCGGTGATGATGTATCGTCGTCCCTCGCTCTCGGCGATGGCAAGCGAGGTCAACATGGAGACGTGTCCAAGCAGGAGACTGATTTCGAAGCTGGGAACTTCAGTCTTGGATTCAGACTCGGCCTTGGTTCGGGTGGCAAGCTCCATCTGACGTTGCTGGTTGTTAAGAGCACGCAGGTTGCGCTTGGAGTGAACCGTGGTGGCATTGGCAGAAGGCTTGTAGGCGGGCTTGGCTGGCCCAGGAGTAGAGGGCTGAGAGACGGCGGTTTGAGATTCGGGATCATAGAGGAGAGGGAGAGCGTAGACATCGCCAAATTTGTCGGCGCAGATGATCTGGGAATCTGGTCCAATGGCTACATCACTAGGACGCTTGGGCATGGTTCTAAGCGGTGTCAACTTATGAATGCCACGTCCTTTCTGGGTTCAACATACCGTTTGCTCAGTTGAGTGAGATTGCCCTTTCCGTCATTCTCAAAAACCCAGATGGCCTTGTCGTGTCCTGTGATGGCTAGAACATGAGATCCGTCGCTCGTGCTCGTCAAGTGAGTAATGACAGGGCGATCCGGAACTCGTGAGATGTTGTGCTCCTTGTTCCGTGGCTGATTCCTGTTTTTACTCTTCTTTCCTCCCTTCTTCTTCCCTGAAGCCTGCTTGTCGGGATCTTCTTGCTCGGTCTCCTTGACTGCTTCGTCCTTTGGCTCTTCAACCTTTTGTCGCTTAGCTGGTGGCTCATCGTTGGCTTCTCCTTCGGCAACGGTAGGTTCCTGGCTCACAGGCTTCTCACTTGAGGCCTCATCTGAGATGGCCTTGACAGCAGCATCTACTTTGTCGACGTCGGGATGCTTCCATGTCGATAGGTGAGCACCATCGTCCAGGCTGAATGAGTGAATCTTTCCTCCCCGCGCGGCAAATAGAACACTGCCACTGACGTGGACAACATTGTACGGAATCTTCATCTTGAACCAGACAAAGAGCGAAGCCGTATCAGACAAGTTGGCCGTTCAATTGCTGAGTGAGAACTCAAGTCAAGAAGCTCTCAATGTCGAAGCCCCATGTGAAAAAAAGATACATGTACAATGTACCTCAATCTGCATCTTGCCCCACAATAACCCAAAGAAGACTAGCCCCATCAAGCCCTAGCGACCACCCGCACACATTTTCTCGCGCGCCTCCAAAATGCGATTTTCTGCTTCCCCTTCACAACTTCCAACCACCAAAAAAATCACCAAGATACCCCCGAACTTGCCCTTAAACAACCTGCCTTCATAACTAAGAAGATATGGGGGGCAAGACTAACAAGGCCGGCTATTTCGACAAGCTCAAGGGCTTGCTCGAGGAATATGCCTCCATCTTCATCGTTGAGATTGACAATGTCAGCTCTCAGCAGATGCACGAGATCCGACAGGCTCTCCGGAACAAGGGTGTTGTCCTGATGGGCAAGAACACCATGGTACGGCACCTCGCGATGCGAATTGATTATTTTTGAGATGGTTATTCTAATGCTTTGACAGGTCCGCCGAGCTCTGAAGACCTTCATCGCCGACTCCCCCGAGTACGAGCGTCTCCTCCCCCACGTCAAGGGCAACGTCGGTTTCGTCTTCACCAACGAGGACCTCAAGGAGATCCGAGACGTCATCCTCTCCAACAAGGTCGCCGCCCCCGCCCGTGCTGGTGCCGTCGCCCCCGTCGATGTCTGGGTCCCCGCTGGCAACACTGGTATGGAACCCGGCAAGACCTCTTTCTTCCAGGCCCTCGGTGTCCCCACCAAGATTGCCCGTGGTACCATTGAAATCACCACCGATCTCAAGCTCGTCGAGGCTCAGTCCAAGGTCGGCCCCTCCGAGGCCACCCTCCTCAACATGCTCAACATCTCGCCCTTCACCTACGGTATGGGCATCTCCCAGGTCTACGACCAGGGTCAGAGCTTCCCTCCCAGCGTTCTCGACATTGGTGAGGAGCAGCTCCTCAAGACTCTGGCTTCTGCCATCACCACCATTGCCACCATCTCGCTGGCTCTGAACTTCCCCACCCTGCCCTCGGTCATGCACTCTCTTGTCAACAGCTACAAGAAGGTTCTCGCTGTTGCCGTCTCCACCGAGTACAGCTGGCCCGAGATTGAGCAGCTCAAGGACCGCATCGCCAACCCTGACGCTTACGCCTCTGCTGCCCCCGTTGCCGCTGCCGACTCTGGTGCTGCCGCTGCTGAGGAGAAGAAGGACGAGTCCGAGGAGGAGGAGGAGGAGGATGAGGGCTTCGGTGGTCTCTTGTATGTGCCCACAACTTACAACGGAAACACAACCGCTAACAATTTCGCAGTGACTAAATGTAGCCACATCATGATGATGTACGGCCGGAATTCAGGACTTTGGTTGGGATTACGACTCATGGATCTTAAAAATGGGGTACATAGATCGTCTGCTGGTCAATTGAACCTGTCGGGACGGTTACGAAACGAACATGGAAGTCCACAAATATGATGTGACGACCTAGCATCTCGGATATGAAACATGCACCACGTTACCGATGGAGTGGTTTTGCCCAAAAGGTTAGTCAACAGCCCCACGCGTTTCCTTTCACTTATACCCCCCCTCCCGGATGATTATACAAATGATCAAGAGCTTTTTAACCCTGACATCTCGTGATGACACACATCAACACCTTATGACGGACGTTTCTAAAAATCATGTGTTTTGACAACTGCTTTTGAGGGGTATCATGGCTAACAGTCAAGCATTACAGGTCTCCGCGTTTTTGCCTTTGCCCTTCATCTTACATGGTGTGATGCCCGTATCATTTCCCTATTTAAATACCCTCCAATCACCCCGTCCCGGCCTGTCCCGTATGCTGCCCTACCCCAGCCGACTCTGTGGGATGATCTAGTATTCTCCGAGCCGTATCTATCGCCCGACCCGGGAGACCTGCCAGTCTCGCGACCTTGAGGGCGTGGCTCTGGCGGTTAATGCCTCTCCGTAGCTTGTGATTGTAGACAAACCCTCCCTGTCCGTCCTCGTCCACGTCGGTGCAATACGTCTGCACCGTGCCCCCGTCCGGGGAGCACAAGCCCTCGGCCGCGGCCAGGTCAGCAACGCCGTGAAAGTGTGTAGCAAAGAGGGTCCGGCATTGGTTGATGGTTGCCAGGTGATGCAGGCACGCATAGGAGACAGCCGTGCCATCCTCCGGCGTCGTGCCTCGGCCGATCTCATCCATGATGACGAATGATCGTGGTGTGGCCTGCTTGAGGATGTGAGCCGTCTCCAGCATCTCAACCATGAAGGTGCTCTGGTCTCGGTAGAGGTTGTCCGCCGAGCCCACGCGGCTGAAGATGGCGTCTACAACCCCTATCTCGGCGTATGACGCTGGGACATAGCAACCGATCTGCGCCAGGATGGTGATGAGTGCGTTCTGGCGGAGAAAGGTGCTCTTGCCAGCCATGTTTGGTCCCGTGATGAGCCAGACACGCCCGTCCTTGGACGACCCTACAAGACAGTCGTTCCGAACAAAGTTCCGGCCCTGCTCAAAGAGACCTCCCTCGACGGTGGGGTGTCGACCTCCGACGATGGTGTGACTAGTCGTGTTGTTGAGGGACGGTCGCACGAGATGCTGCTCGCGAGCGAGCTTGGCGAATGCCGTGGCTATGTCGAGCTCATCGAGGACGGCGGCGTTGCGGCGAAGCTTGACGAGATTGCGGACGACGTGCTCACGGAGTGAGTAGAAGACGGCCTGCTCCTCGGCGCGGATCTGCATGCGCACCTGGTCGAGTCGTTGGCCAAGATGTGTCCATTCGGTGAGGTGAAAGGATCGTGTAGAGCGGCTGGACGAGAGGGGTCGCACGTCAACGAGATTGCGTGCGTCTTTGCCCTTGATATGGGCGATGTGCCCGAGGCCAGGAGTCCACTTGAGGGACAGGCTAGGGGCACCGAGGCGTTCGCGGAGTGTCTCATTGAGCGTAACCTTTTCCTGGCGCAAAGCTGTCAGTTCAGAATGGAGTCGCTTCAAGGTAGGACTGGCAGCGGGCTTCATAATCCAGTTATCGTCGTCTTCAGCATAATACTCCCGGACACTTGTGGGCCGCTTCCGCTTGCCCTTGGGGAGCACGGCAGCATCGTCATGTGAACCTTCGCTGTTAACAATATCCTCAGCCAGGGCGATCATCTGGCTGGCCTCAGAGTCTTGTGCCTCATGCTGCTGGACCACACCCTCTTCGTCAATCGCCTCCTTGATGCGGCGAGCAAGCTTCAGGGGCTGGGGGAGGCTAATCCGGGCAGTCAAGGAAGCAAAGCAGTCGAGGTTGGAATCGCTCGGGAGGGCACGGTCTAGGAGCGCAACAATGTCCCTGGTAGCATGGATGGTGTTGGCCAAGCCCAAGAGGTCGTCGGCGTCACCGCGGCCAAGTGTGAACTTTTGGACCAGGCGCTGAGAGTCATAACTCCTACGCAGCAAAAGGACTACAGAGTCACGGAGGTCCTCGTCGGCGATGAAGCGAGCGACGAGGTCCTGTCTACCAGTGATGACATCGAGCGAGGTCGACGGCGCGCTGAGCCACTCGTTGAGCAGGCGGGCACCGCTCTTGGTGACGGTGCGTCGTATGGCATGGAGTAGACTGCCCCGGAAAGCACCATCGCGGATAGTCTGTCTTATCTCAAGGGCCCGAAGACTGTTTCTGTCGATGGCCATGGTGTGCATATTCTCCTGCCTAAGCGGGGGCTGCAATTTCATGCTCATGCCCTGCAGACGATCCTTGACATAGCTGAGGAGGGCACCCGCAGCGCACACCTCCGCGGGGGAAAAGGCAGCGGCCTCAGAAGCAGATAGGGCAGACTCGAGCATGGGCGCCCAGCCGTTGGGGCTGAGTAGGGAGTCATCAGGCCGGGGCGCATAGGTGATAATGTGACGGTCCTCAGCGAGGAGAGCAAAGATGCCATGGTCCGTATCAGACTGCAATTCCTGGTCGAGGACGAGCTCGCGCGGGCAGAGTCGGGAAAGGATCGCCGGCAAGGATGCAAGATTGGTTTGCTGAGTGCAAAAGTGGCCGGTCGAGAGATCGAGCCATGCCAGGCCGAGTGGCACGGCGTCGTCGCACGGCTGGGCGTCCCCAACGTCCGGGCCAACACCTGACGGGAGGGGGTGGGCTGATGCCGTATCGGATGCGGATTCATGGCCCGGGAGCCCGTCCATCTGATTCGGCACTCGGCCGATATCGATCGCTAGAACATAGTTGCTTGCGTACGGGTCCATAAAGTTTTCATCGATGAGAGTGCCTGGAGTGATGATACGGGCGACTCTGCGGTCGTGCATCAGCCCGCCAGACTTGACCTTGTCTGTGGGTGAGTTGGGGAACTCTTCGGCGATGGCGACATGACGGTTGAGATCTTGGACGAGAATTTTGAGGAATCGATCCAGCTGGAAGAAGGGGAACCCGGCCTGCAAGACAGATGATGATGATGAGATATGGTGCCAGGGGGTCAAGTATCGATGAGATGGATGGTAGCAATGAACTCACCATGGGCACAGGACCGGCATTGGTCTTCTTTGAGGCAACCTTGAGATTGAGCAAGGGTCCGTACTCGTCTGCATGCTCAAAGTACAGCTCATAGAAGCCTCCTACACGAGTTAACAGGACGCAGTTGTCGAAACGGTCCATGTTCTGGCGCGCCTGGAGCACCACGGTAGGGTACGCCGGGGGGTCCTGGGGGAGCGACGGGAGCGGCAACGGGCTGACAGCATCCTGGGGCTCGGTGGGTGACGTTGACGACGCTGGCGGAGGCGGCGTGGGCTGAATGAGACCCTGAGGCAAATCAGACAGCCTTATGGTGGTGGTCTTCTTGCCCCTGACCTGGAGGAGAAGATGGGGAGATGGTGGAGGTAGTAATGGGCGGATGGAGAGGCCATGGTAGGCTTGAAGGAGGGATGTAAGAGGCGGCAGCTCAAGGAGACGATGAGAGCTATGGTGATGATGACGACGATAACGACCATGGTCAGCACGAGCACGGGCATTAGCAGCAACAGCTATAGTAGTGACAGCAGGTCGACTAGCAACGGCAGCGGCAGCAGCAGTAGCACGATCTGAAGCAACGGCGGGCGCCAGCAGGGGCATCGAATCAAGAGTAGCAGAAACAGAAACATGGGCAGAAACGGGTTTAGAGGCAGATGACGATGCCAGGGGCCGCAGATGGCGGATACCGGATCCCGGGGACACCATGCGGCCGGAACATGGAGATGAGATGGGCTGTTGTCTTGTGTTTTGCGAGGGTAAGGGTAGAAGAGTCGAAAGACGGCTTGGTGCGCTGTTGATGGTGTTGTGGTGTTGTGTTCCTGTCTCGGATAGAGGGGCTCGGGGAATATCCACCACCAAATGTAGTTACCCTCTGCTCGGAGTTTTGAGGCGACACAGATACGATGGACAAGAGATCTGGCGTTGGTTAGGTAGTTAGACAAGCCTCGACTGGCTGTCAAGAGGAGGAACCTGAAAAGTGGGTGTATGATGTGCCGATATGGTGACACTGGGCGAGATGTGGTGAGGATCGGAGGATGGATCACGCAGGCTCACGCAGCCCTCACGCAAGGCCAATGTATGGAGATCAAGAGTAGTCTGTGCGAAAAAACACCCGAGACGAAACAAGCGGCAAAGAATTGATGAATTGATCAAGCTGTGTGTGGTCTCTGGCGGTAGGGATTGGACCGTTGATGGCCCGGCACGGCGCGACTGGCGCCGAAACGTGGAACGAAAAAGCAAACCAAAAAGTGGTTCCCGATATAGAAACCAAGTAAAATCCGGGTTACAACGCGTGGTTCCGAGGGGGTGTCCGAACGAGTTTGGAAGCGAGACGGCAGATTCTGTCGCATAGTCGTGCTTTTTTTTGTGGTTTGTGTGTGGGGAAGATTGAGGAGATGGGAGTCGAGTCGAGTCACAGACGAGAGAGAGGTCTCAGAAGGAACACGGGAATGCATCACAAGCAAGAGCACAACTTGGGCAGGTGCAAGCAACATGAGCACAACACACACAACACATGCACAAGTACAGCGTTGACAACAATGACAGCTGTCAATATTATTCTAGACTGATAACATCATTAAAGAAGAAGAAAAAAAAAGAAGCAAAAACAATATACACAGAAAATACAACAAAAAGAAATGAAAAATCAACAACCACAACAACTCCAAAATCCAGTCGGACCTAGATTAAACAGATCATCATTCAACGCGCCAGAGCCTGTGGGCGAACAGCACATGGAGCGGGAAGAATGGGCCCATGGAGGCGCCGCCAACGAGAGTAATCCGGGTCTTCGCGAACAACGTGTGAGAACGACCCAGTTAAGAGACAAAATCTAGCGTCCCTCGAACGACACCGAAAACCTTGGTCCATGCGACTCCCCCGGGCGCAATGAGATTTGATGAATGGGTGGAATGGATGGGATGGGCGGCAGCTCCGGCATCTCTACAGGGCTCTCTGCCACTGTAAGCCAACACCACGGCAGCTGGCAACGGTCGGGCTCCCTCTGGAGAGACTTGACGGACGGGATGGAACCTAGGAGGCCTGCTCTGCCCGGCCCAGTGGCGCCATCGCTACCGAAAGATTCCCGTCCATTCCTGTGGGAGACAACGAGATTGGAAGGGAGACACCGTGAGCCCTGGAGATTGGGGGCGGTCATGGAAAAAGCAGGGAAATACAGTGCGAGCTGTCAAGTGAGGTGCACTGGGATCCCCGACCGTCTCTGTCTCTCCATCTGTCGAAACGCGGCTCTAGGCGAAAAAAAGAAAAATGTACAGGACCAAGATACGCGCCCGGTCGCCTTCCAAATCTTCCATGCGTCGTGGTCCCATGCCGGCGTCATCATCATCCTCTACCAGCACCAGATGGCCTCGAAACCTCCCCTTCCCCTCCCCAGACCTGCGAGCACCCCAGCTCCCGTTGGCGTCCCGTGTCTTGACCGGTGTGCGGGCGCCCGGGCGGTAAGGCGGAGAGAGCCTAGAGGCCAGCCCAAGTGAATCAGGGCCCCATCTTGAGAGCTCTATCTGGCGACGGGCAGGGCTTCAGGCAGGGCTCCAGGCAGGATAGATGACGGGAACCCATCGTTCAAGGCGGCCCAACGTAGCAGTCGGCAAACTCCCCTTACCGCCTGGGGATCCATTTCTGGGTAGAAGGATGAACTAGAAGGGCAAGGCGAGCAGAGAGGTGACCAACAAGAGACCAGGGAAAACCAGATTTCTTGCCGTAGCAGCATCGAAGCAGTCATGCCAGGCATGGAGACGAGGGCCGGATCGGAGCAACAGAGGGAGAAGCGACGGGGCAATGTACGACTATAGCTGAGAACAACACGACTGGAGCTCGATCGATACATCACGGCATAACCCAAGACAACACATGAGAGGGCACGGGAAATCAGATCCAACGCTCAACTCCAGACCCCACGAGCCAGGGAACCCCCTTGGGACGGGTCGGCGATACTCTGCCACCTACGCAACCCTCAACGCCCGGGCCTCTGTTGGCCAGCTCAACGCCGCAAGTGAGTGCCAGGTCGCAAGCTAAACTCCGAGTTGTTCTCACGGCCTCAACATCTGGTGGTGCTGGTCAACGGCCATCTTGCTCGTTCCTCATCCCATGAATCGCGTACAAACGGGCTAGGATGGGACGGCATACCTCCAGATTGGGCGTGACCGCACCCCGGCGCCGCCAATGAGCACCTGCCGACCAGCTGCTGAGGTGCTGCTGGCATAAGCATATCTGACGGCACTCAATGCCACCCAGTGCCACTCGCCCAGGCCGCGGGGTCGGCGTGGGCCGATTCTCGAGAGCCTCAGCCCATTCTGGGCCCGCTGCCACACGACGTCGCCAGACCCCCTGCGCAAACCCTCGGCCGGATCTGTCGATTTTGACCACCCGCTCGACTCGGAGTAATCCTAGCTATATATCCCCTTTGTGCGCGATGCTGTCCCAGGAGACGCCTACTTTTGCGCTCTTGTTGATGCTTACACACAACATTCTCAGCAATTCCACTTCATAAAGCCCCCCGGCAAGCTATCAATCGGCATCCCCACAGTCACCACTTACACGCCCTCGGTCCCGATATCGCCAACCACCACTCATCCGACCGACAAAATAACGCGAGATAAAACATCCCAGATTCGGCCGACAAGAGACGAGAAAAAGAGGAACGAGACCCTTGCCAAGCACAAACCCACACTCAACACCAAACACCCCCAGTCGGCACACGGTCCGTCACCCGGAAGAGTGCCCTGAGAACAACATCCCAGAGATCCTCCTACATATATATACTCGATCCCCAGTCCAAGCCCAGGCGCCCTATGGCGGCTATGATGTCGTCTGTCAACCCCTTCACACCGGTGACCCCCCCACCGGAAAGCCACGCCTTTCCTAAACCTCCTATCCAAAGGCCCTACCAGAACAACCTCAAGCGCAAAGCATCGATGCAAGAACCCTTCAGCGGCCTAGCCGGCCTCAACGGCCTCAACAGCCCCTCGATGATGGCTCCTCCTCCCGCCCCGACCTCACAGCCCAAGATGTCCTCATCACCCAACCTCAGCTCCGGCGGAAGCCCCGGCCCCAGCGACCCAAAGGACTCTCCTCCTCTTCCCAACGTTGCCGGTGCAAACCTCGATCCCAAGTACCTCGCCATGGTCTCTCGCATTGCCGCCTACTACCAGCAGAGGTGCCAAGCAGTGGCCAACTACCAACAACAACGATGCCAGGCATGGGCCAATATGCACCGGCAAAGGTGCCAAGATATGATGCAAGCCTCCATGCTCGTGGTCGCTTGGTACGTTAGGGATCGTATCCAGCGCAGGCGACGACGGGAGAAGCGCCGCTTCCGATCAGGCTTGAGGCGCAGGACCAACCAGAACAAGATCGCCCGCACAGAAGTTGTCCGCCGCTGGGTCAAGCAGATCCCCGAGGAGCCAGAGTCACCCAACAACCCCGTCACTGTCGATCTCGCCGACCGGGCCGAGGCCGAGTTCTCCATGGACCGTGACCCTCAGCCCGACAAGGACGCCAAGCTGTTTGAGATGGCCGATAACCTCATCAAGAGCCAATACAAGAAGATTGAGGTGCCCATCATGGGCGTGCTCAACTTTGACGACAGTGACAACGACAGTGAGAGTGATCTGGATGAGCCAGAGCAGTTCGACGAGATGGAAGAAGATGAAGAGGGAGAAGGAGAAGACGAATACTACGAAGTAGAGGATGATGATCTGTACGATGATGAAGACGACATAGAATTCACAGGAGACGGCGGATCCGAGGTGGTTCACCACGGCACTGGCTCTGGTAGCCGAAACAACGACCTGAGCGAATCCTCAGGATGAACTACCTTTCAATCCCAAAGGCTTGAAACATTTTAGCCCTATTTTCAGGGCGAGGTGGGATACCTCTTTAATGACGACGACAAAGACTACAAAACATCGGCAACAAACTCCAACCATGATGGACACATTCGGGCATTGGTTTCGGAACGGCGCAAATCTGCAGGCGGGTGATGGTCCAGACACGAACTTACTGGAGTCAAGAGCATCTCACTTTTTTTTATATGGCATACATACATCGATGATACCTTTTTCTGGCACGGGATATTTTGGGTCTGCTGTTGCTGTTGTTTTCCTTGGGCAGGGTTGCTCACCTGGCTTATTGTGGCTCGGCCAGGCGAGCAAACGTACGTACTACATCAAACCTCTACACTGTAAATGAAAGATATTTTCATCCGCATACACGCCAGACTACTTTTGGACATGAGGGATATTAGATCCCGTTGACCGTTTCGTTTCATGTATAAAAAGAATTACCCGTTGAGGAAAGATGAGTGACAACGTCAGTGAGAGTGAGAGTGACGGCTCAGGGACCAGGGCCGCAGGCTGCGCAACCGCGGCTGAGTAGTTTCAGATGGACTGGCGGTGGCACATTCACGCAATCGAATGGCTCAGCAAGAGGAGATGAGAATTTCGCTTGAAACGGGAGGACGGCGTTTGTGCGTACTGTACGGAGCGGCCGGGTGAGGAACAGGTCATGACGGGGCGGGCATCGTTCGATGGTTAGGGCTGCCTGTGGGTGCCTCTATTTTACCCAGACCTCTCCCGAATGGCCGGATGAGAAGACGGGAGTGAGAGGAGAGAGGAAGGAGATGACAGCGTTAAATAAGCCGGGTCTACCTGTGTCGAGGGTCCATTGATGGGGGTGAAAGGAAGGGAGGGACTGTGGCTGGGCCTGGCTCCTCCTCTGAGTTTTCTCATGCTGCAGGGCAGGTTAGATCTGAAGCATCTCTGTAAGATGCCCGACCGTTGAGAAAGTGACTTTCTTCGGGTATGAACGGAGGAGGATATGATGAGGCTGGGACTCACGCTGAGATGGACCCGGTATGGCTGTTAGTCTGCAGCAGAGCTCGGGGAGGCTGCCTGACTAACAACCTCGGTCTAATCTCCTACGTTCCTTCTACATCTCTCATACAAGCAATGGGCCTCATTACCAATCTAACTCAATCTGAGCCAGGTGTATCCGATGGTACGGCTCATGTGTCGTGCAGGAACAGAGTTTCCAGGCAGGACGGAAACTGCCAAGTGGACAGCCACAGAGTTTCCAGAAGGAGCAAGAGAAGTAGATTCCAACCTTGATTTAACTCTGGGCAGGTCTCGTGAGATCTGATTTCAATTCTTCCACTTCACTATCCTTGAATGCTACCCTCTTTGTCACCGTCATCCCATCCTCGTCGTCTACTTTGGGCCGGATCCCAAGTACTATGATACGCCTTAGGTCCTACATCAGCATCCCTTTACTGTCCTGACTCTGATTTCTACATACGCCTCTTTAACGGCATCGATATCCCATCACGATTCAACATGAGGTATGTTCGTCTTCCATCATGGTTCACGTCTGCATCAAACGACACACCAGCCCCGCACGCCACGACGCTTTCCCCAACCCTTTGGCGGCCCAGAGTTCATGGTCCAAAAGTTAGCGGGCCCGCTCCCCCAGGACGGGCATTGTCATAGCGCTCGAGCTCCAGCAAGTGCCTGGTCCCCCTGCACTGAAGGCGGCAATGGGTGTGCCAACTGGGGCGGTGTTCTGTTCTGGGCGATTTCCCCCGCTTCTCAGCTTGGCGTGTGAGGGCAGCATGTCAGAATAAAGCGTGCATTGTGTTAGGATGTATTGGTGGCTGTGTGTCTGACCTTTATGTCTGGTGTGGCTATTGGTGGCACAGCTAAGCTGCCGCGTGTGGAAGGAAGCTCAGGAGCTCACTTGACCACTAACTGTAGCTGCGAGACGGGAGCTTAACTGAGCTTCTCGCGTCTCACATCCTTCAATCCCGCATCAACAACAACAACATTGAGTTCATCAATTCAACCATATAAACATTGCTTCTTCCTCTCCGATCGCGCTCAATCTTCCCTCGCAAGCGCTCATTCCAGTCCCTCACTCAGCTTGACGTCATCATCGTCAAGCGTCGCTCACCACAGCTCGATAGTACCAACGATACCCCCTCCGATCATCCGCTCTCGGTCCCGGCGGCGTGTCCTCGACATTCTCCTTCGCCCGAAAGCCAGCAGCAGCATCAGCTCTCGGCAAGGCTTCGCCGCTTCTCGAATCGATCTGCTCCTCCTGCTCCAGGTCACCCGCTCGACTTCGATACTATGGGTGGAGGCGGCGAGCTCAAGGGCCATGGCTCTTCCTACCCCGTCTTCGCCGAGCGGCCCGTCGGCGTGCCAAAGACGAGCATTCTCAAGGGCCGCATTGAACCGTTCTATAAGTCAGGACAGTACTATAAGGTGAACCTGCAGGCGTATGTCATCCATCCTCTTTTGGCGTATGGCGGACGAACTAACTCTAGTCATGCAGGAACATGTACAATGCCAGGTACTCGGGTAAGCCTCACGTTCAACTCTCGGTCTGGGATGCACCAGATCTCTCTCGCCCAACCTTTGATGAGGCTGTGCGACACGAATTCAAAGAGACTCACACTGGTACCTCGTTTGGTCCATCATGGTCCACCCATTGGTTCAAGGTGGTGCTGCGCATCCCTGACGACATTAAGAACGAGGAGCTTATTGAGCTTCACTGGGATGCCAGCAACGAGGGTACCATTTGGACCGAAGACGGTGTCCCGATCCAAGGTCTCACCGGTAGCGGAGAACGCATCGAATGGATCATCCCCGACTCGTTCCGCGACGGCGAGGAGCACACCATCTATATTGAGATGGCTTGCAACGGCATGTTTGGAAATGCTCCTAACGGTACCACCACCATTGCACCGCCGGATCCTAACAGGCGATTCAATCTCTCCAAGGCCGACATTGTCGCCATCAACGTTCCGGCTCGCAAGCTCCATATAGATATGTGGGAGCTTGGCGATGCTGCTCGGGAGCTCCCCGAGAACTCGGCTGAACAGAACCATGCTCTCTCGGTCGCCATGAAGATCATCAACACCTTTGAGGTGAACAACCAGGAGTCTATCCTCAAGTGTCGTGAGATCGCCCGAGAGATCCTTGGTCCTGATGTCGACTCTCACAAGGTGTATGAGGTGGGCAAGGAGCCCGTCGTCTTTGGAATTGGCCACTGCCATATTGACAGCTGCTGGCTCTGGCCCTGGGCCGAGACGAGGCGCAAGGTTGTCCGCTCCTGGACGAACCAGTGCGATCTCATGGATCGTTACCCAGAGGCTACCTTTGCCTGCTCACAGGCGCAGCAGTACAAGTGGCTCAAGCAAGATTATCCTGCAGCGTACGAACGAGTCAAGCGCAAGGTCAAGGAGGGCCAGTTCAACCCCATCGGCGGCAGCTGGGTTGAGCACGACACCAACATGCCTAGCGGCGAATCACTTGTTCGTCAGTTCTTCTACGGCCAACGATTCTTCGAGGCCGAGTTTGGTTCCCGATGCCGAACCTTCTGGCTTCCCGACACGTTCGGATACTCGAGCCAACTCCCCCAACTGTGCCGCCTGGCCGGCATGGATCGCTTCATGACCCAGAAGCTGAGCTGGAACAATATCAATAACTTTCCTCACACTACCTTCATGTGGGTGAGTCCCGATGGAAGTCAGGTCATTTGCCACATGCCCCCTTCCGAAACTTATACCGCCAATGCCGACTTTGGTGATTTGAAGAGGAGCATCACCAACCACAAGACCATGTGCGTCGATAGCTCATCTCTGCTTGTCTTTGGCAAGGGTGATGGTGGCGGTGGCCCTACCTGGCAGCACTTTGAGAAGCTCCGACGATGTGCTGGCATCAGCAACACTGTTGGTGGCATTCCCAAGCTCAAGCTTGGTGCGACAGTTGACGACTTCTTTGATCGCCTCAACCACAAGGCGAGTGAGTTTCCTACCTGGTACGGCGAGCTCTACTTTGAGCTTCATCGCGGCACCTATACCACTCAGGCGAACAACAAGTTCTACAACCGCAAGGCCGAGGTCCTGCTGCGAGACCTTGAGCAACTAGCCACGGTTGCGTCGCTTAAGAACAAGTCGTACAAATACCCAACAAAGGACCTGGATGATATGTGGGAGGCAGTCCTACTCTGCCAGTTCCACGACTGTCTTCCGGGAAGCAGCATTGAGATGTGCTACGACGACTCTGATAAGGTAAGAAGTCATGTCTGGTTAAAAGAGATATATACTAACTTTTCTAGGTCTATGCTGAAGTCTTTGAGACTGGCAAGCGTCTACTGAAGGAATTGTACGACTCCCTTGCCGTATCTGAGGACGTCACCAGCTCTCTTCGCGAGTCGGTGGCCATCAACACTCTTCCTTGGCACCGAAAGGAACTGGTCGAGATCTCCAAGTCTGAGGTGGGTATTGCATGCGGCGATGGTCAGTTGTTGGCTCTCCGCACGTTTAAGACACAGGAGGACATGCCAGCTGTCACTGTCATGGAGAAGTCGCCAGATATATTTGTCTTGCAAAACAACCAGCTTCGCGTTGTTGTCGAGGATGGTGTCATTACATCCCTTCACGACATTGTCAACGACCGCGAGGTCATCGAGAAAGGCGGCAAGGCCAACAAGTTTGTTATCTTTGACGATATTCCACTCTACTGGCAAGCATGGGATGTAGAGGTCTACCACCTCGACGCTCGCCGACAGGTTGAATATGGCAGGACCAAGATCTTTGAGCAGAAGCCTCATCGCGTGACCTTGGTCACTGATATCAAGATCAGCAAGGACAGCTCTATCAAGTCTTACATCACCCTCTCGGCGGCTCTAGATGGACAGCCCTCTCAGATTGACTGCTCAGCCGAGGTCGACTGGCATGAGGATTCCAAGTTCCTCAAGGTCGAATTCCCTGTCGACATTGTCAACACCGAAGCCTCGTACGAGACAGCCTTTAGCATCACCAAGAGGCCAACTCACTACAACACAAGCTGGGACATGGCCAAGTTTGAGGTGTGCTGCCACAAGTTTGCCGATCTCTCCGAGAGCAACTATGGTGTGTCGATCCTCAACGACAGCAAGTACGGGTTCGCGACGGCGGGCAAGACGATGCGTCTGTCACTCCTTCGTTCCCCCAAGGCCCCCGATGCCAATGCCGATATGGGACAACATTCCATCAGATGGGCCATTCTCCCCCACAAGGGCAGTCTATCGTCGACCACCGTCAAGGCTGCGTACGCTCTGAACAACCCCCTGAAGCCTCTTTCAGCCTCACAGGCCGCCATCAAGAGCATCTCCGGTGCACCAATCAAACTGGTGAACACTGATGAATCTGATTCACTTGTTCTGGACACCATCAAGCGAGGACATGATGACGAAGATGTCAGCCGTGACGATGGTCTGCGCGTCAACAAAGGTCAGAGTATCATATGCCGTGTATACGAGTCTCTGGGTGGACGCAGCCGCGGCATCATTCAGACGTCGTTTGACGTCAAGCGGGTCACCAAGACCAATATCCTGGAAGATGAGTTGGAAGAGATCCATTACTCTGGTGGCAAGATACCCATTGAGTTGCGACCATTCGAGGTTGCAACCTACAAGCTCGAGTTGTAGGATGACGAGGAGCTTGAATGCAATTGTCCGCCCTCGAACATTCCCGTGTTTTTCGGTATTTGATAGTGTTGTTTTGAATGAAGTTAGTTAAGTTAGTTGCGGTTTACTGCTGAGTTGGGGTTATGCTGGAGGCTATGAGTCTCTGGTAGAGTATCAAGACAGATTGACAAGGATACGACACCGAGACGGTCTAGGATGGACACAGAGACAGGACAGAGAACAGAGCAAAACTTGTTTGAGCAGCAATAAATGCATCTATGATTCCAATTCCCTAAACGCCGTTTCCTTGATAAGTACCTGGTAAGTAAATAAACATGGTGGTCAGGCTAAGAATAGACAAGACTCGATCAAATCGATGAGGCCAATCACTCAACAAGGGTGAAGTATCCTATCCTACAGTCTCCCTATCGCCAACTCCTCCTCCTCCTCCAGCCATTAGATCCCAAATGAAAAGAGACGACCAAAGCTGTTTAATGAGAATCATCGGGGAGCTCCTCAATGACAGTCTGCACCATGTCAATGAGCTCATTGATATCAGGCCTCTCAGCAGGCTCAACACGCAAGCACTTCCTCACCACTTCACGAATGGGCTCGCTAATCTCGATGGCGGGGGCCTGCGGTTGCTGTTGCTGCTGCTGGGGTCGCATGCTGTTATTACGCTTGACGCCAGCTGGGCCCTCATCAGGGAAACGCCAGTCGCCACCAAGAACACACAGAGAGAGCGTGCCGCCAGTCTCGTCGGAGCGCATCTCGAAGGGGGACTTGCCAACGAGGCAGGCGTAGAGGGTGCAGCCCATGGACCAGATATCAACCTTTGTATCGATGACGGTGCCCGTCTGAACATCAAAGAGCTCCGGAGCGCGGTAGGGCATGGTTGAGTGCTCGGCGGCCGTGTCTTGAATTTGGAGGGCGAGGGACTGTGATGTTACGGGAATCGGGGATGGCGCCACGGAGCCGAGGTCCATAAGGATGGGGGTTGAGCCGGCATCGTCGATCATGATGTTTCCTTCAAGATGGGTTAGCATGAGTGAGAGTAATGGTTTGTCTGCAGCATGTACCTGGCTTGATATCGCGATGGGCATAGTGCTGAATTGACCTGCCACCGCTTACTTGGTTCTCATCCTCAAGCAAACCTCTCTCCTGCTCGCCCTCCTCTTCTTCCTCAGTCCGCTTGCCCCGTGTATTATTCCTTTCATCCCGATGCAGCTGATCCTCCTCATGGCCCATGTCCATGCGCTCGACGGGGGGTCTGTAGTCGTGCATGGCGCGCAGGGCCTTGCAGACGCCGAGGAAGAGCAACATGAGGCGACGCTCAGGGAAGCGATCGTGGTTGACGAGGTTGGCGTTGATCATATCCTGGAGGTTGCCGCGCTTGTAGTACGGCAGCAGAACGTAGACGGTCTTTGTCGTCTCATCTGCGCCTCGTTCCGTGGCAACCGAGTGGTCGACGGCCGAGATGATGGTCGGAACATGTGAGAACAGGCGATAGGCGTCCACCTCGCGCATAGCCTGCTGCACCGATTCGGCGCCAAAGGGACATCGGATCTTCTTGAGGGCAAAGAGCTCGTGGGTCGACGTGTCTTCGACGAGGTAGACGTATGAGAAACCACCCTATCCAGAGTCAGCGCTGATGCAGAGAATGCGCAGAGCGTCTAGCTAATGCTCACCTCTCCCAAGAGCCTTAGAATCTTAAAGCTTCGGTTGTTGATTTTGAGATTGGGATTTCCGGGGAAGCAGTTGAGACAGTTCCCGAAGGAATAGAAGAGGTCGAGGAGGACTTGCGCCATGGTGGATGGCTGCGCAGTGTAGATATCCGAGCTTGCGAGTGTTGCAATAAATTATCGCCTCTGCCCTTCAGAGTGCGTTCGACGGGTTGAGGCTCCCTGGGTCGGAGGAATGGGGGCGGAATCGGTCAATCGGGATGGTATGGATCGCCAGGAACAGCCGCAATAGCTATCGTGTCGCAATTGAGTGGGCTATCAACAGAATAGGTACAGGTAACGTCGGAAAGAATTCGTCGCTGCGCCTATGATAAATCAATGAAGGGAAACCTGCGTCACCGAGATGACGACGGAAATAGGCTAGTGTTGGACAAGCAAAGCAGAAAGGCAAAGGTGGACGACGGCCAAAAGTGGTCGAGATGGATGTTGTTTCGGCTGACGTTGGAGGTTGGATGGAAAGCTGATGCAGGCCAGAAGCTAAGCCACTGAAGGAGGCCAGCTCAGCCCCAAATACTTGGACCGGGCGCCACGATTAACCCGCCCCGGGAATGGGAATCGCAGGTAGGCAGGGCAGGCGCGCAGGCGGCAGGTACCAGCTGCCAGGCGCGCACCTACCCAGCTAACGTTAGCGAGCGGGCGGGCATGGGATGTTCCAAGCACTCCGCCCACTGCCCTGACCTGCCCTGCGAGTAAGAGCACCTCGCCTACGGTACGTACCGTTTCCCTCAGGGAGTGCCGCGGGACGGTGCCTTCCCTTCCCTCTCCCGACCACGCGGGCATCCACCCACATGAACGGAAACGGTCCTTTATTGGCTCATCTCGGAGATCCACATATCTCCGGAGAAAGTGGGGCTACGGTATCTTCCCCTTTTCGTCTGGACTGAAGCTCACTCCTCATTCACTCACTCACATCGCAGGACCTCACTCACAACCTCAATAAGCACAAGAACACACTCAAAAGTGTCTTAAACATTTCATTGTGTCGTCTATAAGCTAACCCCCTCCCACAATCGCTTTTCACGGTCTCTTACACAGTCATAAAAGAACAGGTTTCCCTTCCTCCCCTCTTATATATATCCTCCCAGTTCTCCATAGTTTCCTTGTCCAACTCGCCATCGCGCCCAGCTTGCAATTGAATACCACCCAAAAAATAACGTCCACAACACTGATCCCCTTGGTAAATATTTATACGCCTCGTAAGTAATGCATGTCTACGCGAGGGTTTACAAAAAGAAAGAGTAAAAGAAGAAAAGCGCAGATGACTCGACTCCTTGCTTCGTAAAAGATAACTGCCGTTGTTGAAAGCAAAAAACTCCTGTTCATGCCAGATAGCCCCATGCAGGGCTTCTGAGCCATCATGGCTTAAACCTTCTGGATCCACCTCACGATAGTAGGTTTCGCAATGAAGGACTAGCACTTGCTCCATTCATCGGTCGGCTCTCCGGTTGCCGCTGGCTGATTGAACCCGCCGATCCTGGAGGCTCATGTGGTGGAGGAAGCCCACTTCGAGATCCGGGCGGGCTCGCATGAGGTGCTGAGAATGGTGTTCTCTGCGGATGTAAGCCATGAGCAAATCCGTCATTCCTCGGAGGCGGAGGCGGAGGCGCTCCATTGCTCATGCTTGGCGGCGGTAGATGTGCCGGGGGGCCGTGGTGTCCATGGGACTGGTACGGGTGCACATATCGCGATGGCGGCGCCGGTCCGTTGAGTCTTCGAGGAGACGGGGGAAGTCCATTGACATAGGGCGGTGACCCGTGGTGGTTTACGGGCAGCGGTGCAGGAGGCGGAGGACCCGACAGCGGTGGGGGTCGCAGAGACGAGAGGTGCGGCGGGTTGTGAAGGGGGGGAGGTCCTCCATTGAGATGCCGAGGAGGCGATCCGTGCTGGCTTCCAGGTCGGGCTCCCCAGTCGTTAAATGAGGTTCTCGGCGGCGGTGGAGCCGGGTATCCGTGGGGAGCTGGTGGTCGGGCCCCAAGGGCATGGTCTGCGACATGAGCTGGAGCCTGCATTGGAGGAGGCGCTGTCTGAGGGGGGACATGAGACGGCCAGGCGTAAGTGGCAGGGTGCGGTTCTCGGTGGCCGGGTATGGCCTGTGGCGGGCTGTGTAGAGGGTTGACGGCCGCTGGCACACTGGGCTCTCGCGCTGGTACTTGAACTGGAGCTGGCGCTGGCGCTGGCGGAAGTGCCATCTCCACCATTGGAGGAGATCGCCGCGGCGCATGTGGCTTCGCGGTCCGCTGGGCCTTGCGGCACTTGTGACACTGGAATCGCCTCTGTTCCACAAACTTCTGGGCCTCACTTCCAAGAGTTCCATAGTGCCCGTTGGTGAGTTCGCGCTCTTGGGAGTTGTCAATTGGCCACCACTTGGGGCTGACATCGATGCCGCAGGTGATGCAGACCTTCTCTCCTGGTTGTTTGGCGTCCGAGGCGGCGTCCTCAGTCTCCCCACTGCGCTGCTGGCTCCATCCGCCTGCAGGAATATTCGTCGTTGACGACCGCCGTAGCCCAGGTTGAGTCGTTGTTCCCGTCATCTTGGCTGCAGTCGTCATCAGATTGGCCTTGCGGACGGTACCCGTCAATGTGAGATCGGCCTGTTTAAAGTTTTGGACGTAGAGCTGCAGAGCATTGAGCCCCGACTCGTTGACAATATCGTGCATACGATGAACCGTCGTCTTCGCTGGAGCATGGTCCTTGCACCAAACGGTCGCCGACATTGTGCCACTCTCTCCGCCGATTGTCACAGTCGTGACTTGGTCCCGACGGGAACTTTTCACGGGAGTAATGTCGAAGCCGAGAACGTGACCCTGCTGCCGTGCGCATTCCACATGCACTAACATGTCTGATTAGCATGGATGCCATCTGCTTGCTGCACGTAGAGTACTTACTTGGTATACGGCATTGATGGCACCAGACGCAAGCGCCATCCTTCTTGTTACAAACCTGGCAAACCTCGTCGTACTTGCTCCTAGGGATTGAGGGAATGCCTTCTGAAGGCTCCAGAGCCTTGGCATTACCGAATTTGACTTCTGGTGTCCAGACTGCGCAGGTTGCGTGAACCCAATTATTGTCGGCAGTCCGTTTGAGAGGCTCGCGAGGATTGACTGGTCGATTCATCTCCTCCTGCTTCTTGCGGTAGAACTCGGCCGCCTTTCGGGCTTTCTGGACATCCTGACGTTCCCTCTCGCGATCCTTTTCCGACATCTTCTTCTTGTGGTGCGTGAGCTTTGGCTGTTCCACAAAGTCGTACTCAGTGTAGTCAACAGGACACAGGACACACTTATAGTGCTGCAAATCACGTTAGCACCCATGCGCGAATGAGCACGGTATCACTTACTGTCGAGACCTGGGGGTTCTTGTCGTTGGCACACATATCGCAGGTCCATTTCTCAGGGTTGCGGTTGTCCATGATGCCATAGCAATTGCGGTGCACCGTCAGGCGACACTCGCGACAAGACAGGCGTTGGTCGCCTTGTGGCTCCATCTGACCGCATACAGCGCAAGGTAGCACTCTGGGCTTGGGCATCTCGGGCGCCGCCGCCCTTTCCACGCTCTTGTCCTTCTTCTTGGATGTGGTAGAGCCTGCCACACTGGCCGCGTCCGAGTGATTGTTGTCGGCATCCTTGTCTGAGGGGGCAGTCTTGAGCTTCTTGCGCGGCGGTTCTTGTCCGTTGGTCGCCGAAGGAGTTGCTGAGGGAGTCGGCGCTCGTTCAGGTGTCATCATGCCCAGGTCCTTGGCAGCCTGAAGCTCCTTGAGCAGCTCTTCATCCTGCTTGCGCTTCCAGGCACGACCGCCAGACTGAGCCACCTTCTTGGCCACCTCTTCCATGTCCTCCCATCGAATGGCATATCTGCGCCAAAGCTCTGCACATCGGCGACATAGAGCCACAACACGCTCGCTGCCCTTGTCCTTGTTTGCGTTCTTCGAGGCGTTCTCATTGACGAGTCCGGGAACAGGGTTTGGTGCACGTCGCCAGCTGCGCGAGTTCGTTGTAGAGCAGAACTGACACACGAAGCCACGCTTCTTCTGGTTCGCCTTCTCCGCATCGAAAGCCGAGTCATCGTCATTGTCAGCAACATCGTCGGCGAGCTTGCTAGCAGCAGCCTCGGCCCGTTTGGCCTCCTTCTTGCCCTTTCGACCCGACATGTTGGCCAAAACCTGTTTACCACGCTCGGATTTCTTCCAGGCATAGTAGAATCGGGTAACCATGCCAAAAGGCATGGTTTTGACATGCCTCTTGACAAGGTACAGTTCAGATCCGTACTTGACGACTGCTTCCTCAAACTTCTTCATTTCTGTTGGGGTCAATTCGGGCTCCTTGAATTCCGCCTTCTCTGTCTCGGGGACAAGTTTGATTGCACGTTTTGTGTCGAAATCAGTGCGGAACAGGGTGTTTGCGGCAACGTCCTGGAGGTTGGTTGATCGTTCCGGTAGTCCGAGACCCTTGGCCATCGTCTTGGCCTTTTCCATATACTTGTTAATTTCATCGCTAGAAATGACATCCTCTGAAGGGGGCATCCAAAGTCGTGTTGACGTGCACTTGGGATCATCCTCGTCGTGATCCTCGCCTCGAACGGTATAGCCAGGAGGCATGTCTTGAATCCACTTCGGTCGCTTTCCGCGCCAGGCCTTGTCAGCTTCTATGGCGGCCTGTGCCTCTTTCGACTTGGTATCCTTCTTGCCATTTTTCTTGGTCTCAGGCGGCTTGACATACTCCACAGGCTTTCCCGGCCATGGCAGAACATTGGCCTGGTGACGTGGGCCAATTCGTGTGCTTGCGCGAGGATAAATTCTGTCGTCGTAATCGAGGGCATCCTCGGGTTTGCAGTGCATACCCAAGTATCTATAAGGCCAAAGGCTTGCCTGGTAGATCTGTTCGGCAGTTCCCTCGTGAGGTCCATGGCCCTCCTCGTCGGGGCTAGTGCGGCCTGTGTCGACACCCTGCATCTCCTCATCTTCCTCATCCAAGAAGTCGTCATCATCGCCGTCAAAGCTGGGGTCATTGACATTAGGAGTGTTGCGAGCCTCCAGCTTCCTCTCCTGCGCGCGACTACACGCAGCGCAAGACCAGGCGAATCCTCTCGATGGCTTCTTGAGCAGGGGCGGCTTGACACAATTCATATGATACGTGTTTTGACACACGGCGCAATCAACCGAATCGTTGCTGGAGGTATGAGGTCAGCCACGGGACGTGGGTGGGACGTGGGGCAGGGGGTGAGGTACGTACCTTGCGCAATAGCCGGTGCATCTCCTGCAGAGCTTAACGGCGCTAGTGAGCTCCTTGCCACGCCCCTGCTCAACTAGCACGTATTTCCAGCGCTCGTCGAGCACCTTTTTCACGTTGGCAGGGACGTTGACAATCGAGCGCGTGGGGATCAGGTCGTAGTTCTTCTGGATGTACCGATCATACAGCTTGTCGTACCAGAAGCTGTCGGGCGTCTTGCGGTAGGCTTCCAGGCTGGGGATCTCAGCCTTGTGGCGAATCTGACACTTGCCGCGGAGCGCAGTCAACGGGCTGATGTCTGAGTGCATCGTCGCAAACACATAGCGCGTGTCCGGGGCCTTTCGCCCAATGTCCTTTGGCCGGTAGTACCAGTTGATGCGGATTGCGTCCACAGGCTTGTTCGTGTCATTCTGCGCATGGAGAAACTCCATGATGCGGCCCAGGTAATATGGTTCTCCTGGTGGCTCGCAGACGAGGTACACATGATCTGCATCACCGGGTTAGCCACGCTCTGTCCGATTTTACGGTGGACCTCGGAGGGGGGAAAGCATGTTACCATTTGCTTCCAGCACCGTGCCATCGTCGGCCACCATCCGCCCGTCGACGGGTCGTGCCTTGCAGTCGTCAAAAGTCAACATGTTAGTTTCGGGCCACGAAATGCCCGTGGTCGGTCCAGAGGTCGTCGTCGCCTTCTTGGACGATCCATTAGCGGAGGCGCCTTGGGTGGTGGACCCTGCCGACTGGTTTGCGGCCTTGCGCTTTCGTGTAGGCTGCGAAGGTGCCGTTGAGGGAGTGGTGGTGGACGCATTGCTTGAAGCGACCGGCTGCTGCTCCTTGGGGGCATTCGCAGATTGCCCGGCTTTGGCCTCGTCCGTGCCAGCCTTACGTGAATTGGCACCGGCACGGGGCGGCGCATCACCGTTCGCGGCGGCACTGGCCTGTCGCGATGACTTTTTGGAGTCGTGGTCCTTCTTGTCATGATAGTAGTCGTAGACATCAGTGTCGATGTCCTTGTCCTCAGCGTAGTTGGGGCGCGAGGTGCCCGTCCTGTTACGAGAGCGAGTCCCGTAGGGTGACGCTGTGTCTGTGCCAGCATCCTTGGCCGCACCTTCAGAACCTGATTGAGTGGTCATCGGGTCGGCCATGGAGTGAGCTTCAGGGTCTGAAGCTTTGGAGTCCTGGGTGATGAGTTAGAGAATGGGTCCAATCGCGACCGCGCTGGCACAGCTCGCCGCTTGAGTGTGAGAGAGCGAGGTGTGAGAGTAGAGGCGAATAAAAAAAAAGTTGGGTAAGAGTGTATCCAGTGAATAGACTTGAAGGATAAAGAGAGGAGCTCACATTTTGTTGTGCCATGACCTCCAGCAGAAAATCACTTGCGCAACAATGAGATGAAGTGAATCGCGTATGGAGGCATGCCCGGAGGTGATGGGTTGGCGGAGGAGGGTGCGAGGATAGAAAGGGCGCGAGAGAGATGCCGAGATTCGCCTCTAGGCGGGGGAAGTATAAAGAGACGGCAGAGACAAGTCACGAGTATAAAGAATAGAGATGGAGGCTCAACCAAAGTAAGAATTGCCTACCGTGATGGAGTGGAAGCAAGGTTGAAAGAGGAAGAGATGATTCCCAGGCGCCGGGAGCAGAAACGTTTGGCACTCCAAGAGCCCTGGCCAGCCCGTCGATGCATGGATCCTGGCCCACACTTTGCTAAAGGAGCACGGGGGCGGTGTTAGCATGAACCCTCGAGGTAGCGCCAGGTAGCCGCTATCACGGCTGATGCGGCCTGTTTGCCTCTCCCACCAAGCCTGTCACCCCAACACGGTGGCTTGCACCCCCGGCACGATGTTCGTGACCACATCTCTACATGGCACCCTAGTGCTACCTCAGTCTCCACGGGGGCCCATCTGGGACTCGCAGCACGACGGGATCTCAACCCAACTCTGAGCGTGTCCACGGGTCCACGGGTCCTCCCACAAGAGCAGACCATGCCGGGGAGAGGACCACTACAGAGCCGGTCACCACCAGACCGGGCCTGCTTCCATGGACGATACGGCCGGTTTGTTTTTTGGTGGGAAGATTCCGTGGCCGACCAAGATCTCGCGATGCCGGCCAAGGTCGTCGCAGCGCAGCCAAGCATGGGCCATACCTAGACGACAACAACAATGTCTACTCACCAAAACCCCAATGGATGGGTGTAAGGCGATCTCGAGCATGTCGGTCGACAAGGGGAACGGGACACGTACGAAATATGACCGGGCTGTCCTCTCGTCTCGCTTGCTTGCTTGCCCTCCGCTCCTAATCAAGTGCGTTTTGCCCCATCGTCTCTCTGGCCGCCGATGCTCAAAGACGAACGTGCTTCTTTTCTGGGGGCAACCTAGCGGTGCCTGCTTGGGCTGGTCAGCCATGGATATAAGCCCTCCCTCTCGATTCGACAACCTTTCGGCTCCGCCATCCATGATAGTTCACCCCATGCCCGTGCCATGCCGAGTTCGTCATGCGCCGTTTAACCCAGATCGACGTCCATGATGGCTTCTACGCAGTCCATGCTTCTCTGATTTGTGTGTATCGCTGCTACAGTCAATCACTGGCACTGGTCAGCAAGAGATTTCGCCCAGAGGAGCAGGCATGAAACCTGTCAAAAATGTGAGCTTAGACAAGGAGCATGGGGCAGCGCCAAGTCATCCGTCGCCATCTCGCACACCCTTGCACGCCCTCCCTCGACTCAATCATTGTCAACGGAGTCGTCGCTATCAAGCCCCCCGTACCTCCATTGTGTGCTTGTGCTTCTGCTGCTGCTTCAGGGCGACAGGGAGCCGGGGGTATTCCATAGGTCCCGTTACCTATGTTTCCCGACAAGCGATAGCGGTTGCGCCCTCTCGCTCTAGTCCATCGTTTTGCCAGGAGACGGGACTGAGATGACGTTAATATACAACGCCCACGTCCTTTCTTTATTTCCCTCTCGCTGTCTCTCCCCCATCCTCTCTCTCCATCCATTCTCTTTCCAAGACCCTTGTCGTCATCCCGGCATTTTTCCCCCTACCAACTAACACAGAGTCACAGGCAATGACGAGCAAAGGCACACCACCCCCCAGAAGCCATGGTCGCAGATCATCTCATCATGCCTCAATTCCGATACCTTGAATGCACGGCACGCGGTGAAAGGAGCCTTTCCAGCAGCCCGCACTTATCAAGCAGGTCCGAAATGCCACTCTCCATCAGCATCATTACCTCGGCATGCATAAGCAATCATCAATATTGTCGAGTTTTTTAAGCTGCAAGCAAGGAAGGGCTGGCATTATAGACAGCGAACCATTACCGACGGCATGGGGCCAATCTGTTAGGGTCCGCCTACCGTAGCACTAGGCGTTTCCCCTCAAGCATCCGTGGACCCAGGCTAGATCCAGACTCGAGAGCCGGCCAATTTCGCGCCAGAAAAACGGATGTGCGGTGATGATGTTGAGATCCTCATGGAAGCTGACGGAGGCAGTCGGTAATAGGGCTAAGGATTGAGCTGGCGTAGTAAAGAGCCAGCTCCACCGGCGTGGCCGGGGCTCCGGTTGGATGGGTGCCCCCAAGGCCCTGGCTTCCACTTCCATTGCCTGCAGTCAGTGTGAGTGTGAGTGTGAGTGAGTGGTGACCAGCCATCCATGGCCGGTACGTATCCAACCCGTCCATCCACTGACTGCATCGATGGAGTCCACCTCATCTTGGGGACTTGTTAAGAAGCCACCAAGACATGCCGCCCGCCTAGCAGATAGACGCAGCACTTGTCCTTGTCCGCCTTGACTGAGAACCCGTCAATCCATCCCTATCAGGTCCCCGTCCGTCCTGCTCTTCTCCCACGCTGGCACTCTTCCCTCTCTGGAAAAGCCTGGCGTGGCCCCAGGGTGGATGGATGGAGGGTGGCATGCAACTGGGCTTGAAGCCGCCCCCGCCCCTCCCCCCTGTTCGGACAGGCTTTTTCTGGACCACAACCATTTCGTACCATGGCCCGCCTGGGAATGTCTCAACTCCCTCGCTGTCGCAATCTACCAGACGTTGGCAGAGGCGACCGCAAAGATCAGCTAGGCCTTGTCGACACGAACGTTTCATTTGTCCTGTCGAATCCGCCCTCTGTAGCACATGCCAGTCGTTTTAGCCGGCCGCCTAAGCCAGGGCCTAAGCTTGCTCGCCAGAGAACAGCCGAGATACTTGGATGAGGCTCTAGAATGTCTTCCCTTCCCTGGGGGAGGGACAGAGCGTACGGTAAGTAGGTTGTTCGACCACTGACCCAGCATGGGTGGTCCAAGTTCGTGAGATTGGGTCAATTGCATTTAAATCACACAACCATTATACCACTCGGGCATGGATCATGGCCAGGACAAGCGACGGCGGGCATGTCTCGGGGATGGTGGATGGCCCAGCGATCAGCCGATCCGATGGTAGAGTAGGCGCCGAGACGCGTGCATCTAGCATCTCGCTGCTGCCAACTCTACTGTACAGCACTATTTCATCAACAACAACAACAACAACAACAACAACAAGAGGGAAGCGGGAGCCCTTTGGCTTGGGCCAGGGCTGCAGAGAATGCTGCACTACGCTGTGGTCTGCATGGTGTTGTCGTCGAATCAAGATTCAATGGATCGAAATGGCACCCCCAAAACCCCGCCCCTCAAAAAACGTGAAGGGTCGTGGGGCTAGGAGGGAGGTATGGAAGCCAGCAGGTACTTGTTTCTAGTGCAGCCGGTAGGCGACGACATTTCGATTCGGCAAAGCATGAGTATCTCGGTCCAATCTTGAGTGCAAGGTAAATGCTGCATTAAAGTCTCAGAGGAATGAATTTTGGCAATTTTTTCGGTCGTGAGACAGAAGCCCGTTCCCTTGGTCGTCTAAAAGTGACTTAAGAACGACGTTGTAGGGACAAGCATGACGCCGCATGGCTGGGACGCCGCCCGCGAGGTACCAAGGAACAAGGCACTGCGTCGGCAAACCACAAATAATGAAGAACAACGGGGGACCGAGTCGCTTTGTGGACGATTTCGAGATTTGTATAAAATTCCCGCAACTCAGTAAGCAAGTCGACCAACCCTACACCCCGATTAAGAGTCTTCAGCGAGGTCTCACCGACCTAACAAATACGCAATGGATGCGAGGGCGCTACCGACGAGGAACACGACCGAAGAGACAGGTTTATGCTGGGCGGTCGGAGAGAACCGCACAGGGTTCATTCCCGGCGGCAGGCCAATCACGGCGCCATATCTTGCCGCGGGGCACCACTCAGCCAGAGCCCTGCAAATCGGCTGCAGCTTGTCGTGTGGTGTCAGGAACGCCCCGCGTTTGAGTGGCTCTTGCCTCCAAGCGCACCTGCCCAGACCGCAAACCTGTCCTCCCTTGGCCACCTGTCGCCCACGTGACATCGCGTTTCTGCCTGTCCTTCCTGACACGCCTGGACGCGCGTGTCACGTCACCTTTTCAAGGAGGATCTTTTCTTTGATGTCGGAGTAGCTGGAGATGTTTGTGACCGTTGCCCATTACCTTTTCTTGATTTCTTGTTTTCGTTTGCTTTCATTGTCCTTTGCTTGTCTTGTTGCTCACGATGAAAAGTATACGAGGGTTGATGCACACAACCAGTGTTGAAGCTGCCCATGATCGAAAGACAACATTCGCTACCACATCAATTGTCGGACATAAGAGGAGTTTATCCAACACCGGAGATGATCACAAGCCTCGGCCATCCGCATCTCGGACCGCTGTCCAATTCCAGCGAGCCGTCAGTCTACCCAGTGCACCTCCCAGAATCTCTCCCAGTCGCATCGTGAACCTCGACGAGCGAGTGGGACCCTCTGAATATTCTCAACGGAGATCGATAGCTGCGACTCCTACAGCCTCTCACGACCCCGAGTTGGCTTTGAACCACCCGACATATGGCCTACCGCGGCATTTGGTGGACAATTTTGCGTCTCTTGGCATCAAGCAAATATATCCATGGCAAAAATCTTGTCTCAAGGGACCTGGCCTATTGACAGGAGAAAAAAATCTCGTCTATTGTGCCCCCACCGGTGGCGGCAAGTCGTTGGTTGCTGATGGTGAGTTGAATGCTAGAAATGAAGAGCGGAAATTAAATGATGGCAGTACTTATGCTCAAGAGGATATTGGAAGAAAAGGGCACAAAGGCACTTCTTGTTCTGCCCTATGTGGCTCTCGTTCAGGAGAAAGTTCGATGGCTTCGAAACGTGGTGCAGGGACTGCGGCTTGCCACGGAAACGGTCATTGATGACGATAAGCGCATCTGGCGTCGACGAGCAGACGAAGGGACTGTCCGTGTCGTTGGCTTCTTTGGGGGTGGAAAAGTCCGAGCAACATGGGCAGATTTTGACATTGGTGTCTGTACCCTGGAAAAGGTCAGTCATACCCAGGCCTGCGCTTCCCGGTGGTTAAAAATGGTTAACGGTGATCCAGGCGAATGCACTTGTGAATACCGCAATTGACGATTGCTCCATTACCAAGCTCCGAGCTGTTGTGCTTGACGAGTTGCACATGGTTGATGATGAGCACAGAGGATATCTTCTAGAGCTCGTGGCTAGCAAGTTGCTGAGTCTTGAGCAGCCTATCCAAATTATCGGCATGAGCGCCACACTGCCGGTACGTAACTACATCTCCGACCAATGCAGCTACACTGACACTTCAGGGCAGAATATGGACCTGATGGCTCAGTGGTTGGACGGTCATTGCTATGAAACTCGCTACCGACCTGTTCCTATCGAAGAGCATCTTGTATATGACGGAAACGTCTATCCCGCGGGTTCTACCAGCAGCCTCATAAGGACCGCGGCACAGCTAAATAATCGGCCCACCCAAACGCCGTCGCTCACTAAACCTATTAGGCGGATTGAGCCATCAACGCACAAGGAACTTCGTGATCCGGTTCTCAATGCAGTCGTCACGCTCGCTTGTGAGACTGCAACTTCTGGCTTTGGTGCCCTCGTGTTTGCTGGCAGCCGTGGCATGTGCGAGTCGGATGCTCGATGGATCAGTCGTGCGATGCCTCCTCCAAATGAGCTCAGACCCGAAGTTGTCGATAGGAGAATGGATCTGTTGGGCGAGCTTCGAAGTTTAAATACCGGCATTGACCCAGTGCTGGAGGAGACGGTGCTATATGGAGTCGCATTTCATCGTAAGTTATCGATCTGTTTTCGTTAATGAGCCTTTTTTGCTAACATCATCAGATGTGAGAACCCCAAACAACAAAAAGAGTCAAACCGTTTCTGACAAAACAGGCCGGCCTAACAACTGAAGAGAGGGATCTCATTGCAGCGGGATATGATGATGGTGTTCTTCTCGTCTGTGTCGCCACTTGCAGCCTTGCGGCTGGGATTAATCTGTTAGTTCCCCTCCCTGGCTCCAATGATTCACTAACGGCTCTAGGCCTGCAAGAAGGGTAATTCTTCACAACTGTCGGATGGGGCGCGAGTTTGTTGGGCCGTCCATGCTCAGACAGATGCGAGGGCGCGCTGGAAGGCAAGGCAAGGCGCCTATCGGAGAGACATATTTGTGTTGTCGAGAAAACGACCTTGAACAGGTTGTAGAGCTCATGAATGCCGAGCTGCCCCCAGTCACAAGTTGCCTCAACACCGAAAACCGTCGCATCCAGCGGTAAGTTCTGTGCTTAGATATCCGTGCACCCATTCACTGACAGAAGACAGTGCACTGTTAGAGGTCGTCTCCATCCGCCTAGCAACGAGCCACGAATCCATCCATGACTATTTCTCTAAATCACTGCTGAGCCATACTCATTCAGCTAAATTTGTCAACGAGTGCATCACATCAAGCTTGGAAGAGATAGAGAAACTGGGGTTCGTGGAGCGTGATTCTTTCTCGATGCTTACTGCAACGCAACTTGGCAAAGCCATTGTGGCATCGGCAATTGACCCCGATGACGGCATCTTTGTTCACAAGGAGCTCAGTCGAGCACTTCAGGCGTTTGTCATGGATGGAGAGATGCATGTGCTCTACACATTTACACCAGTCCAGGAATTCGGCATCACGGTAAACTGGCAGGTATTTCGAAATGAGATGGAGGGTCTCGACGAAAGTGGTATGCGGGTACTACGCCTCTTGGGGATCAAGCCCACCACGATCCTTAGACTGTAAGTCATTCCATGGATCCCATACAGCTTCGCATACTAACTATAATGACAAGGGCTCAAGGTGCAACCCTCCGAGAAGTTACGCCGGAAGAGAAACAATTAGCTCGTATTCATCGCCGTTTCTACCTTGCTCTCCAGCTGCGAGACCTATGCAATGAGGTACCAATACACATGGTGGCACGAAAATACGACGTGCCTCGTGGGACTGTCCAGAACCTTTCGCAGACATGTCAAGGCTTCGCTGCGGGGATGATCAAATTTTGCGAACAAATGGGATGGGGGTAGGTGTCTCGCAGACTGAATCAAGCAGCACAACTGACCAAGCCCAGTGTCATGGCCGCAGCCCTGGACCACTTCTCAGACAGGCTTATTGCTGGCGCAAGAGCTGACCTGTTGGCACTGGCCAAGATCCCCTTTATCAAGAGTCGTACAGCGTAAGTGGGCTTCCCCCTTGGGAAGAAGCTGACGTTAACGAGGTACAGCCGTGTATTTTGGGAGAATGGATTTCGAACTGTCGCTACGATCGCCAACGCAGATCCAGCGGAATTGCTCCCCGTGTTAATGCAGGTGAGGAAATCAAATCCAGCTTGGACCGATGATTCAATGCTCAGACTTCTATTCTAACCTTGACTTTGAAACTGGCAGGCCCAGCCAAACAAGATCCGGTTGAAAGGCAAAGACAACGACAAATACGAAGAGAAACTGATGGTCAAGGCAAAGGTGATATCAGATGCCGCCAACAAAATCTGGAGTAAGTGGCCATTCTGCCTGCTTGGCTCTGCAGTGATACTGACTGTTGCACTTTGAAGGGCTCCAGATGCAGGCTGAACTGGAGGAAGAGTAGGCTCCTCTCGGTGGGCCGGTGTCTCTTGGTCTAGAGGTAGGCATGATGGCGATCCTATTGCCTTCCCGCAGCATGTCGATTCTTCCCTTGTTCGCATGAACGAATCAAGATACACTCGATGATGAGATGAATAAACTTTACCAAAGCCCAGGCAACCAATTGTGGGACTTGTTGATTGCGCCGGTCGCGGGCAGAGTCACAGCGAAGGAAGCCAGGCCTCAGGCAAATGGGTCGTTTGGATGCAGCGTGTGATGGCATGCAGCACAGTGGATGGGCCGTGCTGGCAGCTCGGGCGGCGGAATGAGGCGCGGGCCTCAGATGTGCGTGAAGGCTCACGTCACCGAGCATGGATGGAACATCCGACACCGAAAGGAAACCGTTGTACGCGAGACGGAGACGCGATCTTCGGTATTGCAAGTCCCTCGGGACCCAGAGCTGGCCACCTACAGTACAATACCCACGGTATCCAAGACGATTTCTGTCCAGTACATGGATCCTTGGCGAGTGTCAGGACGGGCACACGATGCGGTCAGTAGCCAGGCGGCCACGCCCGGGCTGGCTGCATATTGCCTTTGCGGATCTACCAATGCGGTATGCGCATAAATTGCCTGGTCGCCTTGTACGGGAGCACAAGGTTGTAGGCGTCGGCGCCATACTTGTTCTGCGCAAAACGGCAGATAGAGGTTGGGGGCTGCGCCTCGCCATTGGCAAGTGGCCAAGCACCCACATGTTTGACATGTCGTTGGTTGGTGTGCTCACGGCGCGTGTGTGTGGTTGTGCTGGTGCTGGTGCTGGTGCTGGTGCTGGTGCGCCTTGGTGCGTGTGTGAGAAGGTCTACAGGCAGATACTGCGACTGTACTATTTCTGCTCGGCCAGCGTTCCGGCCGGTTCTTACTTGTAAAGCCTTCTTTCCGCGCTCGCGGTCCCTCACGCGCTCACCTGGATCTGGACTGGATATACCTCCACTTGATTCGATTCATCACCATGGAATCGAATCCCAGGATGGCCCGAGTTACCGAAGCCGGTGGCACGACCGTGACGGTCCATACCCTGGCCGAAGCCATGAGTGCGCCTTCAGGCCCGCCTAATGTCGTCGTGCTTGAGAGAGACTACCAAGAAGATAATGAGAAGAAGGTCCCCAGTGCATCCGAGGATCTCTGGATCAGCTCCGTTGATGGGCGGTATTCGTCCCCGCCTGTGCCAATTCGGGTCGGGCCCTTGAATAATATCCAGACATTCTACGTGTGTCTCTGATCTAGCGGCAGATGTGAAAGAGCAGGCGAGCTAATAAATCCCAGGTTCACAAAGATATACTTATCCAGGCTGAGTGGTTTCGAAAGGCTCTTTGCGGCGAATTCAGGGAAGCTGAGGAACAAGTCATTGACCTGCCGGAAGAGGACCCCGCGATCTTTCACTTCCTTGTCGCTTTCCTATACGAGGGTCGCTTCGAACCTATCCGGCCAGCAGCGAGTGCCTTGGGTGAGCAAAACAGATTCGCCGTTCTTTGGCTGGTGTGGATAAGCTGACGCTATCTCAGAACCAAGGATCGACAAGGGAAAAGGTGTCGAAGTAGCTCCAGAAGCAGCAGAGGCCTCAGACTCAGGTTCGTCTGACAATTCATCCGGCTCAGAACGAAGTTCAGGTAGTCCAGGGCCGGGGTGGAGATATCGTCGCCGACGGCGTGTGCAACTTAGACAAGCCGCCGCGGACCGGAGCCAGGAGAAGCAACCCGGTGTTCATCGACCTGGGTGCGGTTGCCCTCGATGCCTCGCTAGACGGGATTTCGCCATGTGCTGGCACTGCGGTGCTCGTCGTTTTCCTGGTGACAATGGAGGGCATAGAGTCCAAGCTCCTGGGCGACATCCGCCCCCAGCGCCCTACCGACCAGTTCATGCCGGCCCGCCGCCTTTACAAGACCATCCCGTGCGTATACAGGGCGAGGACTTGCGGACATGGCTTCTGGCTTACGAGCTCAACCTTGACGTCTACATATGCGCCAACCGCTTCCTCATGGACGACTTTCGCAAGGCCGTGATGCGCTCATGTGTCGATATGCTAGAGACGGCAGGGGCAGATGCTGCACAGACGGAAGTTCTACAATTGACAAAAAAGCTATACAACGGCGTACCCGAGATCGATCCCTTGCTCAAGATGGTGTTGGCACGAGTGGGTTTCCTCCAGCCCCTGCTGTGGAAACGAGCGCCAGAGGAAACAAGCGAGTTTTTGGTGAGCAACCCAGAGCTAGCTGCTGCGGTACTGAGGGAAACAGTCATGAGGCACGATGCCATCTCAGGGATAGCGGTCTTTCCCTCGATGGAACACACAGGGGAAATGGGGAATACAGCATATGAGAATGAAAGGCAGAATTTGGAGAGGGTGATGCCCTACTATTAGCATGACTGGTTGGGGATAAATAGCAACAGGATTTAAGAGAAGGACTTGGCTTCTTTACGACATAGGTGTTCGGCTCAGGTATCAAGGGGGAAAGACTGTGCCCGGCAGTCAGCGGCGCCGCTGTTTTGTCCAGACCCGTGGGATTTTGTATCTATTAGGTCGCTACATAGATGCATATTGCGATGACTCCCCTCCCTTTCTACATCAGTGGCAGCATATCCCATCTCTAGTCGAGGACGTCGTCCCTCAGGCTAAACAGTTGTTGCAGGACCTCCTCCGACTTGGCCCTCAGGGCGGAGTGATACATGACGTTTGTCTCGAATGTCTTGGCCTTGACCAGTTTGGCCGTGTCTCGAGCGAAATCGTAGTCGACGTACATATCCTCGATATAAGATGCGGCATAGACGGGGACCTTGTTCTGGCCGAGCTTCTCCTGGTCGTATAGCGCAGGCCAGTCGTCACGGTTCGCCAACAGCTCAGCCTCCTCACGCAGGACTTGCAACTCCGGGTATGTCTCAAAGAAGAATGGGAAGATCATCTCGCCCGAGAAATACAACGGGCCTTTTGTCGAGGCAGAGGAGAAGTCTGAGCTGAGCCAGGGGAAGGATTCGAGAGTCTTGCCAACACGGTGAGCTGCCCAGCGAGAAGCCGAGCCAGGACCATCGCAGTAGATGGCCTCGTGGATGATGGCGTAGATGATGTTGGTGTCGAAGGGATTCCAGCCCTCTAGTGGCACCAGGGATGCCCTTGTAAAGAATCCGAACTGATCAAGAGAGGACTTGAGGTGCAAAATAGCCGAATGGACAGTGTCAAACCCCCCATGGCCGCCAAAGGCAAGACCCATTGTCAAGAGGCGAGGAACAGTGAGTGAGCCACCAGAGGGTAGAGGAACGCTTCCATCTTTACCCTCGATGTACTTGGCGATCTGACGAACGGCTTCAACATCCTCGGGGAATTTAGCATAATACTGCTCATTACGCTTCACCACTAGTCGGAACGTCGCCTTGTAGACCTCTTCAGGGCTCTTGCCGACAGGAGCAAGACCACCAGTGAGGAAGACCTCCCTGAGACCATCTGGATGCATGGAGAGGTAAGACAGTGCGACGAAGCCTCCGTACGACTGTCCAAAGATGGACCAGGGCTGCTTTGGCGCCGACCATTTGGCGGTCAGACACTTGCGGACGGCCTCACAGTCACGGACAGTGTTGTCCTGACGCATGAGGCCGAGATACCGCGCCCGGCCCTCAAGACCGCCGGGCACGAGGTTGAGCATCTCAGCACTCACCGGGGTGCTCAATCCGACACCACGGTGGTCGAGCAGGAGGACCTGATACCCCTTTGCCAGGGCGGGGCGGGTGAGAGGATGGTCCTGAGGCTCCCGGTTGCCAAAGCCAGGTCCCCCCTCGAGGTAGACCATGTAAGGCTTTGGCGCATCACCAGAAGTGGTGTTGTCCTCGTCATCCTCAGGTGGGAAGATGGGAGCCTCGTGCTTGCGAACGCGACGGGCAAAGAGCGTGATGGAGGGTCCCTCAAGGTCTGTGTAGTCGAGGGGCACCTGGAAGAACAACTCGGTGACGCTCAGCTGGCCGGGAAGGACATGGGAGGTGCTGCTGATGAGCTTAGCCGGGGGAATGGTGAGGACGTCAGGACCAGGCATGATGGGCGGTGTATTTGAGACGGGTGTTGTTAGTTGAGTTACGCCGAGATAGTTGATGGCGGGGTTTGGCGGATGAAGCTCGCTATCTTGGAGCTGCTGTAGTGGATGCAGGATGTCGGACACGGTGAGACCTCTGCAACAGAGCACTGATCGAGGCTTCTTTTGTACGGCCCTGGAACAGCTACAGCTAATTGACCTGCCCAATGTGATGTGCTGGCAGTGCGCAGTGTTTATCTACAATCTGCAGGTAGTTAACTGCTGTATCAGCGCTGTTTGTGCCCACTCTGGGGAAGCGACCTGCAGCATCACTTGCAGGCTGACTAGGTATCGAGAGGTAGGCCATTTCTGGGTAGCCAACGGGTGAAGGAGTATTTGACGGTACGATAGGAAACATGTTATTCGCTATCAACAACCTGGTTAGATCTGAAAAAGTCGAGTTGCTGCCAGATGGTGGACATGTACAGGGTAGCGATGTTACAATGACCGCTACTACAAGGGTTCAGACAGTCTCCGGGTCGAACCGTCGCTACCTATTCGGAAATCTGACATGAGATGAAAGCAAAGATAGATAACAATCAAACTGAGGCATCATACTATACTGACACCTGCTCATGCGTCCCTTTACTCGACAAGGTCACGTTTCCTGACAAGTGACTGACTGATGAGCGTCCCTCGGCTCGGAGTATTAGGCGCCCACTTTCACCTCCACAATCCGACCAGCATTGGAGATTCGGCTTAGGAAGGCTCCGAGACACGGAGATGGATCTGATAATCGCGTGTTTTCTGCCGCCGGTACATACAGTAGGTGTATGTACGCAGTCTCAGACATTTCTACTTTCCTGTCAGGTGTCAGTCACATGAACAATGCATGAACACACGACCGGGAAACAGGGTCGCATATACTTTTAAGCCGCATCTTTTTTCTTTCGCCGATTCAACAACGGGAGATCTGACTTGAGATCCGAGTCGATTCGGAGCTAAAAAAAAATCCCCTTTTAAACCAGCCCCCCTCCTTCCTCGCCCCGGGCTTCAAAGAATTGGAAAGAGGTCGCCGTCCAGTGCTACCTTCCTTTCCATTTTAGGTCCCCACAGCAACAACCAAGCCAATCACCGCAAAGCTTCCCCACTCCGCCCTGGCACTTCGCTCGCCTGCTTCTTCGGTGCCTTTTTTCAAGCCTGGCAAATCTCTTTCCCTTTTCTTCCCCTTCAAAAACTTGGCTTTTTTTCTTCTCTTCCCTTTTAATACTTCTTCTTTTTCCTTCTTCTTCTCCTCATCCATCGCGGCCAAAGGGCATGGAGTATCTTCACCTCGCGCACACGCTGGCAGATGCTTTCAACGCCCTCGCCGATGAGGTTCAGACATTGACTGATCGCAAGACTGTCCTGGAGCACAAGCTGCGCTTCGCCCATGAACAGGTGAGTCCGACTTTTTAGCGGCTCCTCCACTCTTTCCGGGGGGAGCTCTACAACGCATACACACACACACGCACGCACGCACGCGCTGGGGTAGCCGCCTCGGTTGATTTCAAAGCAAATCCTCTGCCCATTATGCGCATGCCTGCCTACCCAAGCCGCTCTATGCGCACGCAATCCGGCTTTTCCCTGTTGTCCTTCCCTACCCAGTCCGAACAGTTTCTGGAGATCGCTCGGCGATACCGGAGCTGTCGGCACCCCCCCCAGTCAGCATGATGAGATATCATTAGCTCTAGATCAAGAGCAGCTCCCAGTTGCCGAGATTGACACCTTTACCAACTCTGACCTGACATCAACTCCTTCTTTTCTACATCGCACTTCATCTCACCTTTCAATGTCCTCATTGCTGACTCGAGACCAAAAAAAGTTCCAGTACCTGGCAGACAAATATGCCCCGGCGGCGCCAGAGATAGCCGATACCCTGGCTAAGCTCCAGATCCCTCCATATAATCCTCTTGATAATTCGTTGCCTGTACCGCTACCACGGTCATACAACCCCGGCTCTCAACATCAGATTGCCCTCGTTATCCGCGACGGACGTCGAGTTGCCAACCAGCTTGCCTCGCTGGGCGACGCGAGCAAGACCACGGGGTCTAGCAGAGAAGCCTCGTCTCAGGCGTCGGACGTCGCTACATCCATGTCGACGGCGTTAGAACAAGACTTCACGGTCCAGGGAAAGAAGGGTCATCTCCAATGCCCGTTTTCCAAGCCGGCCACGGCGAGCGGCTCTGGGGACCAAGATGAGGGCGTGCAAGACACTACGCCGCACCATTCTATGGACCCCATCTGCGCAGCCATGTACGCAGAGTCCACGTCTCAACAAGCCCGTACCAATGGCTCGTCGACGGGCAAATGCCCCATCCGCTACATGGACAAACACTCGCCAGCCGAGATTGCCCATTATGTTGAGACGCACAAGCATGAACTCCCTCGCAGCCATGAAATTTGCCTCCGCCGATACCAGCGTGACGAAGATCAGATCAAGAAAATAGACTCTAAATATGGCGACATCGTGAGCATGATTGAGGGACTGGGCCAACTTCATCAGCCCATGCTACCCGAGGCGGAGGATGACCCGACGAGACCGAGTGATGTGGCACAACCTTCAAATGAAAGAGTCGAGAATTGGGCTCAGGCCGTCAGTGTGAACTCGGATCCAAATGATGCTCGAGAACCGACCCACGAGGACGGCGACCGACAGGGCCACTTTGATCGACCGTTTAGGGAAGTGCGCGTAGGAGAGTCTCCGAACCGGCCATGGGGAATATCAGTTCCACCCTACGATCCCTCTACGCAAGATGACAACCATCCGCTCTCTCCGCCGCCCGCACCCGTCCGCATGCCGAGTCCGATCCCGAGTGTAAGGAGCGCTCGAACACCGACAAAGAATACGCCTGGGAAATGCCCATTTGACCACACGAAATTTACCGCGCTAGGTGGAATGCCCCCATCAATGAAGCATGACCCACCCGTGTCCGTTACGCTCGAAAATGCCGAGCCATCACGATCGTTTTCGCCCGTCAAGGAGACGGCGCCTCCTCCTGAACCCACAAGACCACCACAACCTGCCTTTATCAACCCCGACATGACCAAGGGGACGGGCAATTTGCCTCAGATGATTTTTACGGGGCCTGTGTTTATTGGATATCCAATGGACCAGGCTATACAATTCATGAACCAATATCGGGGGAGCCAGTAAACTCTCCATGTTAATACCTGCTTTTCTGTTTGCGATTTTGCGTCTTGACAAGAATGCATAAGCGACGGCGTTTTGGGAAATAGTTTTGAGAAATTCGAGTCTTGGTCAAGGGATGGGAGCGTTGATATTTGCTTGCAGTTGTCTGCAGCTTGAAGAGAGCAGCTAGCACATTATTACACTTTGACGAAATGATATCCAAATTGATTTGCCGCAACATGACATGGGCGAACAATGAAAGCCCTCGGTTGATTTTCTCTGCTCGTATCTCGTCCGCTTCTATCAAGTTTTATTTGTTCGAGTGCTCATCCAGTCATGCATGCATGGCTTCCTTGGTCTAACATAGTTAACAAACATCCATGTCCAGAACGCCATCTAACCCATGAACATTGACGCCCGTCTTTCCTTGAATAATTCCCATCATTACCGCCCCTCTATCTGGCCAGTCCATTCATTGTCCTGTCTCCCAAGTAGATAATGCCATCTTCAAGTCTAATCCCTTCTCTTGCTCGACTCCTCATCGTCGTCGTCATCGTGGTACCCATTCTCCAAGCCATCCCTCTCCCACAGCGAAATGTCATCGTCAGACATGAGCACAGCCGCGTCCTCTGGGTCCATCAGAGGAGAGTTGTCCGAATCAAGGTACCCGGCCTCACCCTCCTCGGTGGTGGCTAGGGCAGCGGGATCCAGGCCTTCCTCGCGGGCGAGCTCGGCGGCCCGGGCCATGGTGCGACGGTAGATGACGAGGCCGACAACGAGACCTACGGTGGCGCCAATCAACATGCTCAGGTAGTTGATGGCCTTGTCGCCGGCTGTCATGGTGTCGCCCTTTTCGGCGAGGAGGGCGATACGGCTGCCGATGAAGACGTGGACGAGCAGCTTAGGGCTGTAGAGGTCAGCAAGATGTTTTTACTACGTGTAGAGTAGTAACATACCTCGACAATGCGGTCGAGAGGGTAAAACTCAGCGGGGTGATGCTGGGAATGGTGGCCAAGAAGCCATTGCTCAAGCTAAACGGCAGTGGGCAAAAGCGGATGGCTGTGAGGTACCAGATACCCTCCTGGCGCAGCACCTGGCCCAGGGCGATGAAGCGATGATCCCGACCAACCATTCGGTCGACATAGCCGCTGAGGACAGTCCTGCTAGCAAGGAAGGCACACAGAGCGCCGAGAGTGCAGCCAGATGCCACGATAGGCCATCCCCACGGGAACCCGTAGACATAACCTGCGATGGTGCTCGCAGTCGAGTAACCCATAACGGGCGGGAACGACGTGACAAAGACGAGCAAAAAGGCCAGTATCCAACCACCAGGAAGAGCGCGCCACTTCTCAGCGACAGGATCGAGCCATTTGAAGAAGGCGTGCGAAAAGATGATGGCCAAGACGCCCAGGACAGCGATAACCACAGCGCCGAGAGCGGCGAGGAGCCGCTGCAGGGGCGACATGCGGAGGTAGACCTTGAGGGTCTGCTCGCCGAGGAGGTTCACCGACGCCCAGATGCGTCGCGCAAAGCCAGGGCTGGCTCCGGCGACGACGCTGCTTCTCCTCCGGCGCATGAGGGGGTTCGAGAGGCGACGAGTGTGCGAGGTTGAATCGGTGGCCCAGGGAGGACGGTTCGGCGAGGGTGACGGGGTACTGCGGTCCGGCGAGAGGGCCAGGGCCTGGGCGGTGGAATGATAGTCGGCCGGCATTCTTTCTCTTTTCTTCTCAGCGAGGAGGGGAGTTAAGGGTTTTTAGTATGTAAGGTCAAGGTGTTTGCGCGCGCGAGGGGCTATGCAGCCATGTCTTTGAGTGTAGTATGGGAGATGAGATCCGGAACGCGCGGAAATGGGATGTTCAAGGGAGGAGTCTTGAGTGGCGCGATTGAAGGTTTTGAGGGAGGAATAGAGTCGTAGGTGAATAAAAGAGTTGATCGATAGTGTTAGCAGCGATGATTGACAGATGTACAGCACTTGATGAAGCCAAAGTGATGTATGCGCATCGTGGGACGTGGTTAAATCTGAAGCTGTTGTTCGTTTTAGATGACGTTGCTAGTGTCAGCATTTCGGCCCCACTCTCTCCGGCTTGTCCAGACTAGGTAGGTGTAGGTATTCATCTGAAAACACATCAGAGTACAGTAGGTATTGTAGAACATCGTCTTATTTTACTGCTTTACTTCTTTCTTTCTATCCTGCCTCGCGTCATCTTGTCATCGACGTCCGCTTGGCCCCTTGGGCGGGTCGCGCACCAGAAGCCTGACCTTGCCGTCGCCAATCTCTACGCCCTGGCTCAGTATGTCCACCTCTTCCTCCTTGTCATCCGAGCCGGAGCCGTCCTTGGAAAGCGACTTGTCCCAGCTACGAGCGTCGATGCCTAGGATCCCTCCCATGTTGTTGCGGTCTCCAGGCACCGAGAACTCCCGGTACGCGTACCTCCACTCGTTGAGAAAGTTGCGGATAGCCCTGCCCACCTTGTCCTTGCCATTCTTGCTGTGGTGTCCAGATCCAGTGATGGCGTAGATGGGCCGGGACTCCCTGCCGTTCTCCATGAGAACCTTCTCCAGGTATTCAACCGCCTCCTCGGGATGTAGACCGTGAAGGTCCACATAGAGCTCCAGCCCGCTCGTGTTGCCCTTGTTGCGCTCTTCATACAGCTCTCTAGCAGCCTCACGATGCGCCTTTCGCATGAGATCATTCTCGCTCTGTCCACGAAGGCTCAGGGCCTTGGCAGCTCTGGCGTCATTACGGTTCCAGGCTTGTGCGGCGCTGTCGCATCAAGTTAGCCTATATATCTTCAACATGATTCAGATCATTGAAACACAAACCTTTGTAGGAACTTGTTGCGAAGGCCGCCGTGCTTGATAGCTTCCTGGCGAGCCTTCAGATACGCCTTATTGGCCCGTTCGCCCGTTTCCAGCCAGGGGATGTGCTTGGGGTTGGGAATTGCCTGGGCCGCGGCACTATTCTCCCCGTTTCGCGTTGACGGGGCGTTGCCGTTCCGCATTCCTCTCTTAGACTCGGGTCGGGGCGATCCTGGACTGGGGGAGGGCGACATCTTGACAATATCAGCCAGCGAGCTCAGCGTCATGTTCTCCTTGTGCCCGTGGCCATGGCCGCCACGCTTCCCATGGTGCTTTTTGCCTTGCTTGATAGAAGCAGACCCCAATGAGGGGAAAGCGTCATTGTCGTCAAGGGCGGGTGCAGAGGCATCCGACTCTCTAGTCTGATGCCGACTGCCAGGACGAGACCGCGCCCGAGGGCTGGAAGTGCCATGCAGATGCTTCAATCCAGGCGGAGGCGTAATGCCAACAGCGGGAAAGTTGTTGCCTCCAGCGAATCCACCAAGGTGATCAGGAGTCCCGGGGCGGAGCGATGGGAACGAGTTGAGATCCTGTAGCTGCAAGTTCCCTTGCTTTGACGGCGGGGTGTTGGCTCCATCGAGCGCAAGCTTGTTCATCAGTTTCGCAGGATCATGCGAGAAGATGCAAGTCTCTCCAGCCAGGCAGTTGCCCATGACCCAATATCTGCAAGCGGCGTTAGAACTGACAACACACGGTTCACGGCACAAAGACTTACTTGCAGAGATGGTTGCTGAGGTCATGACTGAAGCGGCAATCTGCACGCAGACATTGACCTGTCGACATGTAGAACTTGCAGATGACCCCAGACTTTTGTTGGCCAAGAGGAGTAGTTGGGCGGCCTTCGACCGACTTTCCGATCAATACGTTCTTGGGTTCCTCCAACGGGACTCCGCCAGACTGAGCATTCTCTTGAGCCTGGCTCTCCATGAAGGAGACGATGGTGGCGCTGAGGTCATAGCCGTGGAGTGCTAGAGCAGCCTCAATCTCGTCGTCTGTCTTGGCCTGTCCAAGAATGGAGCGCAACATGTCATATGGAGACATATCGGCTGATTGCGCCGACATGGACGAGAATTCTGGTGCCGCAGCGTTGAGCCCGCTGGAGACGACACTTGATGCGCCGACAGACGAAGTCACGCTGACTGCGTCATCGTTGACAAGCCACTCAACGTTTTCGGCCTGATAGTCTCCCAGAATCTCAGTTGCGGGGGTTGGATCACTGGCAAACTCGTATGCGTTCAGGTTGGGGCTATGGGGGATCACAGGAGTCGCGAGAGCCAGGCGAGGCGAGGCGCGCGGTGATGAGAAGGGCGAGGCTGTCGAGGACTTGGCCCTGCCAAAAGTGGAGGGGACAAAGCCCGGAGGAGCAAGCGGGCTCACGGCGAGTCTTGGAGATCCAGAAAGAGGAGTGGGCGAACCGCGCCAGGAGGCCGGAGAAGGACGTCGCAAGATGGTCTGCCTTATTGGAGGCGGCGAGGTGGAAGTTCCTCCTCCGTCGCGATAGCGCCATAGGGCGTCTAATATGGCGTTGTCGAGCGAGACGCCGGTAAGGGACGTCTCCTTGCGGAAGAGCTCCTCAAGCCTGTCTGTCTTGTCCTCATCCTCCAGTGTCAAATCCTGCAGGATGGGCAGGCACATCTCGTAGTGCTCGTCCGAGACCATGGTTGCGGCGCGTTTCCCCTGAGCGTAGGCCAAATGTAAAGTGTAATACGGGGGTAGAGGGTGTTGCAGCTATAGCTCTAGTCGGAACGGGTCTCGCGAGATGGCGCAACGGGACGAGCAGTGATTTGGAGCTAAGGCGGCAGCTGGAAGCGGTCGAATATGGTTTTCAGGCGGGATGGTTTCGCGTTGGAGCAAGCAAGAACAAAGAAAGGGAGAGAGGCTGTCACGGTCTATGGTCAGCCTAGCTGGACGGGCAGATGATGAGTGGCCGCCCCCGGGGAACGCGGCAACGCGGAGAAGCAGAAGGGACAGGACAGATAGTGGAGGGAGATGGGACAAAGGAGGTCGGATGGAGCATGCTGTTGACGCGGGAGGGCACTTACAGATTAAAAATAAGAGACAAGAAAGAAACGAGAATGAAAAGAAGGAGAATCGCAGATGAGACACAACGAAGTGAAAGCAAAAGAAGCGCACGCGCAACAAGAAGTTATAACAACGGGAAAAGGAGGAGGAGATGAGTTTAGATGGACGACGCCCAGAAGGTCAATGGTCGCCCGGGGGGTGGGGGGGGGAGGAAGCGGCCCCAGCTGCACCTTCTTACCTGTCCGTACTTTAGTACTGAAGGCACTGAGCTGTAGGGGGCATGAATCAATTACAGAGGACGGGCAGGGGCGCTAGTAGCGGGAGGATCCCACTGGACTTGTCTCGCCGGTTGGAGCTGGAGGCACGGAGCGGATGGAACAAGGGGCTGGATCTGCTTCAGTTGGCGTTTCGAGATTGTAGGTCCTGAGCTCTCTCGGTGGCGGCCATCCTTCTATTTCTATTTCTATTCCATGACAGCTTTCATTGCTCACAGACAAACAAGTCTTCTTAATCCCTTCTTCGTGAGGCGGAATCAGGGACATCCATTCATTGTCAAGGCGCACGTGTCTCCAGAGCTTGGTGGTACCGCGTACTAGTCTAAATGAGCAAACCCTCGACGGCAGCCCATGTCATATCGCCCGCCCCCCGATCCAATGCGATGGATGTCTTGGTTCAGGTCTTGTTTAAGCAAGGCGGGAACTGTCCGTCCCAGGCTGCAAGCTGAAAAAAGAGTCGTCATTGACCCAGGTACGAGCCTGAAAACTTTACCCAAGTGTCACAGTTAATCACGACCACCTTTCAGGAGACGACCAAACAATCTCAAGCCTCCTAATTACGGAACACCAAGGGTCCAACTCCAGCGGGGGGAGCCTATTCAAACCAACTCAGCACACGGGCCATCGGATACGGTCTATTTAGAGCCTTCTCTCCCTGACGCCCCTGGCTCTTGTCCCTGGCCAGAAGAGCAAGCGAAGGGGAGAGCAAGCAATGCGAGTTTCAATTCGGCCGCTCATCATAGAGCCAATGCCGAGTGGACAGCATGGCCTGTACTCTGTCTGTCTGTCTGTCTCCCTCACGACTGGAGCTCTGCCGTGGGTGATTCCTAGTCGCTGGGCGTTGAGGCAATCAGCTGCTTCAGCTTGAACGAGCTCCCTCTGTTGGTTCCTATTGGACGAAGATGACACCCTCTCCACCAGCCTCCAATTGGCGCAGACATGCTCGACTAGGTAGCTGAAGGTGTTAATCTTTCAAATCCACACTTACTGAGGGAGTTGGTGATTCAGGTCTCTTTGTTGTTTCCACAGAGATACACTGTCGAGGCTTCTTTGGACGGGCAACAGTTGAGTTGCCCGGGTTTCTTTCAAACCAAAGTAAATCTGCTATCTCCCCCTCTTTTTCAAGTTTCGCCTCGAAACAACTCGGTGTGTCTATCCGATCAATCATGTCATAGCCCCGTTTGACGTCGACTGATAGTGGGTTTCTACAGCCTCATCATCCCTGAGATGCTTTCAACATCTCGCAACGCAACAGCCACTGTGATTATGTGCAGCGGTTGATAATGCCTTGTCTTATCTAATCTCATGCTGTGCATATTTACTCGTCTATGTCGATCTAGTCTCGCGTTGCCCTTACTCGGGTCATCTATCAAGAACCCACATACAACTGCCGTCTCACGTAAAGATGTCGTTTCAGGGTATCTCGTCATCGTCGTCTCCTCCAAAACCAAAGCTGAAGCCGCCTCCGCCCCCTTGCTGCTCATCTTCGGTTCCACCAACAGCAGCATCCCACTTGCGCTTCTTCCCGCTCTTTCTATCGGCCAGGTCCAACGCCCTCTCCAGGACATCTGGGTAGCTGGTCTTCATTCGCTCTGAGAAGAGTCCAAAGGGATCTCTAACGTTGTCATCGAAACCACTGACCTGGTCTGCCTTGTCCCTTAGGAACGAGATGACTTCTGACACTAGGTTCAAGCTTGGTGACTGAGGGACAAAGTTTTGGGTTAGGGCAATGCCGCTCTCGAGGTTGACCACCAGGTGCCACCATCCACTTGGCACATGCAGGATTTCGCCTGTACCGCAGATACCCTCGATACACTCAGGGAGCTGCCGTGCCTCTTCGTGGAAAGTGAGAAGCCACTCGGCGATGCTGAGCGGGCTTGTCACTTCGCTGCTATCCTGGGAAACGTATACTCCAGGAACCTGGGTCGTGGGAGGGAACATGATCCAGTATTTGGCTCCCTGAATCACAGCGTTCCAGGCACTCGTCGCGTTGGGGTCCTTGTGAAAGGTCGAGCCGCTTCTCTCAGGTCCAATGATTAGCCAACGATGAGCAGGCCGTTCATCACCGAGAACCTCGAACAGGTCAGGACCGAAACAGTCTGGTCTCCAGTATGCAGCGTCTGGCTTATCACGGCCAACCGTAATGCCCATCTTTTCCGCAAACTTGCGATCAAACAAGTATAGAGGGCTCTCGTCCTTGTTGTTCTTCATATAGTTGCAGTAGGTTGTGAATGGCCAGTCGACGGCCTCGGCACGGAACTCGACCTGGGCATACTTTTCGAGCAACGAATCGATAGTCCATTCCGAACACACTGGCCATTCCTGGATACATTTCGTAAGGATGAACGGCTGCTCAGTCCATTTCTCAGCATACTGCTCGTATGTCAAGTTGTCGAATCGACGGATTTGGTTTGCCTTGGGAATGTTGGAGGAGAACTGAGAGAGAGCCACATGACTGCAAGCAAATGGTCGATGTAGGACATCCGAGAAGACGTTGCTGCAGTCAATCTTGATCTTCTCGTCACCAGGGAATCCGAGAACTGTTGACCTCCACGATCCTTGCCATCGAATGTCTTTGCCGTCTTTGGGTGGTGACCTATGTCCGGCTTAGCCGTTGCTCCCAGATAGATACCTCAGGCCTATGAAAAACATGACACGGGGGCATCCTTGTCATGAGTCAGAAAGCCAGAGTCAAAAGTACTCACTGCAGGAAAAGAGGCTTCCATAACTCGTCTGAGTGGCAAAAGGCGTAGAAAAACTTGCACGTGTGGCCAAGTTTCAAGAGGGCTGAGGCGTCAAAATGCTCCAAGACCAGCATGATAACCTCGTCTGGGAGGAAGCCCCACGCACCGACTGAGCGTCGAGCATTGCGACCCGTGAAGAGATACTGGTTGCCCAGGGGCTTGAGTCCTAGGGGATGCGGAGGAATTGAGTCAGAGTGAGATTGTGACTCGAAAGAGTCATTGGTCCTGTCACAGAGGGCGCTGTGGCCATTCTGAGCAACGGCCGAGGGCATGATGGGTGGTGATTTGGTGTTGGCAATGGACCAAAATTGCCGGCCTCGAGAAACAGCTCAGCTCGCAAGATGAAATGAAGAAACAAGATTAAGAAAAAAAACGAGCAGCCGAGAATACAGGGGGTCTAACAAGGCTGGCAAGCGGAGCGATGAACAAGAGGTAAGTAGGTATGATACGATTTACAACAAAGCGCAGCGATGTACCAGATGCAGCAGATTTTAGTGCGTAGGGCGAAGGAGAGGGAGGAAAAATCGGCTGAGGATTGACAGGCAGGCCCGAGGAGCAGCCACAGGCGGTAACGAGAGACAACGGGAGACAGAAGCGACTGTGACAATACAGTACGCGTGCAGGCCCTGGGTTGCAATCCTCTTGATGGATGATTCACAGTTGAAGCATGGGTTCCCCTCCAGTTACTAGAAGTGTGGTCTTAGGCGAGTGTACAGGGCTGCCCGTCACATTGCCCCCCCAGTTCCAAAACTGAGGCTCACTTCAAGAATGGTATGACAATGAGAGCAACAATGACCAAACAATCCAGTCACCACCATCAAACGGGGGGTCATCGTAGGTGGCGGGAAGTGATCCGTGGGTGGAGGGGCTTGTGGTTTTTTTTTTTTTTCTTTCCCTCGAGGGCGGGGCAAAGTGGGATGCAGCGCGGCCTTCCATTCATTGCAAGGGCAGGAAAAAAAAAAAACTCCCCAAGAGAGAAAAAAAAAAACTGACTCCGACCCAGTACTCAGCAGGCACCCAATGTACCCTAATCGGATGGCCCACTTATAATCGCTCCCCCTCCAATGATTGGCTGCCCGTTCTTGAGGTAAGCGGGTGGGAAGCAGAGGAAAAAAGGACCACCTCCACGACCGCCCCTCATCGACTTTTTTTTTTCTCTTCTCCTTCCCTTCATACTCCATCAAAGGAACAGAAACAACCACGATTTACTACACTTCCTAGATTCTTCGTCAGTTCTCGTCATCTTTGCGAGAGCTTTGAATCTAGTCGATACCAACTTTCTATTCACTCCCAGGCGCAGTCTTCTCCAGAAGAAGTTCTGCCCTCTTTTCCCCCTCCTCCGTCACCCCGCGATTTTCACCACCTCTAGATCGAGCCGTGCTTGATCTAGATTCCACGCGCCTCAACCGCAAACATGGCTACCGACAAGGGACTCGAGGACGTCCCCGAGGGTGAGTTTTTGCTTCCTCCTGCCTTCGTCTGAACCCTCTCCCGAGGCCGTTCTGCCGTCTGCCCGCTCGACCCAATATCGCGTGGTGCTCTGTCTGCGCTGGCCAGCCGCTTTGGTGGGCCGCAGCCCAACATCGCATTGTGCGCCAGATCATTGGTGCCGTCGGGCCATCGCATAGCATACCCTCGCATTCTTCATTCCATCCATCCATCAATCCAACCTGCAACAACAACAGCCATGCTAACATTGCTTGCCTCACAGGACAGATCGAGTCCAACTACGATGAGACCGTCGACTCTTTCGATGACATGAACCTCAAGTCTGAGCTCCTCCGAGGTGGTAAGTGCTTCATCCACATCCCACTCGCCTTATTCCCGCACGCCGCTCACATCCCCCCGCAGTCTACGCCTATGGTTTCGAGCGTCCCTCTGCCATTCAGCAGCGTGCGATCATGCCCGTCATCAAGGGCCACGATGTCATCGCTCAGGCCCAGTCCGGTACTGGAAAGACTGCTACTTTCTCCATTTCCGTTCTCCAGAAGATCGACACCAACGTCAAGGCTTGCCAGGCCCTGATCCTTGCCCCCACTCGCGAGCTGGCTCAGCAGATTCAGAAGGTCGTGGTCGCTATTGGCGACTTCATGAACATTGAGTGCCACGCCTGCATTGGTGGCACCAGCGTCCGTGAGGACATGAAGGCCCTCCAGGACGGCCCTCAGGTCGTTGTCGGTACCCCCGGCCGTGTCCATGACATGATCCAGCGTCGGTTCCTCAAGACCGACTCCATGAAGATGTTCGTCCTCGACGAGGCCGATGAGATGCTTTCTGTAAGAAAACTCTGCTCCCCCCCCACCCAATCCCACGCGCTAACCTTATTCTTCAGCGCGGTTTCACCGAGCAGATCTACGACATCTTCCAGCTCCTCCCCCAGTCCACCCAGGTCGTCCTCCTGTCCGCCACCATGCCCCAGGACGTCCTTGAGGTCACCACCAAGTTCATGCGTGACCCCGTCCGTATCCTGGTCAAGAAGGACGAGCTTACCCTGGAGGGTATTAAGCAGTTCTACATTGCCGTCGAGAAGGAGGAGTGGAAGCTCGACACCCTCTCGGATCTGTACGAGACTGTCACCATCACCCAGGCCGTCATCTTCTGCAACACCCGCAGAAAGGTCGACTGGCTCACCGACAAGCTCACTGCCCGTGACTTCACCGTCTCTGCCATGCACGGTGACATGGACCAGGGTCAGCGTGATCTGATCATGAAGGAGTTCCGATCCGGCTCTTCCCGTGTCCTGATCGCCACCGATCTTCTGGCTCGTGGTATCGATGTCCAGCAGGTTTCCCTGGTCATCAACTACGATCTCCCCGCCAACCGTGAGAACTACATCCACCGAATTGGTCGTGGTGGTCGTTTCGGCCGAAAGGGCGTTGCCATCAACTTTGTCACCGCCGAGGACGTCCGCATGATGCGTGAGATTGAGCAGTTCTACAGCACCCAGATCGAGGAGATGCCCATGAACGTTGCCGACCTCATCTAAGCGGGGACAACGAAAAAAAATCCAAAAAAGCACAGTCTTCCATATCCGTTTTTTTCAGGCTGCGTAGCCTGCTTCACTCACGACCAGACGACGCAGGGCAGCCTGACTTCTTTGGGAGGGTTTCATACGGAGAAATCTTTGCGGCAGTTGTTGATTAGATCTCGTTTCTAGAGTACCGCCTGGGGCGGCACATGGTTGCCGTCGGTCCGGGGGTGACTTACGGGGAGACTGAACTGGCTGCATGACAAAAAGGCTCGAGGGTCCATTGCGCCTTAATACCTGGAGGCGCGGCGGGGCTACCAAAAGTAATGCAATGGTTGTTGACCCTGCTTTTTGTCTCTGTATTTAGGTGTCATTATCATGATGAATGCTTTCTCTTTTCTTTAACTTTTGGTGTCTACAAATGTGAATGTGACTTGTTCATTGTGCGTGCTCTAGTGATAATCGTAGATGGGCAATGCTAGATGCCCAATCACCTACCACGTGCTGCCGTCTGCTTGCTTGCTTGGTTCACGTATTGGGTCCATCTAATATCACCTAATGAGTCCTCAGGAGTTGTTAAGGTACAGAGTCCCTAGCAGACTCTTTGACTGAGAATGGAATAGTACACATCACCAAGGGCTCTCAACTCAATTCACACTCTCACGATATCACGACAACGCATGTAGACTCAATCCTGATTGAACCTATCCTGTTTCGCCCTAAAGGGCTCCTGTGATACAAAACGAAAGTACCGTATGTAACTCGTTGCCCTGTCTGTCATCTCGTCTCACATATTCGTTCCCCGTCCCGTTCATCCGTCCGTCTTTTGCAGCAACCCGAATCCCAATCGTACAGGTGTCACCAGAATACACCCAGTCTGCTATATACGGAACCCGTATCACTCATCTCTCTGGTGGATTAGAAAATAACATAGGAAAATTTAAAGAAATGCATCAGAGTCAAAAAGTAACTTTGACCTAGCCCTGCCCAGAACGCCGTGTTGTGGTATCGCCGCATGAAATATATGAATAAGCCGTTGCCGGACAGAAGTGACCTATCCTTGCTTAACATGTAGCAAGAGGTCAAGCAAAGAACACCCCCCCTTTTCTATGTTTGTCTACTGCGCATGACCAAAGGTGGTTTGCGTGGGGGGTGGGCTCCTGAGAGACTGGTCACCATAGACTTGTCCACCGTAGGCGCCGGGGATGGGGACAGCCTCGTAGGTGGGCTCATTCGTGGCTGTGGGGCCGTGCTCCGAGACGTGCAAAGTAGGAGTGGCCGGAGGTGCAGGTGCAGGCATGGGAGCAGGAGTGAAGCCGCCCTGGCTCATCTTGGGGGTAGCAGATGGAGCCTTGGTGGGAGGAGCCTGAAGCTTGAAGCCGGTCTCTTGAGGAGCAAACTGAGACTTGGGCTCAGCAAACTGTGTGCCGGGCGTGAAGGGGTTCTCGTTGACCTCGTGGACGGCGGGGAAGCTCTGGTAGGCGGCGGGAGGGTGGCGGGGAGACATGGCGTAGGCACTGAGGGCGGGAGACTTGGGAGCGAAGCCGGGAGTGTTGGGAGCCGACTGACTGCGGAGCTGGGCGAGGTAGAGGTCGGATCGGGCGCGGTCTCGCATGTCCATGGACTTGAACAGACGTCGCTTGGTGTAGTAGCGGTAGAAGACGATGCTGTAGAGGAGAATGCAGAGAACCTCGATCACCACCTCGATGATGATGCAGATCATGGCCCAGTTCTGGAGACGACAGATGAGTGCATAGTCAACCTTGTCGCCAAAGACTTCAGAACGAGTGTTTTGCACGCAGGACCAACCCCACATGTCCTTGTTGTTGGAGTTGTTCTTTGCGTTCTGGAACAGGATGGCCGTGACAACCCAGAGGATCAAAGAAAGGATGAACTATGTGCTGTTAGCTTGTGCTACTCAACTCAGTTCATCGAGTGACAACTTACCCAACCGATAGCAAACAGGGTGTAATAGGTTCCAACCTTCTCGGCCCGTCTATGACCACCTCGGCAGTAGGAAGCGAAGACGATGATACAAGCAGCGAGGGAGACACAGGCCATGGCAAGAACGAGCTTCTGAGGCCAGGCATTGGTGTTCTTGGCCCAGGACGGCATCCGGCTCTGGTCAGGCAGGGCCCTGGTAGCGTTGAAGATGGAGAAAGTTGCCGAGAGCATGCAGAGAATGATGAGAGAGCAGCTGAAGTTGACACCGCGAAGGGCAAACTTGGCCATACGGACGCGGGCCTTGATTTTCTGTTGACATGTAAGTGAGTGATTCCATCAATTTTCCAGCACAAGAGACGTACCACATCGCGAGCCTGCTCCTTTTCGGTTGCCAGTTCCTGCTTCTCGAGGATGTCGGCCTCACGAAAGGTCGGGCTAAGAGGGTTTCGGGCACCGGCTGGTGTTCCAGGCACCTTCATGGCGCTCTTGAGGGGCGTCTTGGGAGTCATTGGGACGGGGATGGATTCTCGGTTGCTGTTGTTACCAATGTAACCAAAACCGACGTCTGCGGGCTGAGGCTGGGGAGCGTGGGACTTCTCGGGGTCGGCAAAGGGCGATCGAGAGTCGACTGGCGAGTGAACTGAGGTGGCCTCGGCGAAGCGGGGAGTTCGAGGCTTGAGGGAACCGTCTGAGGAGGACGACTCGGAGGTACTGGGTCGAGCAGGAGTGAGGTTTAGAGCGGCAGGCCGCCTTTTCTCATCTACATGGCTACGTGTAAGTAAAGGACCCTCTTCGATGCCATACGAAGGGCTCGGTGAAAGTGACGGACCTGGTCCAGCCATTGTTGTGTAGGGCAGTAAAGTTCAAGGACAAGAGGCGCAAACGTGTAAGTGACGGTTGAAGATGTTGTTGTTGAGTGGGTATAAGAGCTTCGACGCAGTCCAAGCCACTACACCCTGAAAAGGAACAGACAGACAATATTGTTGCAGCAAAAACAGGGAGACCAGCTATCGAAGAAGAAGAGAGAGGTCCGGCGAGGCGGACTCGGGTGGGAAGCGACCAGTTTTGAGGTCGGCAGCGATAGAGGGATCAGGCACGCTCATTCGACGACACCAAGACGCCAACGATGGGACAATACATGAGGGAGGGGCGTGCTGGGGATGGAGATGGAGCCTTGGGAAAATGGTCTTACCGGAATGGTTGGGCGGATAGAGAAGCAGACTTCTGATAGGCAGAGGCGAGCCGCCGACGAGTGATTCGTCTTGGAAATAGACGCCCACGCAGCTGGGAAGATGTGAAGCTGAGGCGTAGATAACCTGGTCGGTGCTTTTGAGACACAGATAGATTGTCAAGGATTGATGGTTCGTGTCGCCTCGAGAGCGGCTGACGTCTGTGATACAGATGCTGGAACCAGTCCAAGAAGCTTCTATCGCACATAAGACGGGCCACCGAGGGGATGAGGAGGAGGGATTCACAAGAGGGGAATTGGGAGAGCTGCCGTGATATGTGAGAGGGTTCGGGCAGCAGGGTCTCTGCGTACTCGCATACTACAGACTTACTTTCTGCGCCGCCAGCTGGACAGCTCTTCCAGCAAACAACACCCACGTTGGTTAGCATCGCCCCCGGGCCCCCGTCGCTGCATGACCCGGAGCGATCCATCTCGCCTGTCGGCCACGGGCCCTTGACCCATGGCCCGAGCCATGTCACTGGGCGGTGGGATTGCCCCCGGCGGCTAGAGCATGTTGGAGTTGAGAGCGTGGATCGTGGAGAGATGGCGCCCTTGAAGTGCCATTGGTCGGACCTGAGAGCCGCTCTTTAACCCCCTGGCGGCCCATCTGCCGGCTTGATAGGCTGCATTCCTGCAAGCGCTTCACGTCTTCACCAAACACCACCAATCAGGTGTCCCAGGTCCGTGATGGATTCCCAGCCACCTGCAGGCTTCGGCGGCAACAAACGACTTCTGTTTCGACGTCGTCGAGGTCCATGCCTCGTTTTGGCCCACCATGGATGCTCCTCTCCCGTTGTGTGTGTGCCTTTCGATTTTTTCTTCCATCCTCTCTTGTGCGGTCCCTTGCGGTGTAGTGGTGGTGCGCGCATTTGTCTTGCAGACGCCCTGCACAGCGAGGCGACTCTTCCCGAACGTCGTCCCTCTTGGCAAGTCAAAAATGCCTGACTCTTGAGCCCCCCAGCGCATTGGTTGACGGGGAACTGTTGGTTGGGGGAGCCGTCACATTTCTATTTTTGACCTGCAAGTCAAGTCAAGTCGCGTGGTGCAATTCATCATGGTGGTTTCTTGTCCATGCTGAGATGGGTGTGATAATGTAGCACTCGGGAACATGGTGGTTCTCTTTTCCATGTCGGACAGACAGACAAGACGTTCAACCACCCACGTCCGATTCTGGCATCCATGCCCATCTCGAGCAGTCGTCAGCCTCTTCCGGAGCCCGGGGGCCGATAAAGACGGCCGCTGTTGCTGCGGACATATGCTCCGTGATGCACGCCAGAGCACAAAAGACGATCCACACGACCCATGATGATGAGTCTTTTTTTCCTCATGTTGCTTGACGTGGAGGTTGGTGAACAACCCATGTCGTCTCTCCCCCTCACCTTGGCGTTGTTGGCAGCAAGCGCCACTTGAAACCTGCATCACCGCACGGATTTCGGTTTCTGTTTCGTTTCTGTTTCTCTCAGATGTTTCCGGCACGTGACTAGTTTATCAACTAATGCAATGTCTGTGATTGATTGAGGAGGTTCAGGAACCAGCGCCGCCGTCAGTCATCGTATTTTGTCCAGCAAGTTAGCAGTTTCTAGCACATATTCCATCCATCTTGCTTTGATGGTCACAGCGTGTTGAGTTGTGCTGTAAAGGGGACTTTTTGTGCCAAGAAGTATATCAACGATTTGACTTGTGTTGGAGATGTCTGTTATCAGGTGCAAGACTGATGAGCCTTATAGACAACTAACAGCAAAACGACGACAGATGAATTATGCATATCAAAAGACCTGGGTCGAATTTGTATTGGATGGGTCTGCGTTAGCATTTGACATGTCCTCTCAGCCCAAGACTCAATGGGATTAGGCTGTCGTCGCACTCCCCAAAGCTGGTGATAAATGCTGCAGCGCTTGATTATCTAAACCCACAACCTAAACTTGAAGCTTTGGTGGGAGCACCTACCGACAATCTTCCGGGGAGGGGCATCGAATCCTTATCGCCTTATCGTACCCCAACAGGCTTAGCGTAAGAGTCATAGCCATCCCGACAGACTGCACACGAGGAATTTTGCCATCATCAAGGCGAAATACGCAAATTCTTGGCTCTCGACGACCTCAACGACGAGAACCGCTCACGATCCCCTCGAACCTTCGAGTGTAATTTTCTCCACACCCAGGCGACCATTTACAACCCCGGAAATCGCCCTCACTGCTGCTCCACGACCGAAAAACACCCCCAAAACCCGGCCGATTGCCCCGCCTCCCACCACCATGTCTGCCAACGGCGACCCCAAGTACGACGACATTGAGTCCGAGTCCGACTCTGGCGAGTCTGTCGGCCACAACGAGGCCGGCGATGAGAAGCCCATCAAGTCTGCTCTCAAGAAGTCCAACCCAGCCATCGCCGAGCCCGCTGCTCAAAGACCGGAGCTTCCCCCGCAAACCGACCCCAAAGACCTCGACGTCGCCAGCCTCACTCCCCTGACGCCCGAGATTATTGCCCGACAAGCCACCATCAACATTGGTACCATCGGCCACGTCGCTCACGGAAAGTCCACCGTCGTCAAGGCCATCTCGGGTGTCCAGACCGTTCGTTTCAAGAACGAGCTGATCCGAAACATTACCATCAAGTTGGGTTATGCCAACGCCAAGATCTACAAGTGCGATAGCCCTCAGTGCCCTCGGCCAGGATGCTACCGAAGTTACAAGAGTGAGAAGGAGGTCGACCCTCCCTGCGAGAGAGAGGGATGCTCTGGTACCTACCGGCTATTGCGACACGTCTCGTAAGTTAAGCCTCGGAATGCGATAGGACCATAACTGACGATACAAGCTTCGTCGACTGCCCCGGTCACGATATTCTGATGAGCACCATGTTGTCAGGTGCCGCCGTCATGGACGCTGCTCTGCTCCTTATTGCGGGCAACGAATCCTGCCCTCAGCCCCAGACCTCGGAGCACTTGGCTGCTATTGAGATCATGAAGCTCGATAAGATCATCATTCTTCAGAACAAGGTCGACTTGATGCGAGAAGAGGCCGCCCAGCAGCACTACCAGTCCATCCTCAAGTTCATCCGAGGTACCGTTGCTGGAAAGTCGCCCGTCATCCCCATCTCTGCCCAGCTCAAGTTCAACATTGATGCCGTCAACGAGGCCATCGTCAACACCATCCCCGTTCCTCCCCGTGACTTCAGCATGGACCCTCACATGATTGTCATTCGATCCTTCGACGTCAACAAGCCCGGTGCTGAGATTGATGACCTCAAGGGTGGTGTTGCTGGTGGTTCTATCCTTCACGGTGTTGTCAAGCTGGGTGACGAGATTGAGATCCGACCTGGTATTGTGTCCCGCGATGACAGCGGTGCCCTCAAGTGTACCCCCATCTTCAGCCGAGTCGTTTCTCTCAACTCCGAGGCCAACGACCTCAAGTACGCCGTCCCCGGTGGTCTCATCGGTGTCGGTACCCGAATCGACCCTACCCTCTGCCGTGCCGATCGTCTCGTTGGTTTCGTCCTGGGTCTCAAGGGCCGTCTCCCCGATATCTACAGCGAGATCGAGATCAACTTCTACCTGCTCCGCCGCCTGCTCGGTGTGCGAACCGCCGACGGCAAGCAGGCCAAGGTTGCCAAGCTGGCCAAGAACGAGATGATCATGGTCAACATTGGTTCCACCTCGACTGGAGCCAAGGTCATCGCTATCAAGAACGATGCCGCTAAGCTGGTCCTGACCAGCCCTGCCTGCAGCAACATCGGCGAGAAGGTTGCTTTGTCCCGACGTATCGAGAAGCATTGGCGTCTTATCGGATGGGCTACCATTGCTGCGTAAGTTGCCCTGATTCCACTCTATCTAGATCATAACTAATTCTACTGCAGCGGTGTGACACTCGAGCCCAGCACTTCGTAAGCAATTCATGTAGACAAACAAACGGTTTCTCACGATTCTTCTACTACGCAAAGTTCCGGACCCGAGGGCGCCCAAACAGAGGCAAAGCCCTCGACGGCATTTTGAGTAGACGGCTGGCGCTGGAATGAGGCCTGGTGTTTATAGTGGTCGTTTTCAGGGACGGGGAGGAGAAGGGGAGGAAGCATTCCCCGGACGGAGAAGCTCTGGGGACCAGTGACGGTAGCGGGATGAGCCATGTAGTTACGTTGTAAGTGCATCAAAGAGGGTCACGTCAACCTCACGGGGGGGAAAGACAAAAGTTTTAAGGCCTGAAGGTCAGGAAGAATTGAACGAGGTTTTTGACCAAACCCCAAAAAGATATTACAAGCGTCTATTTCCGTACCTTGCGCGCGTGCTTGACCAGGTTTTCTATCACCCCCTCAAAGGCTTCCCTATCGCCAATCTTTTCGTCCGTCCGCTTCTGCCAGTATTCCAGCGCCTCCTTTGCTGCTCCCTCTAAGCCTTGTAGCTTGGCAATGTGGGCTTTGAGTTCCTGGTCAGTCATGCCGTTGAGTGCCTCGTCTGTCGTCATGCACAGATGCCGGGCAGCCACGAGATCCAGCTCAGGTTGTGGGGGAGGACCTCTGCGCTTCTTTGAGGCCGAGGGCTTTCCTTGGGTATCGACCGATGTAGACGAGTTGTTACCTTCGCCCTGCCGTAACCGAGATACTGATCGGGACTCGCTAGAGTTGCGTGGGGATGCGGTGCGAACGTTGAGTGATGGAAGGACAAGCTTCTTTTGCTTGGAGGCTGGTAGGATCTCGTCAAGGTCCACGGGGACGCCGAGTGATACGAGGAAGAGGCGCCGTGTGCGGGAGCGAATCCAGTCAGGGGGTGCGAGAGGTGGAGGAGCGACAAGTTGAGACCAGAGAGATGCGGATCGAGGTGTGAAGAAGACGGATGAGTCTTTAGACAGGGAAGGGAAAGCGGGAAGATCAAGTTCCTCGGGTGGGAACAAGGCTGCGAGGTATGGTTCCAGGGTTGCTATAACTCCTTCGGGATCAAGTCCGTCAAAGTCGGGTATAGGCTACATGAATTGTTAACAACTTGAACAAGTGTGATATCAAGAAAACTCACGAATGGTAACGTAGGTTGTTGTGGGATAGTTGCTTGTGAAGGAGCAGGTGCCGGAGTTTCTGCTTGCTGGAAACCGTCCTCGAAATCATCAAAGTCGTCATCTTCGTTGCCCTCCTCAAAGTCGTCGAAATCGTCTCCAAAATCATCTTCACCACCATCTTCCTCCTCATCGTCCTCTTCATCGTCATCGCTGTCACCAGCTGGTACGGGCGCGGCTACAGTGATGGGCTTCTCGGACGCTTCTTCCTCTTTTGACTGCGAGGCCGGGGAATCGGGGGATTCAGGTGATGGGTTCTCTACGCGAAAAAAACGAAACTCAGTGGTCAACAGATGTTCTTGTGCTCTTTAGGACTTGGCTATTCCCATACCAGCGGCGCTTTCGCCAGTTATGCTCTCGCCCTGAATCTCCCTGACCTGACCATCGGAATCCACGACGATATCTGGGGAAGCGTCTGCTCTGCGCCTCTCCTCGTACTGGATCGAGTGCGAGCGGCTTCTTGGCCCTGGGGCCTCCTCTACAATGGTTGTGGGAGCATTGATTTCAGGGGTCACCGAGGCATCTCGAGATGGTGTTTCTTCGGGGGCAATCGCGATCTCGTCGGGTTGGGCATCTTGTTCCCGCAGGGCGTATGCTGGAGTTCCAGGGACTTCGCCATATGACGGCTGGTCATCGACTCTCTCGACCCGGGTCTTGGGGACCGGCGAGTTGAGCATCGAGCTCGCGGCATCGGATTGAGCGTCGGTGAACTGGTCTTCGGATTCAGACTCCTCGGCTACCGACATGTCAGCAGTGTGCAAGAGTGTTCAAGGCTGGGAAACGTACCCAGCTCGCGGGCACCTGGGTCCTCGCTGGGAGCCACCTTGGGAGGTTCGAGTTTCTCGGCGTCTGTCATGATGACCGGAAATAGACGAAAATACTACTTGGAGCTGCAGAACCTCGAGGTAGCGAGCTCTAGGGCATGTGATATGATGGTCGTGCGTGGGGTTAGGGGAGCCCGACCTGGGCGGTGGGCTTGGGTCGCGATCGACAGGTCCGTGAGGGGTGATAACTTGAAACGGGAGGATCCAGAGGCTCCCCAGTCAGAAGGACAATTCTTGGGCCGTGTACAGATAAGAAGGTCCAGACAAATATACTTGGTATGATCAAGAAAGGAGGTCGACCGCATCTGCGAGTTCTGGAAGCTCGCCCACTCCAACGCATAGGTACATCACGTGGGGCTACTTACAGTGCGCGCCTCATCCATTCGCAAGCCTGGCCTATTCCTTGCCGAGCACACCGTCCTTTGCGTGAACGTTTAAAATGATCATACGTGCTTGTTCTTGTGTATGTATATGAATTCGCTTCTTCTTCTACACCGCCTTGTGTATATGATAGTTATACTGAAGTATAGGTAAACTTCAAAGAACACCGTTGCAATCATGGGCGGAATGGGTCCTTTCCAGCTTCAGAGTAACAATATCAAGATAACACACAAGGAATGCCGCAAGCTCGTACTCACGATCTACACACTGCGTGAATTTGTCCTTCACGTGTCTCATCGAACAGCTTACATGGATCCATCACGCAAGATTCACGACTCTATCCTTCTCATCGAGATCGCATGCACGACTGCTAACCTGTAGTCGCCGGGGATATGTACCGTTTAAAACGGTCTCTGCGTCAAAGAGCTACCTAAGACGATGGCTAGAAATAGACTAGCTCAGGCACCTCCTTAGACAACGGTGAGTGGTGAGGTTCAGTCGCGTCCCCACAAAAAAAGCTCCCATGTGCTGTAAGGTCCGTCTTCAATCACCCCGTTGCCATCGACGACAAGAACCTCTCCCATCTCAACTTTTCGCGCTGACATCCCAGGTCTCTCTGTCGGTCATCAGGAACCTCGTCTCCAAGGCGCCGAGCATCACGTGAACGCATCAGAGATACTGCGATCGACAATTCCCCAGACGCGAGGAAGCTGATCCTCAACCTCCAGCCGCCATCATGTCCGGGTCGTTCAGCTTTGGAGGCACAGGCGGCTCTTCGGGCGCGCCAAACAACAACACGACATCCACTGCGCCGGCTTCGGGCGGTCTCTTTGGAGCTGCGGCGGGAACACCCAAGTTTTCCTTTGGAGGTGCCACTGCTGGTAGCAGCACTACACCCGCAGGCAACCCAGGTGGTTTGTTTGGTCAACAAACTGGCGCCTCGGCGCAAAAGCCTGCTGGAGGTCTCTTTGGAGGCAACGCGGCCAACAACACTTCCACCACACCCGCCTCGACTGGAACCGGGCTCTTCGGAGGGGGTGCCTCTACCACTCCTTCATCGGGCGGTCTTTTTGGAGGAGGTGGTGCTTCTTCTGCCACTCCTGCGACAACTGCTGCGAGCGGAGGACTGTTTGGTGGAGGTGCCACCACTTCAACCACGCCTGCGAGCGGAGGGCTATTTGGAAACAACGGAAACGCTGCTAACAAGCCTGCGGGTAACATGTTTGGTGGTGCTAACACTACTACTCCTGCCAGTGGTGGTGGTGCTCTGTTTGGACAGAACAATGCTACCCAGGCCCAGAGCGCAGCCACCACCTCAGCTGCCCCAGCGTCTGGACTGTTTGCGAGCACTGGTAACTCTTTGTTCGGAAACAAGCCAGCTTCCACCGCGCCGACTGCGACCCCCGCGAAGCCAACCTTTGCTCTGCCATCGACGACACCAGCCGGAGCACCACCTGCGGACTCTTCGAAGCCCAGCGGACCCAGCCTTTTTGGAAACGCAGGTGCTCAGACATCTACCACACCCTCTCTCTTTGGAGCGAAGCCGGCGAACACCTCAGCTCCCGCTCAGCCCAGCACAACCACAACAGCTCCGTCCGGTCTCTTTGGAGGCGCGCAGTCTGGCGCCAGCGCCCCTTCTGGAGGGCTCTTCGGCGGCGGTGCCCCAGCCTCTACTGCCGCTCCATCATCAGGTGGACTTTTCGGTGGCGCAAAGACCCAGACAGCTGCACCAGCCGCTTCCCAAGCAGCCGGCTCGACACCTTCTGCTACCTCAACCCTGTTCGGTGCTAAGCCCGCGGCTCCTGCGGCAGCTGCTCAGAGCTCGACACCTGCTGGCGGGCTCTTTGGAGGTGCGGCAGCAACATCTACTGCTGCTACTACTTCGACTCCTGCGACTGCTGGAGCTTTGTTCGGCGCTAAGCCTGCTGCAACAACAGCCGCAGCTGCAACTACGGCGGCTCCAGCAACGGCTTCCAGCGCGGGTAGTCTCTTTGGTGGCGCCCCGAAGCCTTCCACCGAGACAGCGGCGCCCAAGCCTGCGGGCGGCTTGTTTGGACAACCGGCCACCACGCAGGCTCAGACATCTGCAACTACAGCTGCTCCTGCAACTGCGGCAACCACAACCGCAGCGCCAGCAAGCAGCCTGTTTGGAGCCAAGGCGGCCACGACTACAGACGCCAGCAAGGACGCAGCGAAGCCTGCCGCTCAGAACGGAACCAGTGCTCTAGGTGCCTCCACGACTGGACCTACCTCACAGATGGCCCGGTTGAAGAACAAGACGATGGAGGACATCGTGACGCGATGGGCCTCGGATCTGTCCAAGTATCAGAAGGAGTTCAAGGAGCAAGCTACCACTGTGTCCACCTGGGACAGAAGCCTCGTTGACAATGGCGAGAAGATTCAGAAGTTGTACCTGGATACTTTTGAGGCGGAGCGAAGGAGCCATGAGATTGAGCGACAGCTTGCGGCTGTGGAGAACCAGCAGGATGAGCTCGAGGCTTGGCTCGATCGTTATGAGTCGGAGGTCCAGGACATGTTTGCCAAGCAGCTTGGTCCCGGCGAGCAGTTGGCAGGTCCTGACCAGGAGCGGGAGCGCACATACAAGCTTGCCGAGAAGCTGATGCAACAATTGGATGAGAAGTCGAGGGACCTCACTAAGATGGTCAAGGAGATCAATGACATTTCGGGCACACTTAACAAGGGTGCTAAGCCCGAGGACCCTGTAAGTCTCATTACCCCAAGGTCAAGGGTGAGCAAAGTTACTAACCAAACCACACAGCTGAGCCAGATCGTCCGGGTTCTCAACGGCCATCTCACACAGCTGCAGTGGATCGATGCTAATGCCTCGGCCCTCCAGTCCAAGGTGACGGCGGCCCAAAAGTCGAGCAGCAACCTTGGAAGCCACTATGGCAGCTCGGATAATGACGCGGCGGAGAGCTTCTACCGTTCCTACATGGGGCGACGATAGGTTGGAGGACGAGTGTAATTCATTGGGAATGGAGTTTGGGCAAGGACTCTATGTAATTCTGTAGTAGCAAGATGGAAGACTAAGTCACACAGACAGACATGGTTGGAGAGCAATCAAGACGAGATGAGACGTGGGAGGTACATGCGATGCGATGCGGAACTTGTAGAGTGCGCGGATGCGTGAATGTTTCTTGTACACTAGTTTAGACTGTGGAAAAAGGGAACCTCTGGATGATGTGTCATTTCATTTCATATCGTATCCATCCCATCGAGTCGACGATCGTGATTGTGTTTTGGTTGGTTGGTGATTGTTGTCTTGCCGAGCCGAAATAAAATCTCTCGCAATTGAGTGGCTTTCCCCGCGCAAAGCTTTGCCCGACCTTTCCGGTAAACGAAGATGTGGTGGAAAATTTGAGAGGTTTAGTTCTGCTCGCCGCCCTGCTCCTTGGTGATCTCGTCGCTGTTGACGGAAAAGTCAGTAAATGGGGTCGCCTGGCGCATTCAATTGGGACCTTACATGTGCTTGGAGAGGCGCTCGAGGTGCTGCTGCTGCTCCTGGAGCTTCTTCTTGAGCTCAATGAGCTTCTCCTTCTCGCGCTGGCGGATGGCGTAATCCTCGTTGGCCTTCTCTCGTCGCTGGAAGGCGTCACTGTGGCACAGGGGTTAGGATCAATTGATGTCTTGGTGATGCGAATTGATGCAAATCCATCCATCCGCGGCCGGAGGGAGGAAGATGAGGAACTTACCCAGGACCGCCGGTCTTGGGAGGAGCACCGGTAGCACCCTCGGTCATGACGCGGGGGGTGGTAGAGAAGCATCGAACGGGCCGGAAGGTGGCCGTCTGGCGGAAGGTTGTTCGGAGCATGGTTGTTGATGTGTCTTGTGAAAGACTAGGTTGAAGGGTGAAGGTAGAGGCGTTTTGTGTGTGTAGCGATGACGTGGGGAAAGGTTGGAGAAGTGGTTGCGAAGAGCCGAGAGCAATTGGTCGGATGATCTGATGAGCACCGAGCTGTCTGGGTTCGGGCCAGGCTTCGGGTTATAGGGAGGTACATCTACAGAACAGCGATTCAGAGTGACTTCACAGGTACCCTGTTAAGACGGTCGCACGGCTGGCGGTAAATCCCGGCCCCGTCCGCTTGGGAGCTCGGATCTGGGAGCCTGTCAGCGCGGACGAGTGAGCCTACGGGATTGAAGAATTCGAGCAGCCAGGGTGAGGATCGCTTCTGGGGTTCCCTGTAAGGCTGCAGTGAACGGACGTTTTGCTTCTCTATCCTTTCAAGTTTTGCTAATTCCCGTCGTGATCCTCAAGAAAGAAAAGGGTAAACAAGACGGCTCAAGTCAAGACTTCATGATCCAGCAGAGGCATCCATCACCAACAGAACGAACGCCTCGCCTCAGGTGACGGGGCGGGTGGCGTGGAGTTGTACCGCGTATGGAGTAGGCGATGGGGCTGCGGTGCGGAGGGAAATAAAACTGACAGGCTAGATAGCCGGCTCGGAGGCAGGCAGGAAGGCAGAGATCACCAGATATTTGCTGCAAAAGGCCTCGGATGGCACACAATCTCTCACCTTGCCCAGGACTTCAGTGATCAGGTGGACACCCATTGACCATGGTGTTGCTGGTTGACCTCGGGTGTTGATTGGGTAGCACACGTCTAAGGGACATTGAGAGACGCAGTGTAGAGAAAAGAAGAGGATTCTTGATAAAATGATTCAAAAATCATCAAAAGACCCTCAAGCTGTCGTCAATGAAAGACGTTTTTATCAAAATTCTTTTGTTGACCTACAAGCGGTCCAGTTGTTGGTGTTTCTGGAACCATGGCCATGTTTCTTCCCAGCTGAAGTGGTGGCAACGACGTCAGCGGGCCCTGCAAAACAGACCAACGCCATGCGGCGCAGCGCAGCTCGGGCAGACGGCTGCAATGCTATCGAGCCCACCATGATGGGCACGTCTTGTGTATGGAGAATGGAGAGACGTTTGATGGAGGTTCATGCTGTCTTGTAAGTGAGTTTTTTTGCAGGTCCGCCTTTGTGCATTCCAAATAATCCAAGCCATCCATGGCCAAAGTCTGCTCCGCAAATACAGCCTTGATAAGAACGTGAATAAGAAAACAAGGTTGCGCCGTCGACCAGATGACCTATTGTAGAAGTCGAGGCAAGGCGAGGCGAGGCATCACGTTCTTTGTCGTTGTAGGCAGCTTTGGGCATGATGAGTCAATCGCCACGGCCCAACCAACGTTGGTTGCGTTTGGAGTGGCACAGGCAGCGAGAGCGCCTCATGCTCGGTCGCCGTTTCAGCCCGCATCAGGGTGGACAGAATACGAACAACATGGAGACCATGGTGATGAAAAGAAGCATGCAAGATGTAACCAGTTTTCACTCAAAGGTGTGCAAATAATAAACGTCGCCTTCATCGCTGGTCGGATATTTTGGACTCTATTGCTTGTCCCACGAGCCTCGTGTCGGCACTTGTGTGGCTGCTCGCCCGCTCTGGCACGCCAAAGGGAGGATGAAGGGGGTCACCAGCACGCTGGATTCTGGGAGACGAATTTGGGCGCATGATGACGATGATGACGATGACGGTGATGACGATTTTGGGGGCCCCTCCATCCCATCCATCATTTCGTTTCGCTGCTGTTCCCTGTGCTTCGTTTTTCTTCACTCCTGGGAATTCCAGCCGCTCGTTGCTCAGCCGTTGACGTGTCGTTCCGCAACATGACGGCTCATATCGGGTCTAGTCAGGTTCAAGCATTCGAGGGAGGGAAAGGGAGGGGTTCTGATCTTATTGTCTCGAAAGTCTCGGGTCCGGGGGGGCTGACGAGGCTGCAGGGACTGACTGATAAGGGCACTATGCTTTCCAGGGCGGATTGTTGTTGATCGTAATTGGGCTTTGATTATGTTGGTTGAGTCTAGATACTGTGCTGCCGTTAGAAGTGAAGCTGGGCAACTCGCAACTCGTCGATAGCCAGGTAGGATCTGCAAAGGCAGTCTGCCAATTGGGCATCTTATCTAGCACGTGAGGCTGTCAATAAGAACTCATTCTACGCCTTGCCATGGGCAGCTGAGGCACTCTCGTCAAGGCTGAGGTGAGGATCCAGGCGATGACAACAATGCCTTCTTGCATCCCGTCCACTAACAGGCCGTGCCCACTGTGAGGGCGAAGGGGTGCCCTGGAACTTCAGTGGGACTCGACTCGACAGCTGGTGGGCAGTGCTTGCCAGTTGCGGTACGTACCGCGGCCACTGATTGCCTGTGCTTAACACTGCCAGAAGCCAGAGGAAGGGGGCAATGGAGCTCCAGGGCAGCCTTCAATGCCTCCACGTTTTCCACTCCCGCCCGTCGTCAACCAAAACTTGCCCAATCCCCCAACAACCCCCGAAGCCCGACTTGGACTTGGATCCTCTACCTAACTTACCTACCTACCTACCATCCGCCGTCCCGCAAAACCACTTCTTTTTTTCACCTTCTCCCCCCCGTGCAGTCACAGTCACCTTCTACTTGATTGAGCTCGCCAGCTTTTACCTTTGATAATTCTCCCCTTTTCCTTCACCGTCACTCCTACAGATTCCCGACTTTAGGTATGTTTGCGACCTCGTCTTGACCCCTTTCCTTTCCCCTGAGCGACGTCTGTCGCTGCACCTGTACCTGTTTGTTTGTGTTGTTGTGCCCTTTTGCCCCCCCCTCTGTCGTCATTGCCCCCCCCTCCCTCAGCGAAAGGAACACGCACCCATCAAATGCCCCTTTGGAGTCCTCGACGCCTTCAACCACCGCGCGAACAACGGAGCCTCATTTCCATCGTCGACGATATTCTCCGACAAGGCGTACGGTTACATGCTCAGAACGCTGCATCGCATCGCTTGTCCTGTCCCCTGCTGCCGCGCCTTTCCAGGAGCAGCTGTTTGAAACCCCCCCGCCACTGACGGGCCAAGCAAGAGCGGGGAGCCTCACCGAGTCGTTCGTCGCTCGCTGGCTCTAGCCACGCACTAACAGGCGGCGCGCAACTGCTTCTGCTTCTCCCTCTTCAATCGCCCATAAACTCCATCGACCCGTCGCCCCTCGTCACTTCGCTCCGTCATCTTTCATCGCCGCCTCGACTCATTCGCATATCCGCGCTGGTTCGATTCTTTCTTCGCTTCGCTTCCTTTGCGCCTGCCCTCTTTTTTTAACTTACCCACCTACCGCACCGCTTTGTTTACCTCTCGTCTGACAGCACCCCTTTTACTAACTCGCTTTGGAACCACAGTCGTCAAACACCGCCAAAATGGGTCACGAAGATGCTGTCTACCTGGCCAAGCTTGCTGAGCAGGCTGAGCGCTACGAGGGTATGTGTTGCATGTCGAAGAATTCAATCGACATCACCTTGCCTGCCTTTTTATCGATCGCGCGCTGACACTGGGCGCGCGCGCCTTCGCAGAGATGGTCGAGAACATGAAGATTGTCGCCTCCGAGGACCGCGATCTCACTGTTGAGGAGCGAAACCTTCTGTCCGTCGCCTACAAGAACGTCATTGGCGCTCGCCGTGCTTCTTGGCGCATAGTCACCTCCATCGAGCAGAAGGAGGAGTCTAAGGGCAACTCTTCTCAGGTCACCCTTATCAAGGAGTACCGACAGAAGATCGAGGCCGAGCTTGCCAAGATCTGCGACGACATCCTCGAGGTCCTTGACCAGCACCTCATTCCCTCTGCCAAGTCCGGCGAGTCCAAGGTCTTCTACCACAAGATGTAGGCGCATCCTCGATGGCCACCGCCGGCCGCTTGACCGCAACCCGTCATGTGCTGACCAGTCCTACAGGAAGGGTGACTACCACCGCTACCTCGCCGAGTTCGCCATCGGTGACCGCCGCAAGGACTCTGCCGACAAGTCTCTCGAGGCCTACAAGGCTGCTACTGAGGTCGCTCAGACTGAGCTTCCCCCTACCCACCCCATCCGCCTTGGTCTCGCCCTGAACTTCTCCGTCTTCTACTACGAGATCCTCAACGCCCCCGACCAGGCTTGCCACCTTGCCAAGCAGGCATTCGACGATGCCATTGCTGGTATGTCTCCGTGCCTACCGTTATCTTGATACCCTGCTGACTCTTATCGTACAGAGCTTGATACCCTGAGCGAGGAGAGCTACAAGGACTCCACGCTTATTATGCAGCTCCTCCGCGACAACCTTGTACGTTTTCCGCAATACCTGGCTCTCGATTACGAACGTGATGGCTAACATGTTGAACAGACCCTCTGGACCTCTTCTGAGGCCGAGACCTCTGCTGCTGGTCAGGCTGAGGCTCCCAAGGAGGAGGCTGCCGCACCTGCCGCTGACGCCCCCGCCCCCGCCGCCCAGGCTGAGGAGCCCAAGGCCGAGTAGAGTGACAAAGTATGATTGGTCTATGCAGGTGTCAGGTGGGCTGGTGTCTACGGAGTGGACGGAAGACCTCGTTTTTGATCAAGAGCTTCGGCATCGTTTCGGTACACAGACAAGCACCATGGAGGGGCTGACTTTTTCCACCAACGGGCTGGCAGGGGTCTTGAGGAGAGCACTTGGACGTTCTGCTTTTAGACTTTTAATGCGTTGACCGTCTGGACAATAAAAATACTAAAATTACTTTCAATACACGATGATACATGATTGGTGACAATGGGATTGGATATCTAGCCTCGAGGCATGTTGCATTCGGCAGGGATGTAGTGAACCATGGCTCTGGTCATGGGTTGTAGCTGCAAGGTAGGCTGTTACGGTTTCAGTCATGACAATGCACAAACAACATGGGTGTTTCTCTTGTGGAATGTTTCGGGTGTCAACTCTTTTTAGTGACATCATCTGAAGGCGGCGTCTCATCATCGTCAACATCCATGACAGCAAAGTGAACTCTCAGCCACAGGCTACAGTCTAGACATGCAACCACCAACTCCCCTTCGTCACTGACTTCCTCTAGATCCGTCTCTCGAAACACATAACTCCTCTCGTTTCCACAGCGGCAGGGACGATACCAGCACTCGTCATCCTCATCAAAGGCAAGGTCATCCAGATCGACGTTTTCTACGCCTGTCTGAAAGGCTGCGTCTCGACTTGCAGCACCAGCAGGGCGAGACACACGTAGGGCAGCGTCGTAGGCAGCCCGGGATGAAGGGCTGGAGAGAACATTGAGAGCAGTGGTGATTTGGTCAACGGTGAAGAAGTCTGAAGGATTTGAGGCGGCGACCTTGTCAGGATGGTTGCGGAGGAGGGCGCGGTGGTAGGCGCGCTTTATGAGTGGCGTGGGGTCTTGTTGTGTGTCGAGGAGGGTTGCTGTTAGGTTGAGGACTTGATAATGCGTCGCCGTGCCGGAGACGGCGGAAAAGTCTGTAGAAGATGCCATGGAGGTTGGCCTTGGGCTATAAGGGAAACATTGGGATATGAGGAAGTGGAGATGGCGGATTGTGTGAGTCTTGAATCTGAAAATCTTGGGATTTAGACATCTTGATATCACGTGACGGAGATGTGCCTAACAAGATGTTGAAAGGAAATAGGCCATTGACTTTCGTGAATGCTTGTTAGCATTGTGGTTTGCGATGGAGTTATTCGGCGCTGTCGTGGGAATGTTTTGCCTGGTAGTTATCGAGTGTCACTCTGGGGAAGGTGGAAAGACAGCACTGCTTGTTCCAAGACATGACACAAATCACCAAAGGAGAGGGGTTTTGTCGATGCGTAAAGTCGTTGCTTGAGACTGTTGCAGAGATTCTTGTACATAATAATACACGGGTACATGTACAGGTACGCCAAAGCAGGTCATTCCATCTCTCGTCGTCTCCTCTATTTGGGGAACTTTGTCCAGCCATATTTGCCCACCTGTCACGGGAGTTAGTATAATGAACAGAGTTGATATGAGTACTATGACTTGCCCTCTTCCAGCGCTTGATGAGGCTGGGCATATCCAACATGGCCTTTCTCCTCTGCTCCATCCTGGGTCATAGTTAGCAATTGTCCACTCCGGTATTGGCAATTGGGCCTCGTACTTGGCAATCATGTGTCGTTCGTGGATGTGACCCTTGACCTTTTGTCCCACACCAGTACCCTTCACCCTCAGACCGTGCTCGACCCGGTGAGCAAGACGGTACTCGGTGCCCTTGCGAGTGTCGGGAAGTAGGTCCTCGACGCCGTGCTCGCGGGCCATCTTGACCAGCTCAGCCTGGCGGCGTTGCGAGTAGACGGGGTCCTGCCACTTGCCCGTCACGGGGTGCTTGTAGAAGCGGAAGGGGTCCGGCCGGGACTCTTGGGAGGGTGTCTTGGGGCTCCCCTCGGGGACGATGGCGGCGGGGGGGTATCGGGCGAAGAAGCGCTGCAGGGGCGTTGGCAGCGACTTTGCCAGCTGGATGAGCTGCGAAGAGGATGCCATTGTGCTAGGGGCCGGTCAATCGCATGTCCCGCGGGGGAGAGGAAGGGGTCGATCGGTTTGAGATGGAGTCGTTGACTTTGAGGGCCTCTCCAATTGATCATGTCGAGGCTGACGTCCCAAGTTTTCGAGTGTGGGCCCACTTTTGACAGGCGGGTCATGATTGGTTGATGGGTTGCAGCCTCCAATGCTTAATTCTACAGCCTCGTCAACTCTAGCAACATCCATTTCAATCAGCCATCAGTCATCACTTACATTGGCGGGCGGTTGCCTGCTTTGATTCTTCTTCTCTCTCTTTCTTCTATTCATCTTCAAGACACACACAGAAACCATGCCTCTCGATATCGAAGAGATCCTACGAAAGAAAAAGGCAGCAGACGCCGCTGCCGCCAAGCCTAGGTTCATCCCCAAGGCCCAACGAGAGCGACTGGCAGCTGAAAAGGCCAAAAAGGAAGAAGAAGACAAGAAGCGCAAGGCCGCAGAGGACGCCCAACGACGACGCGAGGATGAACAGAAATGGGCTGCTCGACCAAACGGCTCATCATCAACGCCCAGCGAAGCAACGAATGGCTCCTCCTCGCGGGTGCCCACGGGGCCCAAAGCCATGAACCAAGAGAACGGTCGTGGAAGAGGGCGTGAAGGGAAAAAGGGAGACAAGGCGAACGCGGACAAGCGCTTAGCAGAGGACATCGAAGCGTCTCTGTTACGATCACGATATCTCGGCCCAGAAGTAAATCAACAGTCCAACTTTTCGGCAAAGAAGAAGCGGATGCGCACGACGGAGAGAAAGTTCAACTTTGAATGGGACGCCGACGAAGACACATCACGCGACAACGATCCCTTATACACGCGACAGAGCGCCAACCACAATGGATCCTTTGCTGGTGTTGGTGGCGAGTTTGACGAGGAGGCTGAAGAGCGAGCTCGTAAGCGCGCGAGGATGATTGAGCAGAGAGACCCGGAGAACGGAAAGGAGCGAGCCAAGGGATTCATGGAGGACTTCTTCCGAGCTCGCGACAGGGCTCGGGAGCGTGCGGACCGTACAGGTCTGGGCAAGCGGTGGACGGAGAAGTCGTTGGACGAGATGCGCGAGCGCGACTGGCGCATCTTCAAGGAGGACTTTGGTATTGCGACAAAGGGCGGCATGATCCCTAACCCCATGCGCAACTGGCGCGAGTCGAATCTGCCTCCTCGACTGCTCAGCGTCGTCGACCAGGTCGGCTATAAGGAGCCTACACCCATTCAGAGAGCTGCCATCCCCATCGCTCTCCAGGCTCGAGACCTCATCGGTGTCGCCGTTACCGGTTCCGGAAAGACGGCGGCTTTCCTTCTGCCGCTGCTGGTGTACATCTCTGACCTTCCACCTCTGGAAGATCACAACAAGAACGATGGCCCATACGCTCTTATCCTCGCCCCGACTCGAGAACTGGTCCAGCAGATCGAGACCGAAGCTAAGAAGTTTGCCGAACCCCTTGGCTTCCGCTGTGTGAGTATCGTCGGTGGTCACTCCCTCGAAGAGCAAGCATACGCCCTCCGCAACGGTGCCGAGATCATCGTCGCCACACCCGGTCGTCTGGTGGACTGCATTGAGCGTCGACTCCTGGTGCTTGGCCAGTGCTGCTACGTCATCATGGATGAGGCCGATCGCATGATCGATCTGGGCTTTGAGGAGTCGGTCAACAAGATCCTCGACGCCCTGCCCGTTTCCAACGAGAAGCCTGACACAGACGATGCAGAGAACGCGCAGCTAATGAAGCGCTACCTCGGCGGCAACGACCGCTACCGCCAGACCATGATGTACACGGCCACCATGCCTCCGGTCGTCGAGAAGATTGCAAAGAAGTACCTCCGTCGCCCGGCTGTCGTTACCATCGGAAACGCAGGTGAGGCTGTTGACACGGTTGAGCAGCGCGTCGAGTTTGTTTCAGGCGAGGACCGCCGCAAGAAGCGTCTTCAAGAGATTCTGTCTTCCGAGGCCTTTGCGCCCCCCATCATCGTCTTTGTCAACATCAAGCGCAACTGCGATGCTGTCGCGCGAGACATCAAGGCCATGGGATGGTCTGCCGTCACACTCCACGGTTCCAAGACTCAGGAGCAGCGAGAGGCCGCCCTGGCTTCGGTGCGTGCCGGACACACACAAGTACTGGTCGCCACCGATCTTGCTGGTCGTGGTATCGATGTCCCCGACGTTTCTCTCGTCGTCAACTTCAACATGGCCACCAACATCGAGAGCTACACCCATCGTATCGGTCGTACCGGTCGTGCCGGCAAGAGTGGTGTTGCAATCACCTTCCTGGGCAACGAGGATGCGGATAACATGTACGATCTGAAGCAGATCCTCAGCAAGAGCTCTATCTCAAAGGTGCCAGAAGAGCTGAGGAGACACGAGGCTGCGCAGTCGAGACCGGTACGCGGTGGAGGTGGTGCGGCGAGGAGAGAAAAGGAGGAAGCACCTGGGAAAGGAGGTTGGCAGTAATAATAGAATGACGCTTTTGTATGGATAGATTCAATGGGAACATGATGAAATCATTACTTGGCTGTGCTACAGTGGACCAGCATCGTCTACTCTTTGACATAACATACATTCATTTCCATTTCTCTTTTACTCTTTTTTCTACATGTCATCCGACAGCAGGTCTAGTATAACAGTCTTGTCTAGTCTACTCGAGCTTCAGCTGCTCAAACTGCTTGATGGTCTCCTCGAAGCTGGTGAGCTCCTGCTTGGCGTCGGCCAGCCTCTTCTGGTCCGTCTCGCGGATGGCGTCCGAGGCTTTCTCGAGGTATCCAGGGTCGTTGAGGATCTTCTCTTGCTTCTGGATGCTGCTTCGGGCCTTGTCCAGCTTCTTCTGCGCCTTGACGATCTCGGCGTCAATGTCGACGCGGCCCTTGACGTGAAGGAAGACAGCCGCCTCCGTAGACACGGGGTAGGCGACGCAGCCGGCCGGTCGAGTGGCATCGGGCGACAGGATCTCGACACCCTTGATGCCCTTGCCGCTGAGGGTCTTGATGGAGGCGACCTGCTCCTTGACAGTAGCCAGGGAGGTGTCGTTGTAGGCCTGGATGATGACTATAAAGCAGTTAGCACCTTGATCATAGTTAAAGATTGATTACTTACCCTCGACATCATCCTTGAGGGCATACTCGGCCATCAATGATCGAGTGGCCTTGACACAGCCCAGAACAAGCTCGTAAGCACGCTCAGACTCAGGGTCGTCAAGCTCCTCAGTGTAGGTGGGGTACTTGGCAACCATGATAGACTTGGTCTCGTCCTCGGGTCTCCGGGGCATTCGCTGCCACATCTCCTCAGTGATGAAGGGCATGAAGGGGTGGATCATGGTCAGGGCAGCCTCGAGAGCCGTATACAGGGTCTGGATGGCCGAGTTTCGCTCCTCCTCGGTACCATCTCGGATGATAGACTTGGAGTTCTCGATGTAGACATCGCAAAGCTCGTTGTACCAGTAGCGGTAGACGATGAGCGTCGACTTGGAGAACTCACGGTCCTCAAGAGCCTTGTTGATATCCTTGGCAGCGGTGTTCATCTTGTGGAGGATCCATCGCTCGGCCAGAGTCTTGCCGCGGGCAATACCCGACTTGGAGGGAGTAAAGTCCTGAGGAAGACTTCCAAGGACGTACTTGGTCGCCTGGAAGATCTTGTTACAGAACTTTCGGTATCCGTGGATGATCTTGACGTCCAGGTTGATATCTCCACCACCAGTGGTGGCGTTGATCATGGTGAAGCGCAGAGCATCGGCACCACACTGGGGGATACCATCAGGGAAGGCAGTCTTCTGGTACTTGGTGGCCTTGGCGACCTCGCTGGGGTGCAGGTTGCCTTGCAGGAGCTTCTCGTGGAGGTAATCCAGCTGGACACCGGCAATGACATCCAGGGGGTCAACGACATTACCCAGACTCTTGCTCATCTTCCTGCCCTCGGAATCTCGGACAAGACTGTGGCAGTAGACCTCCTTGAAGGGGATATCGCCCGTCATCTTGAGTCCGAGCATGATCATTCTGGCGATCCAGAAGAAGAGAATATCCCAACCGGTCTCCAGGACGGATGTGGGGTACAGGGTCTCGAGGTCATGGGTCTTGTTGGGCCAACCCAGTGTGCTGAAGGGCCAAAGACCAGAAGAGAACCAGGCTATTTATGCGGTCAGTTTTAATATCCAATAATATTTCACGGGCAACTCACTGTCGAGAACATCCTCATCACGCTGAAGAGTAAATGTCTTGCCGGGCAGGGCAGCCTTGGCCTTCTCCTCGGCCTCTTGCTCAGTCCGGCCAGCGAACCAGAGCTTTTCCTCAGGGATATCTCCAGCGCCTCCTTCAATCTTGGCAAAGTAGACAGGGCACTGATGACCCCACCAGAGCTGTCGGCTGATACACCAGTCGTTGATATCCTCGAGCCATCGGTAGTAGCTCTTCTCAGCAGACTCGGGGCGGATCTTGATGCGGCCGTCTCGGACAGCAGCAAGAGCGGGCTCGGCCAACTCCTTCATGCGAACCCACCACTGAGGCTTCATAAGAGGCTCAATGACGTCCTTGGACTTTTCACACAGAGGGACCTTCATAGCGTTGTCCTTCTTGTCGACGTACAGACCCTTGGCCTTCAGGGCATCCTGGATGGTGTAACGGACGTCGAATCGCTTCTGGCCCTTGTAGGGACCGGCGTTCTCGTTCATGAGACCATCATCGGTCAAGATGTTGATAAACTCGAGGTTGTGCTTCTGGCCGAGGGTGAAATCGTTGGGGTCGTGGGCAGGGGTAAGCTTGACGGCACCAGTTCCGAACTCCATATCGACATACTCGTCGGCGATGATAGGGAGCTTGCGACCCTCGATAAAGGGGTGAATGGCAGTCTTGCCGATGAGGTGCTTGTACCTGTCGTCCTTGGGGTGAACAGCGATACCGGTATCACCCAGCATGGTCTCGATACGGGTAGTGGCGACCTCGACGAGCTCGTCGGATCCCTCAATGGGGTACTTGAAGTGGACAATAACACCAAACTCGACTTTCTTGTCGTAGCCAGGGACATCGAGGAGTGTTCGGCCAGTCAGCTCCTTGTTGGCGACCTCGAGGTTAGACAGGGCAGTGTTGAGCTTTGTGCACCAGTTGACAAGTCGGTTCGCACGGTAAATGGTACCCTCCTCGTGAAGCTGGACCCAAGTCTCAGTAACGGCCGCGGACAGGTTAGCGTCCATGGTGAAAGCCTCTCGGCTCCAGTCGAAAGAACCTCCCAGGCTGGTCAGGGCCTTGTTGATGCGCTTGTGGTACTCATCCTTCCACTGCCAGACAGTGTCGACAAACTTGGCTCGGCCAAGATCGTGTCGGGTCTTGCCCTCCTTTCTCCAGAGCATGTTCTCGACGACGCTCTGAGTCGAGATACCAGCGTGATCGCAGCCAGGCAGCCAGAGAGTGGTCTTGCCCTGCATTCGGTTCCATCGAACCATGAGATCCTGGAGAGAGTCACCGAGAGCGTGACCCATGTGCAGGGCACCAGTGACGTTGGGAGGAGGGTGGACAATGACGAAGCTGCCCTCGTCCTTGACCTTGCCATCAGGCTTGAACTCAGGCTTGAAGAAGCCCTCCTTCTCCCACCAGCTGTACCATGCCGACTCGACGGCAATGGGGTTGTAAGCCTTGAAATGGGGGTCCTCGAACGATCGGATTCGCTTCTTGTCACCCTCGGGGGTGTCCTCGACGTATTCGGGGAGGGGTTCCTCCTCGACCTTCTTCTCCTTGGGCTTCTTCTCCTTGGCTGGCTTAGGGGCGCTCGCGGCGGCCTTTGCCTTCTTGGCCTCGAACTTGGCCTGCTTCTCGGCCTTCTTGCGCTCCTTCTCCACTGCGCCATCATGTTAGACCATCTGGGGTCGAAATCGGTTCGGGGAGGCTTCACATACACTCCTTGGCAGTCTTCACCTTGGCACCGCCCTCGACACCGGCATCAGCGCCTGAGGCATGAACGGGGGCAGCAGACTCGGTGATGCTCTTCTTCTCCTCGGCGGGGACGGCTGGAGGGGTACTGGTAGCGTCTTCAAGGCCCTCGCTGGCGCCGACTATACGATTCCAATGTTAGTCACACCCTAAACATATCCCCATTCGCAGTTCTCATCCTTACTGGGGTTTCCTCGGCCGCTGTTCGTCGCCATGGTGACTCGCGTGGTTGTCAAGTTTCTACTTGGTCTTGGGGAAGCAGATCGCACGCGAAGTGCTTGAACCGCGAGTCGTCTAAACGTCGTGCCGGAGATGACTGAGTGAAGCCCGTTGCTTTGGGGCTTCAGACACTGTCGCACGCCGGGAATTGACTTTAATAGAGAGAAAAGAGCAAAGATGACTCAGAGTCGAGCCTCGTTGCTACGATTCAAGACGGTTTGGTTTGTAAATTTGAGTCATGGCCATCCAGAACGAATATCGGAAGGTGGGTTGTACCCCGCGTAGTGTGGCGTTTGTGGCGGTGCACACATGGCTGGAGCTCTGGTGCTGGTGGTCATGTTTTCCACCCACGTCTTGACATTGAACGACTGTATTCATGCTGTGTTTCAGTGGATCTTGTCTGTCCATATACTTATTTTGAGCCTGTTGAAACTGGTCCTTGTTACTCTCCTTTGCCCTGTTTCTTCAAAGTCTCTGCCTTGATGGCCTTCAGGCTAGCTTTGAGAGCTCACACGAGCCGAACATTGTGTAGTATCACAGCCGGCTCTAGAAGGGCATATTCAACAAGCAATGGCTCAAAATATTTCACAGTAAACTTGGGCTCTAAACAAAAGGTGACACAATTCTGAAGGAATTACCTATTTGCAATGAGCTAACTTCATCCTAGGACCTCGCTGCCTTGCTACAAAGCGTGAAGCCGCAAATCAAGCTGTCTAACCCCAGTCGTCATGACGCAGCAGTTATTCTGGCCACGCCAGAGTATGCCCGATGGCTGGAGGAGGATGGCTTCATGGCAGAGTTTGTAGAGCTTCTCTCGGGCTCTGAAAAGATGGAGCAGTTTCACATTCTTGGTGCTGTGGTTGACCATGTTGCTCCGCCTATTCCGGCAAACAAGCCCATCCAGGGCCTGTCCATCCTCCGCGGCTCTGTCAGCTCTATCCTTCCGGAACTCTGGAGTGAGGCTCCTCCAAAGGCGAGGGAGGATGCGAACAAGGTTGCGGCTTTGACGTTTGACCTCGGCAACCCCCACCTCACTGTTCCTTTGACAAATACCACTTTCCAGAACCACAAGACGTCGACTCTTATTGCAAGCCGATACGACCTATCTCAAGACTCTCCAAAGCTTTTGCAGAAGACGGAAAAGCACTGGCAGCAGGTGACTCTTCCACTCAGAGAGCAGCTCCCTTCGATCAAAGACCTTGAGATCTGGGCTCCCCTGGTACCCCTGACTCAACCACGTGTGGTGACGGAAAGCTTTGGCAACATTGTGAGGCGAGTCAATGTCGATGACGAATCAGTTCCTGCTTCAAATGAGCTCGAGCCAGCAGTCGACGAATTGCATAGTCGGAAGTCCAACCTGGTTCAGTCACCTATGGGCATCTGGGCTGTCATCACGCCTCCTACGTTTGCTCAAGTGGGAAGCAATGTCTCCCACTCTGCCGACCCAGATCCGGAGGCGACGTTTGATGAGAATCTCAACATTACAGACTTGGTGGCCTCGACATCTAGTCATCTACATAGGCTATACGGGCAAGGGGGTCGACTATATCAGATCTGTACGTCCTTTCTACTTGAACAATTCCAAACTAAGTGCTAACATGAGTAGTGAGCGGTGGTGGCGGTTGGGGCGCAAAGAAGGGCTTGCTGTCACTTGATCCTCAACGGACTCACTTTGCCCTGTCTGAAGAAGAGGAGATGCAAAGGTTCATCCAGGCCATGGACGGCGGCAACTTTGTTCCTGTGGGCTCCAAGATCCAGTTCTTCGTGTCGACAGAGACTTCAGCGACGGAAGCATCTGGAACTCCCGCCCCTGGAGTAGTGTTTGGAACTGCCAGCAGGGTCCAAGACTCGATAGACGCCGAGTCCGAGACGGTCGTCTTGGAGAATCACTTTGGCGCGCTCTCAAATGACGGAATCTTTGTCACCTCGTCGGACGCTGCCGCCGAGACGACGCCAGGCTATAACAACGACTGGAAGCTCAACGTGCCAAACTCTCGGATCTTTGTCGCCGACAAAGAGTAGGATCTGGATGGCTGGTTTGTGGTGTTTCTCGCTTGGTGCGCGTGCACGTGTATACTTGAGATGTGTAATTACTCCCCCTTCTAATATCTAGACGATGCTGCCAACTCTACCCTGATGAATACATACCCCATCTACTCTTGACCTGACCTTCTTTTCTTTTGTAATCCCTCTGATGCTACCGCTGCAACATCCTCCAGCGTCGTCCCCCTCTTTCTCTTCCCGACCTTCTCGCTTCCAAGTACCTCATCCTCCGCAATGCCCTTGTATACACCAGCGGCGCCCTGGAACAGCTCCTTTCCCCACCCCCCCTCTTCACCCATAGTGTCAGCAATCTCTTCCATTTCTCTGACCCAGCGGTACGCCTTGGGCGGCATATTTGGCACAGATTTGTCGGCGAGGGCGAGGTGCGTAGGAAGGCCTTTAGCCATCTCGTCTCGCAGAACATCCGCAACACCGAGGCTGTGTGCAGTTGTGAATGACTGAGTAGCTATGGCTATAAAGCCTTTAGACATGGCAGCGAAGCACATCTTGAGCCCGCTCGCGGCGCCGATGTTGGGGGAGATGGGGTTCATGTTTAACACTGAAATAAGAGTATCGCCGTAAGGGAGGGCCGAGAGAGATTCTGGCCCAGATATGGGAAGTCTTGGGCGTATCCAGTCGGAATAGTCGTTGTTGCTGGAAGCTTTGGATCCGCCATCGGTGGGAGTTGTCCGTTTTGGAGGACCTCCTAGGATGCATCCATCGATGAAGCGGACGGGGACCTCGGATTTCTCGAGAAGCGCTGCGATTGTCTTTGTACTTGATGGCGAAACTGCATTTAGATCGACAAAGTATAAATCTTCTCTTCTCTTGGACTTTGAGAGCGCATCCACGATGCGTCGTGCCGTAGCCTCGGCATCTCGTGGGGGCACGACAGAGAGTATCACTGAACACTCTTCCACCAGGTCAACATCGGTCTCGAGCAGTTCCACATTGACTTCCCGGGCGCGATCAATGGTATCTTGACTGTCGTGTTTGTAAGTTTCCTGCCTCTTGCCGAGTGGTAGGTATATCCTACCTTCTACCCGAGCAATTCGTCGCAACAGCAAAGTTGTGAGCAACGAGCAGGTTGGCGATGCCAGCACCCATGTCGCCTATGGACAGCAGCCCAATTTTGGCAATAGGACCGTCTTTGCTTGACATATTATTATGGCAATTCACGCTGACGTATGAATATTAATCTGAGGTTGACACGGAAAGTTTCATCCGATGTCGTTTATGATGTCGGTCTCAGGGAAACGTGATCACCAGGTTCATGCAAGGTCCAAGTTTATTGTTAAGAGATGTTTACGAGCGGGGAATTAGCCGCATACACCCTCAAGTATCAGGTTCGAACTGCCCTCATTCTTGTCAGGATATGGCGCAATAAGTAACTGAAATGTGTTGATCTGAGCAACTAGATACTGACGACAATTGGATCTCAACGCATGTGGATAGTACTTTCAACACACCAGAAGCATCATCTCGATGCGCCGAGGTCTACATCAAAGATAGGTACTCTTGGCTTCTGGTACAAATCAGGTTATCGCGACGGCTTAGTCAACACACGTCTTTCATCAACCACCAAGCGAATCGAAAGCCATGGCCGGCCATCCATTCTGGTGGTGAGCGACGTCACCCACCCAGGATCCGTCCCTGTTTGCCCGCTCGCGGGGAAACGTCCATCGCCCGATTCGCCTCTAACAGCATGACATGATGACGAACACTTGACAGGCCCCCCATTTACAGGACAAAGAGCCCGAGTTAGCGAGCAGCTAGAAACACAGTAGAACCTGATTCTCTTCTTGAATGCAAACTTCATCTTTGAACCATCACTACACCACTTCAGCAGACCCATGTAAGAAAGACCATCTATTATACACCATGGCACCCTCTCGCCAACAACAAACAACGCCGGCAACTTCCTCACAGAACAACCCGCAAGAGCCAGCAAATGAAACCAAGTCAAAAAAGAAACGAGCTGAGCCAATATCTTCTCTTGCCCCACGGAGACCGGACGAGATTGAGGAGGCGGAATCGGTAGTACCAGCACCCAAACCGAAACCCACGAGAGTTGAATCATCAGACGAAGAGGACCAAGAAGGAGATGATGATGATGCGGAAAGCGTCTATTTATCAGACGACGAAGGTAGCGATGACCAGGACACGACGTCTGAAGAAGACTCAGATGATTCCGACGACAGCGTGGAATCAGTACCACCCCGGCAGTTGACGAGACGTTCAACTAGACGCGCCGTAAAACATTCATCACCATCCTCGCCATTCACAATTGTCCAGACTCAATCTGAGACCACACACTGGATAACCACACAGCAACCCCAAGGAAACAACAGAGCCGTAACTCGCGGCACCAGAACCGTCCAACAGCAAACTACCATGCACGGCCAAAATGTCAATACCCAACAACAAAGACGATCGAACGGGAACAGCCTCAGAGTCAACATGAGCATCGACGTCAACATGTCTTTCAGTGGCCTTGTTACAGGCCGTAATCTGTCATTCGCTGGGGTATGTAAGCCGCCGTTCGTATCAAAGGAACAAACTGACTCACAGATCCAGGGACAACTATCCTACGGTTGGAGTCGCCGCAACACACAGGGAAGTTGAGGTGAAGCTCCAATCCATCTGCAATAAGCCATACGAGCTGTGGCAACAAGTTAAAGTCCATCGTTGAGAAACGGTGAGAATAGGTGGAGATTTCGGCTTGTGATGCGCTAAACAGTCTGGTCATGTATATAGTCGAGTCGAGATCAGACGACAGACGTCGTCAACAATATGACGAGTCGGTTACTCAATCATGTCGATATCGTCGACGGCAGCGGCTGGAGCTTGAGCCTGAGCCTGAGCCTGGGCAGGGGCTGCCTCGGTTCCGTTGGATGGCTCCGTGGGTTGCGCATTGCCTCCGCCAAAGTAGTCCGCCATTTCCGCATCCAGCTCCTCCTGCGTCTTCTTTGCACGAGGGTTACCTCGTCCACCACGACCTCCCTCCTGATCCCTGCCACCTTCTCTGCCACTGTCTCTGCCACCACCATCTCTACGAGCTCCGGGACGACGACCACCCTGACCGCGCCGCCGGGGCATTGGGCTCCTCCGGTCACCTCGATCACCTCCTCGGTCACCTCCTTGTCCAGGAACATATCTATCAATTCCCTTGCGAGCTGCTTCGTCCTCGTCGTATCGGCGGTGTGGTGAATGAGATCGCGCCCTGTCTCCTGGGGCTGAAATGCGCTCTGCCAAGGGGCGACTAGGCATGACAGCTGTATCGAAGGGGTTTCTAGCAGGGCCGCTGGGAAGAAGTGTCAATCGAATAGGTTGTCCTATATGTTTATGTTAGAAATGTCAGAGCTTGAATAACAGGTCTTGCCCGCGTACCGTTGGCATTGGCGCCATCAAACTGTCGAACCGCCTCTTGAGCGTCTTCTTTCAGCTCGTAGGTCACGTAGGCCGTTCCTTCGGATCGTCCGGCGCGGTCGTATCGCAATTGAAGTCGAACAACAGGACCAATTCTGCGGAAGAGCTCCTGTAACCATAGTGAGCAACTATTCTATGATCGCATGGTGAATGGATGCGCGTACATCGAGGTCATCCTCGGTGAGGTCATAGTGGATGTTATCGACTCGCAGTTTTGAGCCTTTGGACTCCCTAAAGGTTCGACTGTTAGGAATACCCTCGTTCGCGTCGATCGTCTGACTTACTGGTCAGGAGACTCGCGGCGCCGGCGTGGAGCGGGTCCTCTGCGACTGTCTGCAAAAGGTGAGACTGGGGAATCGTCAAGAAAGGTTTTGAGTAGTATTACTGTTCTCTTCGTATCGGTCATGGACCCATTCACTATCTCCAATTAGCAACCGGAGGGGAAAAGAGGTACGAGTATTGCTACCTGTCGAGGTTTCGCGATTCGTCTCGGAAGGACTGTATGTGGGAGGGATGCTCTGGTCAGCAATAGATTTCTCAGAGTGGAAAGCCGTTCAATCGACAAAAGCTCCGAGCACCGAAGGACGAGTTGCGAGGAGGGTTGTAAAGGTCGAGGAGGCATCACTGGAGGATGAGAGGGAGGATAGATCAACCTGGATGGGCATGGTCAGTAAAGCTCTGGCGGAGAAGGCGAAACAGCGGGGGTAGGAACAAACTGACCTTTCTGACGCCGTCGCGAGGGTAATCCTGGCGCGGCTCACGTCGGCGACCCTGGCCGCGTTGGTTGCGAGGCCGATTGCTGCGCTGGTAGTGGCGATGTTAGCTGTGGCCGACAGCGCAGCGCGACGCAGGAACTGCGGTGGAGGGTAGAACCAAGTTGTAGCGACTTACAGTTTCGGCGATGATCTCGTCAAGACCACGGTCCATCTTATCAGCCATGTTGTAAGGATTTCTAGGGAGACTTGTTGAGTTTCAAAGAGTCTCTCGTGGTGTAGAAAAAAAAGTTGGTGAGAAGGAGAGAAGAAGGAGGAGCGCAAGGCGACTTCTCATGGAGACGGGAACGGACGCGGCTGGCAAACGCCCGGTGCCCGGCCAAGCTGGCTGCTGCCACTGCTGCACTGCAGAGCGCCGCCGTCAGGCCAAGGTACGTACCAGCCACAGCCACGCCTCGACGGTTATGAGCGGCGTGCAGATGTGGGGGCAGCATGTGTTATTCTTTGTTTGTAGATTACTCGTCGTAAATTACAATACATAGATAACTCGAATATCAAATTTTAACTATAAAGCCATGCATAATCAGATCTCGAACGATTGAGATGGACAATGCAATGGGTACCTACTCAAAGTACACGCAGTAAAAAGTCATGGCACCGCAAGGACACGCCGATGCCCAAGCCACATCCTAGGCGGGCGATTAATTATCCGCTCATATCCCAACTCCCGCTAGGCCTATTCTGGCACTACCCCAAATCTGGAACTCTAAGCTGTCCTGTCTTATCCCTTTGGCTGGCTCTCGCTCGTGTGGCAGGCCGGCGCCCTAGTAGACCAGAAACCACCTTTTCGTATTCCTGATATTACCCCTTCTTCGGGCTGACCGTCGTGATCTTTCCCTCTTTTTCTTCTTCTTCTTCTTCTCTTCTCATTCCTCCCTTCCCTTGTCAAGAGGATCATCGTTTCTCGGCGCGGATACTTGTTGGTTCCTTCTTCGTCGTCCTCTCCGTCGCGGCGCACCTCGAACTAAACCTCCAACTTGATGCCCTCGTCCAGCTCGCGATAGCCGGTGCTGTCGCACGCTTACCTCGACACTGTCTCCCTCTTCGCCTCTCTAGGCGCAAAACAAGCCAGACGAAAGACGGCACTCATGGCTCGCCCCATGGGGTCAGTCCGCCTCAAGAAGGGAAATCCTTCGACCCTCGCCCTCGGTGTCATCCTCTGCATCTTCATCATCGTCTTCCTCGTCTCGCCCTCGGGCAAGTCCGTCACAACCAAGCGATTCGAGTCAGTAACCGCAGAGCATCATCTGTCGCCTCCTACGTCGCCGTACCGAAAGTCAAAATCGCGATCTGGCGTCCCTTTCAAGCCACCACCCGTCGCGCATTACAACCTTAACAATGTCACCATTACCACTTCGCCCATCGAGAACCGAGAGAATGTCCTGATTCTCACCCCCATGGCCCGCTTCTACCCTGAGTACTGGGAGAACCTGTTGAGGCTGAGCTACCCTCACGAGCTTATTACTCTGGGCTTCATCCTGCCCAAGACCAAGGAGGGTAACCAGGCCACAACTGACCTGCAGGAGTTTGTACACAAGACTCAGAAGCACGGTCGCGAGAAGGACAAGTTCAAGAGCATCATTATCCTGCGACAAGATTTCGAGCCCGCCATTGTCTCTCAGGATGAGAGCGAGCGACATAAGCTTGCGAACCAAAAGGCCCGTCGCGAGGTCATGGCCAAGGCCCGCAACTCTCTGCTCTTCACCACCCTTGGACCGGATACTTCTTGGGTTCTGTGGCTAGACTCTGACATTGTCGAGACACCGACCTCCCTCATTCAAGATCTGGCTGCTTTTGACAAGCCATTGATCGTCCCCAACTGCTTCCAGCGATATTACGATGACGAGCACAAGCAAATGGCTGAGCGACCATACGACTTCAACAGTTGGCAGGACAGCGAGACTGCGCTTGCCCTCGCCGCCAAGATGGGCCCTGATGAGATCCTCCTCGAGGGATACGCCGAGATGGCGACTTACCGCATGTTGATGGCGTACTTGGCGACTGATGGAGGAGACCCCAAGATGGTGATTCCTCTCGATGGAGTTGGAGGCACCGCTCTCCTTGTCAAGGCAGACGTCCACCGCGACGGTGCCATGTTCCCTCCTTTCCCCTTTTACCACCTCATCGAGACTGAGGGATTCGCCAAGATGGCCAAGCGATTAGGCTGGCAACCATACGGTCTCCCCAACTACAAGGTAAGCATATAGCATCAGCCCATTGAATCCCGTGTCTAACAAGATGCAGGTTTACCACTATAATGAGTAATTTCGTCGCAGCAAGGCCACATTGGGAATCATGAAACCAATTCCTTGAGCAAACTTCTTTCCTTCACGAGACGACGAGCCATGCTGCACCAGACTGGACGAGTGGGCTCGCCCCATTCGCTCTATTGTAGCCATCCATTGCTGGGCAATTCATGTTTCAAATCGGGCGGGTTTAGGCCACGGCGTTTTTTTTTATAGTGTATCCTTTGAAAATGAGGGAGGAGGATGATGACAAAAAGTGAGGCTCGAATTCCAGAAGGAGAGAAGAGGAGGAGGTGAGAGAGATGCATCAGCTGGCATCTCTTGTTTCTATGCATTTTTTTTTTTTTGTAAAACACAGATTACGGGGGGAGTGAAAGCAATAGTGGAATGATGGGATAGACGGGCATCTATGCGAATGATTTTTTGACTGTTCTGTTACCATCCTAGAAGAGTTTTTGGCCACGAATCGATGGCAGACCTTGATTTCACGGATATTTGACATTTATTACTGTCTGTCATACGAGGGGAATTGTGTTTGTGTGTCTGGTATCTGTCTGATTGTTCATCATGCCTGCTGTCGCTCAACCCATCCTATCCATTCATTGCGAGAAGTCCCAAAGAAATATCTGAATATCCCAATCTTGTACATCCAAGTCATCACACGAACCCTTGTTCCTAAACTCCGTATTAAAACTCACTCCCATCGAAGAGTATATCCCAATCCAACAATAAACATCCTTATTCATACATGCCCTAGGGTCCATCATATCTTCCATCCGAGTCTTTGCACCAAAACTCGACCAACTTTCGCGTACCCAGCTCATCCCCGCCGCGCAAGAGGGCCGCGACGTCGACGTTGAGAGGACTGTCCGTCTCGGGGCAGCCGAGCAGCATGCGCACGGCGCGCACGCACTCGAGGACGCTGTAGGCGGGCGTCCAGGCGTCCTTGAGCAGGTCGAGGCAGATCTCGCCGGTCTGCAGGGCAATGTTGGGGTGCACGATGGTCGTGACGAACGTCATCTTGGGAGGCGCGAGGGGGTACGTCGTAGGGATCGAGATGCTGAGAAGCCAGCGACCCTCTGTGAAAGAGTTAGTTGATGTGTTTTCGCAAAGGGGGGGAGATTTCTAACCGTCGTAGCCATGTCCAATACCCCGTCCGTTGATGACGGCCTCCCACTCCATCAGGTTATCCTCGCTGACGGGACCCAGGCGCTCGATGCCCGTCTCATCCTTTCGCTCAGTACTCCATGTATCCAGTTCCTTTATTAGTCGCCGGCTGGCGCTCCTTGAAACGGATGGTCCTGCTGGTGTCGACATGGTTGAATGCGATGCGATGACGGTATTGATGCTCGGCGTTGTATGCGACGGGTAGAAAAGATGCACAGCTTTGGAAAGGAGTCACTGGTCCTGCTGGTAACGGATCAAGGGATGAATGTGCTCCTTAACTATGGAGATGAAGACGGTCTGAACTAGTCGTCGGCACTGGAGCTTGGATGGAAGCTCGGTTTGTTGTCCAGGTCGACAGGGATAGAGGCCGGTGATGATGCCGAGGCCGGATGACCTACGTAGCTGCTACGTACACATCTACCGAGGAGACGCACCCCCGTGGCTGTGCTGCTGTGGCTAGGTAGGAGTGGCGCTTCCTCATGACAACTTTCACTCCCGCGTCTATCATGTGAAAGTCAGGGTCCAAAATAGCCCCTGGTCACTCATCGGACAAGACAATTAATCACGATTCATACCAACAGCAACTTTTGATCACTTTTCATTTGAACATCTAAAACTCCAATTTTGGGGACTGATTACAATTTGGATTAGAGTAGATAGTCTATCAATGTTGGGTAGACTTGAGCTCTCTCGACAGGGGTATCCTTTTTACTTCTTTCGACGTCCTCCGCCACCACCTCCACTTCGGACTGGCTTTTTCTTGGATGAAGTCGAGGCGCGAGGTGGATTCCTCCTTACTGGATGGGCCTCAGGCTCAGGCTCTGCTTCAGGTGAAGGCTCGAGCGGAACGGCAGGACCTCGTCCTCGAGGGACGTCCCTGATCTGAGCCCCGCTTCCGACATCGTCGCTGGAGCTTTGTTCCTCTCGGTGTCCTCGCTCAGACTCGCCATCACTAGCCTCGCTTTCTTCTTCACTTGAACCATCGCCAAGACCTGATTGAGAGCCCGACTGACCCCAGGCCATGGATCCGGCACCTCGCTGAGGATAGCCCGTTTGTGGAGCTCCCGAAAAGGGTCTCCGAGACGAAGCCATGGTGTTTGCCTGCTGAGAAGCCGTCTGGTACTGGAAGACATCAAGGGCAGCCCGACTTGAAGTAGGAGACATGCCTGGTACCGGGATATCTCCATAAGGGGGGGCTGCCGCGTCTGAAGGGTGACGGCTGCTTCGTTCATCCCGCGCCCGACTGGCCGCCCTCTGAGAGGAAGTAGTAGTGCCTGAGCGTCGTCGGCCGGTTGTTGATGGAGGCGGAAAGTAGCCCATGGGAGGGTAGCCTTGGTGATCTTGGTCGCCGTGGTTGCTGTTAGTCGACGACGAATGCCGAGTCCGTGATTCTTGCCGAGACTTCTTCTTGCGTGAGCCTGGATCGAGCTCAGTCAGAGGCACCGCGACCCGTTGATCTCTGCGCTTCTTGCTCCGCTTCTTCTTCTCGGCCTCCGCCATGCGTTGGCGATGGCGCTCCAGAGCCGCAAGCTCCTCCTTGTTGAGACTGACATCTGTTCTCCCCTTGGCCTTGGCACGATCGATGCGGCGCATCGCCGACTGTACCAATGCCTCCTCCCGATCCCTGACAGCCAACTGCGCCAGATACTCCTCAAACTCCTCATCCTCGCTGCTCGACGAGCCGTCCTCATCATCATCCTCCTCCGAGTCCACATAATTACCTCTGCGAACCACCCCGCGTTCTCGATCGCCCATGTCTACACCCGTGAATCGAAGAGCGTCGCTGGCAAAACCAGCCGCAGTCCCCGAAGAAATCCCAACGCCTTGTGTATTCGTTTCATTATCCTCATCTGAACCCAACTCCTCCACACGAGCGTCTCCCTCTCGGCGCCCGTGCGACGCAGCGTCCCCGTCTTGTCTCCTCCGCCTGCGCCGCGATGGTCTTCCCCATTGGGGCGCAAATTCGGGAGCTCGCGGCCGACCACCTAGACCGCCTCCCCGGAAAAAGCCTCATCGATGGGCTTGTCCATAAATGCGGCGTGACCAATGATGGTCACGCCAGATGCGCCAACCAGCCAGAGCATGGTCGAGAAGGGCGAAGCCCACAGACCAAGAGGCACGGCGATGACGACGAGTCCAGTGTAGAGTTGAGAAGTGCTGGCACGGAAGGTACCAATCTCAAGATCATTGCCGTCGAGGCGGCCAATGATCCACATGCTAGCGACGACAAAGATGATGTCGAAGAGCAGGACCCAGTTGGTGAGCAGAGCGTAGATGCTGAGCATGACGAAGATGACAGCATAGTTGCTCGAGAAATGGCTCAGGTTATAGTTGACGCGCGACTGCATCTCGGCAAAGTTGGCGGGCTTCGAGACTCGCTTGACGTCGAGGAACTCGGACAGAGGTCGAAGGTTGGAGAAGCGACCACTGAGAGGACCAGAGCGAAGGCCCTGGAAGCGCTCGCCAAAGTTGATGCGGGACGTAATGACGTCCAGCGGGATCTGAATGCGAGCCATGGCGATTGATTTTTGCGATGTAGAGTCGTAGATAGGAAAGGGTTGGCTGTTGAGCTGGCAAGTGCTTGGTGTTGCACGAAAAGTGAATACTTTATGGCCTTGGAGAATAGGCAACGAAATTATCGATCAGGCACGATGACGAGGTCGGTTGCGTGTTCAGGAATAAAGAATGGAGACGCTTAGCGAGCTGAATGAAGTAAGTTAGCAAACAAGCAAAGACGTAGTGAAAGAGGCGATACTGAGAATCAGGCAGCCAGAGAAAGAGGACAAGCTGGCCCCTGGAGAAAGGGAGACGAGGCGCAGGTATATGACAGCCAGCTACAACGCTGACGGCAGGAATAAAAGGGGCTAGATGTATGCAACGTACCAAGACGCAAGTTTGCAATAGACAGACAACAACAGAGTTTGTTGGTTGATAGAAGAGAGTCAAGTTCCAGAGCAATCAATGGAATGTTGCTTGTTGAAGTAGGGGGTGAATCTGTACTCGCGGACAGATTTCAGATAAGATTGGCTTTTTTGGGGGTTTTTTTACTCGGCTCGTAATTTGCTAGGGACGCGTCTCCTGTCAGCTTCAGCTTCAGGGGGGCCATTACAGGGGGTGCTCAGTGATTCAACTGCCAGCTGGAGCCCGGGAAGCCACTGGATGTGTGATCTCCACAGGGGGGAGGAGGTACGTACCGACTTCGTGATGTCGACGAATTGGTATGGATCCAAGCCTCGTGAGACTGGGTACCCAGAGGATGATGAAGGAGACCCAGCGGAGAGGGTGAGGAAGAAACGAGATTGCCACTCAATGCCCGACTGAGTACGGATACGTGTAATCCTCAGCCGGGGCAGGCTGGCAGCCCCGGGGAGCCTGTAACAGAGCCTCTCTCCCTAGCGGAGAGAGAGAGGAGAAGAAAGCTCTTCTGTAGTCGTGTATAGTCTTCCCCTCTCAACCCAAACAGATGAGGTTCAAGGGGGAGGTTGCCATTGACTGACAATGGAGAAGGGAAGAAGAAAGGAAAAAAGAGGAAAGCAGGAGAGTTGGAGCTCTCCGCCTTTTCTTTTAAAACATTGAGAAGAACCAGATGGAAGCCCAACCACACTTTGCACACCGACCCAATTCCGACGGAATGGATGGAGAAACTTTTTTCTTCTCTCCCGTCACTGACTGAGGTGGGCAGTCTAGGACGTTCTCTGTGTAAACTTGTTTGCACCGTCAGGTAGCTTGTAACTCTAAGGCCAGCAAAGAGCCATCCCCGCGACGCTTATGCACGCGACACCAGTTGGAGCGAGCCAAGTGGAAGACGGGGAGCGTCACCGCTTTTGACGGATACCGCCAAACCACATGTTGATCAGGGCATGGCTGAGGGGGAACATGATGTTTTTCTAATCTGTAAATTCGAGGACATGTTTCTTTGCAAAAGAATTACATCCATAGTAATATCAAATAAACACAATCCTAGAGCCGGGATACCATCATCTCTCGCTTCTTGTCCCTCTCTCCGCCGTTTCATCGTCACACAACGATCCGCGATCCAAGATCCACTTCTCACAAGCTCCATCGGAGAGCTTCCTAAGTTGCCCAAAACCCACAAACACGTTGATCTCTGATCGAAAGATTACCCACTCCCCAACCCCCAGTAGAACAACTGAGCCCATCTTTGGGACCTTCTATCCTTGGCACCGTGAGACAAAAAGAGCGGGAAGAGAAACACATCTCGACGGATAGAGAAGGCTCGACATGGTAGAGAGATACAAGACAAAAACTGCATCTTGCATCGAACCGTCCTGGTCTCACATGCTTGAACCCAATGCATTGTAGAACGAACTGGGTCCAAGATCCCGCACCCCCGGACCGCTTGGCCGGGCAGTTGTGAGATGCGAAGAGCCGAACCATCCACTACGGATGAGCCACATATAGAACCTCGGAGAAGCATGAATGAATCCATTGGAGGACGGGACTTGTTGCTGACCGCCAGCTGTCTGTGTGTGTGTGAGGCAAAAGCAACGCTCGGCCGCAGCTTGCTAGACCCCATCTCTCACCGCGAAAATATATGCCCAATAGCAGTTCCTGTGGCCCAAAAGCCAGACCAAAGGTTATATCAGCCTCAAGTTTGCTGCCTGAGGAGGGGATACGCAGGGGAATGAGTAATATGAAACAATAAGGCATTCATGGGCACTCAATTGTTAATTAGTACATTTCATTGGTGGTTGTGCTTTTAGCCGATTCTTTCGACGTGACAGTAAAATCTCCAGTGTCAACTGACAGAGCCAAAAAGAATCCAAGTCTATCATGGCCATCCTTGATGAGCCGCCTCTTCATTATAGCCCTCCCCCTCTCATCCAATCCAACCCATCCACCAGCTAAACAAATGCTCGCTATGCCTTTGGTCAAAGCCGCGCAACGGAAAAAATGGGGTATATGTGAATCACCAAAGCCACCAGAAGAAACAAAAAGAAGACCCAACAACACCCACAGTAACACATCACATCTCACACCTCAAAAAAGTAATCCTCGTCCAGCCCCTCCCGACTTGGAATCACTCCGGCCCCGGGCACCGGGCCCTCAAACGCCGAGTCCATCCTCACATTCAGCAGTCGGATCTTGAGTCCGTACTCGCTCACCAAGTTGACCAGCTTGTTCGTCTCTGCCGTGATGGGTGCTTGGTTCAGCAGCATCAGCAGTCCGTCTAGCCACTCTGACGCCAAGCTGTGGCTCAGCGGCCATAGCGTGAAGATTGGCTGCTCCTTAACCTCAGCCCCTCTTGATGCGTCAGCCGGGTTGACGAAGCTGTAGATGGTGATCTTGGTCGTCGTCTTGGGGACTGCCCCCGAATTCTTGCCCGCCACCTCACTCGTCGTGCTCTTGGCGTCTTCGTTTGCCGATACGTTGGAAACGACTGAACTGATAGTGCTGAGATCAACCCGCTCTGTGAGCGCGTCCAGATTAGGGTCCTGCACCGTCTGCTGTTCAAAGTCGGCGTAATGCAGATATCGCCGGTTGTGGGACAGTTTCGCATATCGCCACGGCGTAGGTGTAAACAGTCGGTGCTTTGCTGTCCCGTTGTTGTCTCGCTTTGGTGTCGGCTTCGAGAACCATGACCCCTGGAGGAGGCATCGAATCCTCTGCTCCTTGACAAACTGCAGCGCCTCCTGCTTGAGTTCCTCCCTCACCTGCTGTAGATGTTGACCCCATGTTGCCTCAAACGACATCTCGAGTAGCTCCATCTGCTGATCTCGTAGTCGCGATATGTCATATTCTTGCATCTCTTCCTCCATCTCCATCACATCCTTGGTCCTCGTGGCTCCTCCGACAACCTGATCGACCAGGATTCGTACCAGCTCGGCAACCTTGTCAATATCCTCTTGCTCCGCGCCCGTAACTTTCCATACTCGGAAAAAGGCATGCAAACCAGCAGTATGTAGCCGAGACCACTGAAGCAACAGAGGCCTAAACAGCCTATCGTGATCCTTGGCCTCCAACAACTGATACCCCCTGACGTCGTCCAGATCCGTCTTGTCGATATCGAAGTGGTCGTACAGTATCATGGTGACCGCAAAGCTTGCCCTTGCAACGGGACAACGTTCGGATGCAGGCTTCCCCGCCTGTTCCAGCAATAACTTCTGAAACCCATCCTCGTTCTTGCGCACATAGTCCGTCAGGTCCATCATACCCAAAAACCCCGTCATGTCAAACTCTTGCGCAGGGCTCTCCGTCTCAAACCCCAGCCTCCTCCACTTTTCCGGGTTGTGTCGCCTGCTTCCCTTCCTCGCCGATGCCTCGTGTAAGTCGTGCGCCGGGAAATGCCCATTTACGGGGACACGCTCCGGCGCACTCGCCAGGTGTAGCCCCTTGAGGGCTCGCCGGTGCTCTGGCCGCTCCAGGTCAACATCAACTTCGCGCCACTTCCTCAGCAGGACCTTGGTTAGTGACTGGAACTCTAGCATAGGGTGCGCCAGATCCTGAAGCGCCGAGCTCTGCATCAGTTTGTACACCGCTTTGATTAGACCCAAGTCCTGCAGCCGCTTGATAAACTTGGCCCACTCCTCCCCAGAACCCGCGTTGGCCTTGCCGCCACTCATGGTGCTGTCGCTCGACACAGCGTCTCGGATGAGTGCGTTGATCAGCATCAGAGCGTTGGCACACAGGGCATGATCTGCGCTCTGCAGTTGCTGTATCACCAGCTCAAAGAACTGCGGGTACACGGCGACGGCGGGCTTCAGCGCGCGGAAGCCAAAGGTTCCTGGTGTTCGGTTCGCGGCAGCGGTTCGGCTTGTGGACTGGGAATGGCTGACGAGGGCGACGAGGATAGACATGGCACCCCTCAGGATGTTGACGAGCGGGTTCGTGACGATGAGTTCGACAACGCGCTCGACCAGGTCGCTGGCTGTCGGTCCCTCAAAGATATCCCACCCCATGTCCACCTCGAGCAGGCGTGTCAAGCTCTGTAGCGAGTATGCGAGCGTGTTGCCGCCAGCTGTCATGATGAGCCGGCGGAGGACGACCAGGCCGCCAGAGGATATAAAGACGTCGGCGAATGCGGGATCGTTGATGGAATTCTGCAGCTTAAACACGGCCATCTTTCGTGAGGCGTCCTCATCGCTGGCCAGGCGCGCCAGCAGCGCGGGGATATCTGCTTGATCCATGGTCGTCGAGTATAACACGGGTGCGAAGACGAGGCTGAAAGCGACCGAGGAGGGTAGAGCAGGTTGGTATGGCCTATGGTGTCGTGATCATGGCCCGGCCGTTTCGAAGGAAAGGGGGTATCTCTGGCCCGCAAGGTCGAATTCGTGCTTGTACGAGCCGATTGTTGTCGTTTCGATTCGGGGAGCACTACGTACTTAGGAGACGACGTCTTTTTGAGAGCGCCTGGCCTCAGCGTCCCCTACAGCAGCACCTCAAGGTCCCTGTCGGATTTAATGAACCAATTGCCAAGAAGGGACTGGGGAAGCTCTTAGCCTTCAGGGGAGGCGCCTCGAGTTGCGGGCTTGTTTCAGGGAGACGCAATGGGATTGGGCAGCGCAATTCCGGGTTCTCGCAACCTCCCAGACCCTCATGGAGAAGCTCATTTAGCGTGTCGGGCGCCAAGAGGTGTGCTTCTGTGGCAGTGGTGGCTTGGTCAGCCACAGAACCTCCTAGAGCCACACACGTGACTCAGCCTCATAACGGTCTGTGGCGCATATTTCGTAAGGCTAGATACCAATGCTCGACATCCATTCCCAAATCTTCCCAAGCTTTCCAATTCATCACCATCAACGCCTCTTCGTCCTTGGCTCTTCCTCTACAGTATTCGCAATCATGGCCAACTTCCTCGCCTCCATTTTCGGCACAGAGCTTGACAAGGTCAACTGCTCATTCTACTTTGTAAGTCTTCCATTCTTTTACGCGTCTGGTCTTTGGCAGTTACTGACTTGCGCGCCTGTTTAGAAAATCGGCGCGTGCCGTCACGGTGATCGCTGCTCTCGAAAGCACGTCAAGCCGTCGTACAGTCAGACGATTCTCATGCCCAACCTTTACCAGAACCCGGCATACGACCCCAAGAACCGAATGAACCAGTCCCAGCTCCAGAACCACTTTGACGCCTTCTACGAGGATATCTGGTGCGAGCTTTGCAAGTACGGCGAGCTTGAGGAGCTCGTTGTCTGCGACAACAATAATGACCGTATGTTTCCACATTCCCATATCTATAACACTTCCAAATGCTAACATGTCACCCAACAGACCTCATCGGCAATGTCTACGCCCGTTTCAAGTACGAGGAATCCGCCCAAAAGGCCTGCGACGAGCTTAATAGCCGCTGGTATGCCGCGCGACCCATTTACTGCGAGCTCAGCCCCGTTACCGATTTCCGCGAGGCCTGCTGTCGCCTTAACTCAGGCGAAGGTTGCGTCCGTGGCGGCTTCTGCAACTTTATCCACCGCAAGAACCCCAGCGAGGAGCTGGATCGCGACCTGCAGCTTAGCACAAAGAAGTGGCTCAAGCAACGCGGTCGCGATGAGAAGAGCGTGAGCCGCTCCCCTACGCCCGAGCCTACGAGGCGACGATACTAGATGGTTGGGATGGGAACCACATCCGGAGTGATGGTGATAAGGAAACGAAACATTGAAAGGGTGGTACGGTCACGGCGTTATGGGACTGGGGTTTTGTCATAGTAATTTCCCTACAAGGGTTCATGGACGTTTGCGAGTCCACGCATATTTTTGCTGTCACCTTTTTAGCGAGGGCTGGTGTTGAAGCCTTGCTACTCATTGTAAACCCACTGATGATGAGATATGTACAATGGTATCCCTGTATAACTAATCCTGTTTCGCGCCGATGTTGATAATAGCCTGCCCCTGTCTCCGTCCTAATCCAATTCTTTCAAAAACAAAACCAGTTGTCGCCGTCGTCTTGCCGCATCTAAGAGATAATCGAAATTCGTCCCCTTGTTTTATTGCTGTGTCGTGGATGGTAGTCCCTTCTTTAGGTCGTTGGTAAAGTCAATCAGGGGTCCGTCAGCCGGCTTGCCAGTCGAAGTGAGAAGAGTCTGAATCTCGGACTGTTTTGCCACGGGCTCAGCGGGAGCTGGTTTCGCAGGTACTGGCACAGCGGCGGGCACGGGCGCAGGTGCAGGTGCAGGCGTATCGTCAAAATCAATCAAGTTGTCGTCGATGTGGTTCTCGACCGGCTTGGTCTCGTGTGTCTTGATGGGCTTCGCAGAAGGGCTGTGAGGTGGGATCATGTGCCGTTGGTCTGGCTTTTGGCCTTTGACAATCGGGTAAATGGCCATGATCTGCTCGGCTTGCTTATCTGGGCTCAGGGTATGGTCACTGGGAGTTGTCAGTCATTGTTGGCGCTTTTCATATCACCAGCACTTACATGGTTGCGTTGATGACCCATTCCAGGTCTTCTTCGCCCTCCTCTAGACCTCCAGGGCCACCATGAACCCTTCTGAATAATCGCGGGTGCCACTCGACGTTTTCCTGTGCTCGATGAGCGGCCTCCTCGCGTTGCCGGTCCTCGATCTTGGTCTTTTCATCTGTGGCAACCTCGTGATTTCGCTCCTTGACAGCCTTGGCTGTCTTTTCCCAAAGTCGCTGTGACTCTCGCTCTTCTTGCTCCGCAATCGGTCGTACGGTTGGTGGTGAGGGCTTTGATCGAATAGCATTGAAGAACATTTCTCGGTAACCAGTCTGCGAGTGTTAGTCAATCAAACCCTCTCCCAACACGACGCCCTCACTCACTATCATATCCTTGATGTACATCTCTTCGCTCCACAGTCCAGACAGCTCAAACAAGACTTCGCCAGTGCTTTCTCTCTTGATTACACCTCCAATCGCGTTGTATGTGCCACCAACCCAGCCCTTTGTCTTGAAATCAACATCGGCAACCAGGTCAAGCTCAGGACATCGGACAAAGCTGTGGTCTCCGAGTTCGTACTTCATCTTGCCGAACAGGATTCCTCGAGCATACATGTTGGGTTGAGTCAGGATACTATAATAGTTAGAGATATTCGCACATATTGAACGAGTTGCTGCCGCCAGCGCAAAGTAATCTTTGTGGACAACCAAACAGATCTGCAACTGTGAAGGCGCAGGTCGACCTACTATTGCTCTCCCCTTGAAGGATCTTTACCACGGTTGAGTAGGCTCAAGAACGCAATTCCCTCCATCAAACTAGCGGCAGAGTTTCCGAGAAATCGACTTCGGGGTTTGAGGGTGCCATCAATTCGAATGTGATGCTCAGGGGCCATGTAGAAATAGCTCGACTTGGGAGGATGGTGCGACGTTTGTTCCGAGATGTAGTATGCGCGCTTGTTGCCCTCAAAGTCCCAGTAGCAGGTGAAGATTTCGCCAAGGATCGGGTTTAGAGGCTTCTTGACGCCTCTACAAGCCGTCAGCAACTGGCGAGTCAATTCCGGGGATGGGAGAAAACTCACGGAGGACGAATGTGCCATCCACTGAGGTAAAACTTGACTACAGATACGAAACGCTCGACAGGGTCATCTATGGTTGGAATATGGAGTAGCATTTCGGGGTGGCACATGAAGCTGCAGCCAAGACGTTAATGGGCGAGTTTAAAAGCTTGGAAAATGGGGGAATCACTTTGTGATGCGCTCGAGCATGCTGCGGGGTTCGAGAATGAAGGTAGGGAGGACGACACGACTCAGATCGGCTCCAGGCCGTAGTTGCGAGATGATGTGCGAGAGGACTTTATGGATTAATGCTCGTTAGTCCAGGGTCACGGACGGGCACGACTGCGCAGCATCGCAGAGCTGAGCCAGCGCGGTCTGGGGACCTAGGAATCGCTCACCATTGCCCTGATCAGGCTCCACGACGAGGGTATCATCCTCAGCGTCGGGACTGCGAGGGTCTTCGTTCGAGGAGCGGGTGCCTGCGGGTTGCGAGAACCAGTTGGTCAACATGGCGACTCTTGACGAAAAAGTTGGAGGAGAGGGGCAGGGGCAGCAGAATTGGGAGGGGCAGAGAATCGAGGTGAGGCGGAGGACTCGGAGGTGGCGGGGTGGGGATGTGGGATGGATGAGCGGCGTGCTTCCGGGGAACGGAGGGGCGGCGGTTCTTATTTAGAGCTTGGAGCTCTGACGCCGCCAGCTGGATGGGCTCTCTGAGGCCTCGCCCGTATTCCATTCCCGTCCCGGGCTGTGAAGCCTGCGTTGAAGCTTGTGCGCCCGCCCGCAAGCATGATGAACTGTTCAGAGCGGACAGGCAGACTCACTGCTACTGCCGGTCCTTCGACGACCAGGTACCGAAACGAGGCCCATGACCATGGCTCCAGGCTGCCACCTGTACGCCTACGTAAGGTAGAGTAGATTGTTTGATTGCCGGTGGAGTACTATCGGCGAGGAAACAGGCGGCGACGATGAGCGACGACAACGACGACGAGATACGCGTTCCCGTTGTTGTAAACGTCTTTTGCTTCTGACGCAACAAGACGCACGCGGGAGGGCGGCCCGTGGGTACAGCTCGAGCTTTGTTGGGTGCGGGGGGTGACGTTTTTGATGGATGGACGGGATCGAAATGTCGTTGGGGGGGGAGAAACAAACAGCAGTTTTCGCTGTGAAATAACCTATGCTGTAGCGTTAAATACTATGGTTGGGGGTGCAGGTTGCGAGCGACAGTGGGCAGAGAATTGAACGGCGCAAATGTCGAAAAAGGGAGGATCAAGTTGAAGAGGAAAAGATAAGAAGGTTGAAAAGACGCATCCAGGGAATCTTTAGTTTTTGGATGTTGGATGACGGAGCGGATGGCCCGGTAAATCAATATGCTACTACGTTGGTGACGACACTGCAGTCATGGCCCCGGACAAGGGAAGGTGCATTCGCTGTAGGTGTACTGTAGGTACCACTGATCCACGCCGTCAGGTTTCCTTCCAAGGCAAAGACGCCTGCGGGAAGAGGTCATGAAGGCAACAGTGAAGTAATTGGCGCCGATACTTCCTCCCTCTGTAGTAGTACATCCCTCCCTTCCGTGGGCTGTACTCAGGTCTCTGTACAGTGAAAAAGGTGGCGGGCTGTAGGGCCATGTGAGCTTGGACAGCTACAGACAAAAAAGCCAATCAGCAACCAGTCAGTGGTCCCCCGCGTTGTCAAAAAGGGCTTGTATCTTTTGCTTCTCGCCTGTGACGTGAGAGGTTAAGGTAGGTTGTGTCCCGTCGGAATCTTCAGATCCTTGCCCTGTCAGGTCAGAGCCGCAAACAGCGACTGCGACAAGGTTGCTTTCTCCGTTTCTCCCCTTTTCACCGCAAATGGAGAAAGTGTGGAAACTCGGTTGTCAGGCCAGAGTTTAACGCGTATTCGAATAAATTTCGCTTTTGCCATGTCCTCGCTGCGCTGGGGCCTTTGGGGGGGTTGAATACGCGGACCGCCAGGTTCCATTCATGGGTCGGGTGTCATGAGCTAAGGCCACTGAGGCCAGCCATCTTGGCTACGTCAGAAGCCCGAGCACCTGGGAACCGTTCCCAAGCTGACTGTGCTGTATCAGCATCGGAGTCGAAGCTGGTTCGTCCGTTGTCCACATTCAATAGTGCCTATCTGGCTGACCATTCTTTTATTCACTCACTCTACAAGACGCTTGTTCAGAACCATCATCTCACCGCTTGCTCTCTTGCTCACTCTCTTGCACGACCAAAGCGCTCATGGTCTTCTGCCGCCTCAATCAGTGTCATTGCGATGTAAGAATGAGCATGACCTTGTCATGATCCTTCTCCTCCATACATTATCCAAAACGGGCAAGCGCCGGCCCCACACGGAGCACACAGTTGAGTCTCGGCCCGGCCCCCCTCCCCGAGCGCCTCCCGGTCTGGCTTGACCGACCCTCATCCACTCACTGGGACCCGTGGTCTAGGCTCGCTATCAAACCCTCACCACGTGAAGAAACCGAGGCACCTCGCTAATCTGCGACTTTGTTGTTGCTGGGCTTGCCGTTGTTTTAGTCGTTCGACTGTTCTTGGTATTATTCTGTCTGCTTCATATCCAGCTTCGATAGCGACAGCTCGACAGTTGCGTCTATCCATCCAATTCATCCTGGTATAATTGGATGGCTCATCTAGTTGCAGGACCCCGTCTACAGTTGGTCCCTCGCCTACTTCCGCCTCGCTGGAGATTCAAACTTGCGATATCTCCGCTCCAAAGGGTACCTTGCTGCTCGCTTCAGCTGACACTTTCTGGGGCCGGCCGTTCCGCCCCAACTGAGGTATCATGTGTGTCTAAGCTCCATTCATCAAGCCAGCCTCCTCCGTTTCTCTCAACGCCGCGGTTGATATGTGTGTCCTGAATTCCGTTCCAACTCCGTCCGTATGGCATAGTCATCCACTTGAGTCTCCAAAAGTGTCAGTTTTTTTCCGCTGACTGGTCTCCTCTTGTTTGCTTTTTCTGCCAGACCCGCTCGCTCCTCGGCGTTGAAGGAACTCCGGACCTCCGATTGTGTGCTTCGGGTAGACCTTACAAACCGATACACCGCCCTCTTCGTCTTGGGCGTTGGATCCCCAGGGATATCTCCTACACATTTCCATAGCTCCAACTCATTGTCACATGTCTGATCTCATTTCATCGACACTCATTCATTTCAGTCGTGAAGACATTTTTGAAGAACCCTTGACTGGCGCTGGTAGGCACTGGGCCAATGCGTCTCGGTCTATATCAATCATCAGCCGCTGCGTTTGCCTATCATCATGTAGTCCACTTACCAGACTCCTTCTCAAACAGTATGGAGATATCATCGTGCTCGCCCGGTAGATCCGGGAGGTCAAGGCACACAAAAGCCATTTCATCGTAGTCGCCATCCTTGTCTGCCGGCAGACGTGGCAGGGGGAACTTGGCGTCGACAAACTTGATACCCGATTTGCTGCTTCGCTGGACGCTCTCGTAGACATCCGTGCCTTTGAGAACAAAGTTCATGCAGTGTCCATGGTGGAAGTCCTCAAAGAAAGCCAGAAGCTGCAGTTGCTTGTCCTCTTGCTGAATGACTTGAATTCGAGTGTATCCAGCCTCCCACTTCTTATGAATCGGCACCACCATCCGGCGCCTTGAGATGGCAAAGGTCACTGCCAGCGCATCAAAGATAACCTCAAAGCCAGTCATGGCAAATTGGAAATCATGCAGGTCCTTCAGGTTATTAAACTCAAACGTTCGGATAGTTTGGTTGTGTCGCAACAGCTGGAGCCCATCCGTCATGTTCCGAGGGAGCTCCTTGGGCACCTGCGCCTCCGAGACCGACATGGTCATGTCCTTCTGTGGCTGCCGGAGAACCCGGAGCAGCTTAGCATTGGTCACTTCCAGCCTCACGCGCAGCTCGCCTGGAGCTACGTTGATGCGGTCTGCGACGTTGCCGTTCTGATAATCGAGCACCACCTTGAGCCGGTCTGCCAGGACAGTTGGCGGAAAATCTCCACCATACTCGTCGTTAACAATTCTGACGGCCTTCCAGGGCATCCGACTAAATGGTGCCAGGCCCAGAGGGTCACGAAGAGTTTGGGCGACATTGAAGCTCTTGATTGCCATATCGGCATATATCTTCTCATCGTGATCCAGGAATGTCCCTGTAAGCAACGAATGGAACTTGATCCTCGCCTTCTCGTCGCTAAACACTAGGACCATACGGCCCTTGGATTTGCCATTCTCATATTTGATCGTCAGGGAGGGGGCATCCCCGTCGCCACGGAAGAAACCGAACTGAATAGGCTGAGCTGGAGAATAGGAATGCTGTACTCCGCTCAGTGTCCTCGTCCTCGGCCCCGACACCACCGCAACCCTGAACCCGAGATGCCATGTGCGAGGACCTGCAGGGCCATTCTCCTTATACAACTTCTCAAATAGGGCCACGTCGCAGTGAGGGACTGGCTCCTTAGGGAATTGGCGATAGCTGGGGTCGGCATCCATGACCTGGAATGATCGCAAAGTCGACCTGAACACCATGTTCTCGTCACTCCGGGGGAAGAGCGAGTTCTGGACCTTGGTTCCAAAGTCGTACATGTTGTAGAGTATCCTGAAGTCCTGCTGAACCAGCTGGATGGCCAATTGGAAACCACGGCGTAGTCGGATGTCAACTGTGCAAGTGTCGCTTCGCCAGCGTACATCGTCCCACACTGGACCGACATTCTTACTCTCCTGGATAGCGAGTTGCATGTGGCCGTTCTGGCTAGCCAATACGAACACAAGTCCGGTAGACTTTTGTGGTCGAACCATGGAAAGCAGACACGGGAAATACAGCCTCTGAGCTTCGTGGCCCTGCTCCATAAGATATACGTCGGCCTGTACTCTTCCATAGTTGAAGTTCTCGGTAGTGTCTCCGATGGGGAAGGCATCCAAGAGGCGGAGGTTGGACATTGGGCTGGTCATGGCTGTGAGGCCAGAACCCCAATTGCCTGAAAGAAGTGCGATCATATCCTGACTCAGTGCTGGATACTCAACCCAGATGGACTTATCAATAGTCTGGGGCAGGAAAGCATCCTCGGGAGGCAGGAATCCGTTTCGCTTCATCGACATGGACAGCTTCTTGAGCGACGAAACCAAGTTCTTGCTGACCTCGTCGATCTCAGAATCCGGTTCCAAGCCCTGTGACTGCGCTATTTCGGGGACAATCTGCTCCGAAAGCCAGAATGCCTTGGCCAAATTCGCATAAGCTTGCTGGCGGTCCCGGTCATTTTGCATCTGGCCTTGCGGGGAGTTTGGTCGTTCTCGAATTGCCAGCTCCAAGCCCATACGGCCTTTCAAAAACCACCACAGGGCACCTCTGGCGCATTCTGTAAGAGAGCAGGTAGATAAAGGCTGAACAGATTCGGCATGAAGACGGAAAAGCTCGAAAAGATGCTTCGTTCGAGAGATAAAGGTCTCAAGTGCTTGCTCTGCCGCTGCAGAATTTCCATCGCCAACCCTGATAGACAGTGATCTAGACGCCATTTGAGGGGGCGCACGCTGAGAGGCAACACTTGGCTCCCTAGACAAGTTTTGCGGCTCTGGTGTTGGAACTGCCACAGGGGCAGGAACAGGAGCAGAGACAGGAGGAGCAGCTGGAACCAGAGTTGGCGGGGGGGAATATCCAGTTGTCGAGCTAGAATGGACTGAAGCTGCGGGACTGTATGAAATATTGGGTTTCGAGATCTGAGCTTCCGGTGACGGGGGCCCTCGTCTGCGCGCTGTAACAGGAGAAGTGGAAAGGGGCTCGGCGGAATGAGGGTCATCCCAATTGTGAGAAGACGCAGATGTAGCGCTGGCCACACGAGCAGCTTCGGCGAACACTCTGCCTTCAGCTTCGCGCATCTGCGCAGAGTGAATCTCGATAAATGATCTCCTATTATCATCGTGGTTTGCTGCCGCACCCAGAAACCTAGCGGGAGATCTCTTCCCGGGGAGGAGCGTGTGGTGCTGAGCTGATATAGGAGAGATCAGCTCCTCAGACTTGGAATCAGGATCAGGGCCAACGTTGGGCGAATCGTCGTCAGACTCGGGCTCGTAGATGGAAGAAAAGCCGGTCTGGTTTCGCAACAGTGGCTTCGGCCTGAAATCGTCCACCGCGGGAGCACTTCTAGGTGTACCTGCATCTGAAGGCGGTGGAGGAGGTCGCCCTGGGGGAGATGCTGGCTTGCGAGGTTGTGGAGGTGGCGGCGGTCGAGCCTTCTTGCGCTTCGAGATCTCTATAGTTGGCGCCTCGGTTTCGTCGCCTCCTTCACCAATAACCTCTGGCGCCGAATCGTCAAACCTAACAATAAGGCCCTTTCTGTTTGGTCGTGGGCTTCGTTTCGGCGTATTGGTATCGGGGCGCCCTGGTACAAGGGGGCGATTCTGCTGAGCTGCATGGTTGACAGCTAGAGCTTGAGGGTAGCGTGAGATTGATGTGGTGTCGAGCTTCGCTAGCTTGGGTAGCGATGACGGCGGGGGAGGCGGGGGCGGATGGGTGATTGTAAGATTATCGGAGGAGCTGTGGAGGAAGGCATCGACGTTGGCGGCGGACTGCTGCTCGGTAGCTTTGCGGTCCTTTCCAGCTTTAAAGAGCTTGCCCATGAGACGGTCTCTCCTTGAGGAGCGACCGTCAGGCACCTGAACAGCGGGCACTTCGTTCTCCATGAGGAATACAGTCGTGGGTGAGGATCGGGAGAGACCTATGGCAACGTCATTGACTCGAGGAGGAGAGGTCGGGCGTTGATCGCGCCGAGCTGGCTGTGGCAGTCGAACCGAGAGGCGTGGTGTTTGTTTGAAGGAACAAAGACGTCGATTATTGATCGCCGCCCGTTCTCGTAACGGTTACAGTAACGGCAGAGGCAGTGGAGTCGTCCAATGAGGCTTGTTCTGGCGACACGAGAATCAACTGGCCGACATGTGGGGAGCGCAACAGGCGGTTGGAGGTGGCGCTCTTTGAGCGGACAGAGCGGCAGCTTCCAGCAGCTCTAGCGGTGTCGGCGTACGAGGTAACGGGGTGCCGTCTGACAAGAGTGAGAGGTTCTGGTTGACGACGTCGCTTACGGGTGGTTGCAAGTGAAGGAGCGTGGTCGAGGAGGTGATAGCGGTGGTGGTGAGAGTAGCTGTGCGGCGGCGGTGGGCTCTGATAAGAGGTCGTGTGCGGAGCTGAGGTGAGGTTGCTCGCTCGGTCGTCGTCGATGGCGGCGCGGGGAAGAGTGAAAGAGGTGAGGTGTCGTGTGGATGGTGTCGTGGCTCCGTTGCAGGCCTCCAGATCGAGAAGTAGCAAAGGTATCTGCAACAGAAACCGAGGCGGCCAAAGCAGAATACAGCAGGCTTCTTGGACTCTTTCTGTCTCTTAGAACCCAAAGCGGACCACGGCTGGGCACAGAACAGCACACAGCACGCCTAGGCAATTCCCCTTTGCTTTGTCGCCAGGGCACCGGGCTCCAGTTGCAAGCAGGGGCGAGCACCAGCAGGGACGGACAGGGACAGGGGATGGATAGGCTGGTCGGGAGCCCGCCAAGGGTCTCTCTGGTCTCTGTTTGACGGACAGTGGCCTGGGCCCAAGGTCGGTACGTGGGCAAGTGTCTTATGCAAGGCCGGAGGAGCGATGAATGGATGGATGTGGATGGCGAGAGCTGCCGCTGTACCGTCTGACAGGGCGGGCAGGCACAGGATAGGTGTGAGGTCAGCGAGGGAGGGGGATGGATCGAAAGAGGGATGTTGAAAGAGACGGGAGGGCAAGAGATTGTGTGCGTGTGTGTGTGTCGAGATCCAGGGGAGTTTCAGAGTCACAGGGATCAACATGAAAAGTGCCCTCTGTGTGCTCTTGTAAGGTAGTCCCCAGCAACAAAAGAGCGAGCATCAACAATCTGACCAGACTGGGAATCCCGTTGGGAGCGAGTACCGTCGCTTTGAATGCGCTATGGCGAGGTACATACACGTCAATGGGGTGGTAGCACAGCACAGAACTTGGTTCTGGGTCAGGGGAGAGAATTAATTAATCGCAGATCCTACATGCGACCAACACCCAAAACAAATATCCAAAGGCAAATTCTTGCTGACAGAGATATCCACGGATAGCTCCTCGGGCGCCCATCCTTAGTAACGGACGAGGATAGAGATTGTGAGAGCACAGAGCAAGACCCTTAATCGTCTGCTGGCCTCCACTACCGGCCTCCACACACCCAATCTCTGTGTGTCGTCCGCTCTTCGTGCCCGTGTTAGTGTCATGATCAACTACCTGTTGCGCAAGCTGCTGTGCAGAGGGAGGCCGATATGGACTGGATCTGCTTCACACGGCTCCCTAGCGTCACCCGTATCGATCCATCCATACGAGTCGAGCCCGGGACGGTGTGGATATGGATGCCCGCCCGTGGATGGGCGGGCAGGGCAGCTTTGTTCACGGGCACCGTCCCCCGTGTTAGTTGGTTAGTGGCTTGTGAGTGCCGGGCTGAAACGTCGCCGCAAAGTATCACTGTCTGGGCTTGATGAGCCCAAACGGCTGGGGGGGGCGCTCTATTACCCAGACTGGAGCTACAGTTGTAAGCCTGATAAGATGCCCAATAATCCCGCCCACCTACCGAACAAGTATGTACTCGAGGGCTAACAATCCCTGCGATCAGAAATGTTGCTCTCGAGTCTCATTCATGGATGACGGGCGGTTTGTGCAGGAACTTGAATGCTCCTCTCACTGGTCAGGCTCTCGAGGATCCATATGCTCTGAGGTCCCTTGAACTGGTCTCACCATGTCGGACCCCCTGGTCGCGTCCTCCCTCCTCCATCCACATCCATCTCCCTGAATCCCTAGCGGGCGCCTGGAACGTGGGGCAGAGGGTCCCTCCCCTCCCCCAAGCCCAAGGATGGATCCATCCAGGGATCCATGGATGCCATGCCCCTCGTGCTGTCTGTTCCTCTGGCCCCTCTGGTGCTTCAGTGCCCTTTGGCCTTGTTTTAGCGCCTCGGTGGTGACGTTGGTCGCCCCGCCCAGTATACGTGGGCCGTAGTCTGAGGGGAATTCATCGTTTGGTCTATGGATGACAGTCCGAGACAGAGACAGGCGGCTCGGATCCAGGGCAAGCGAGACAAGATTGGGCGCTGTCGCGGGAATGAAAGCCAAGCAGAGGGCGTCTATTATTGAACGAGGGCAGGTAGGTCAGGCTCAGATGGATGGAAAGAAAGCATGATTGATGATGCGGCCCTGCGCTCATCATCGTCCATCCATGCCTGTGCGTCGGCTCGTCTTCGTCTTTGCTCTGTAATGAAGCGTCTTTTTTTTTGTGTCTGCTGCTGCCAAAAATACCCGGTGGCATGCCTTTTGTTTGTAATCGCCGAGCAGCCAGACTCGCATTCATTTCCTTTGACTTCGTATGACCTGTCTATCTGTCTGTTCGTCTGTCCGTCCGTCCATCTGTCTGACCTCGGATCCCTCCGTCGGACTGGACTTGTTCTGTACAAGCGACGAACGGGTCCGGCCCTTCTCCTCCGACTGACCTGGTCGACTCTGTAGGCCTCGGCTGGAGGCGCTTCTCGTATCGTCATCTCCCATTGTCGATTCGCGCGCAATTGGCCCCCAGGGTCTCGCTTTTTTAAGTCTCGTATTGATCTTTTGTGCCCACAGTGCTTATGCCCAGGCTCGCGCTGAGCATCGTGCAAGCCCTGGCCCGCTGCGGCGTCGTCTTTTTTGGTTCTTGTGATGACAAAGGGAGGCATGTCGCAAAAGAAGGGGACGCTACAAGGCGGGAATTCCCTTTTCCATTCCATGGCATGCAAGTCGACGTGCAGTCTTACTAAGAGCTAAAATTGTCGAGCACTCAAGGTTAGTTTTGGCACATGGTCAAGATCCATGACAGCCTGAGCATCTCGTCAATCAATACAGATAGTCTGCGGCTGAATGAAGCATCTCGTGCAGCTCCTGTCTTGTTGGTGGCTGCGCATTGGGACGGAGAGGGAGAGGTGCTGGTGGCATCGCGACATGCAGGCGGATTGAGCTCAGGCAGGGCTGATGGTTGTCTCCATCTTCCGTCGAGCAGCGGGAATTCGCCCTGTTGTCTTGAGCCCGTGTCGCTGATTGGGTAATTTATACGGCAAGAATTGAATTTTGGGTGTCTGCAATGTCATCTACTGCAATGTCCGTCTGTCGTCTTTCAAGACTTTGGGGGCTGGTCATCGACAAGCTGACAGGTCCTGGATGGACGAGGGGACGGTGACGCTTCCCGTCAACAGCACACAACAGCGTAATTGTCTACACTTCAATTGAAGACCAGGGATCAGTAAATATTATCACAACAAAGACTATCTTCCCTTAGCAGGCTCGTATGGACTTACATTACACGCTGTGTGTGCCCGCCTGTTTGCGCAACTCGAGATGGATATCTCGTCCACTACTTGGACGTGCATCTTCCAGGCCGCAGTCCCTTGCACGTTAGAGAACATATTGCAGCTATTCCTGGGAGCTCACCATCACTGCTGGAACTATCCAAGCACCATATTTTCAAATTAACTACATAGATCGATGTTATTGAGTGGTCGCAGCTCGAGGATGGGCAACATGGGTAGTCAGAGAGGCGTCTATAGGGTGAGTAGCTCAATTTTTCGACTTACAGAAAAGGGTTGTGGGAAAACAACTCAAGCGTTATGATCAATTCATTGTTAATGGTATGGATGTTACTGGGTCAATACTATCTGGATAAGTATCCATATTGTTGGGTATTCGCTTCTTTTTAATATCGGCTTCACATCATCGTTCGATGCAAGTAACAGGCAATCGAGCACGACTACCTATGCCATGCTACACTATTTGTATAGACATGAATGTTTTTATTAAGAACTCAACATTAGACTTCAAGACTATCTGTTCCCCGAGCTCTAGCAACCGATTGGCCATCAAAACACCACAGAATGGTGCTGTATCCTAGGCCGCCTGAACTCTTGGCGGAGCTCACTGATCCAACTACAGCTTCCATGGCTTTGGCTTCACTGTGGTGTTGGTGTCTGCCTTGGACCTGCTCAGCCCAAAATCGACTCCATTTTCTCTGCCAATCGTCAAATTTACATGCGGTACTGGCTTGCTAGCAACCGTGACAAATGTGGCTCTCTACCTGTAACTCGAAAGAAGTCGGGCATGACCAAAGATAGTGCAAATGACCGGCGTAATGTAATTCATTGGTTAAGATGTAGACAATTTCAAACTTACGGGACGAAAAATGGACGGGCAACTGGTCAACTGAGGCAAAGACTGCCTGACAAGGACTTGGCCGAGTACTCGAGGGACTGAGTTGAAGACAACATCACCTATTACACTCAACAACGATTCCCGAGTAGCTATTCCGACCATTGACTAGTTTTCGATACTTCAAAGACACCCGGCACTCTTTCGACGGTAGACCTTGGCACAAGCATAGGGGCTCCCAAAGTGGTTCTGAACAAGACAATAATATCAACGCATAATACCGCTCTCCAGGACAAGCCCTGCCATTGCCCATCTTGCTCGAATCCTGTGTGTTTAGGAGACGTGCACTTGCCTTCTCCTTCCGATCCGTGCCTTTGGACAGCCCGAGATAGACATCCGAGGTAGGTGCCTCTTTCCCTCACCGCACGCACCTACGCTGAGCGGATGAACAACCATCACCAAGATATGGATGGCACTTGCCATGAATATTTACCCAAGTACAGAGAGAAGGAAGGAACTGCCACTGGGCGGTCCATGTTAAAAGCTCTCCCATCGTCTGCCATGATCCATCTTCCTTTCTTCCTCCAACACACGCAACATGGCAGTCATCTCAAACATCTTTGGCCACTGGCCACCATCCATCTTTTCAGAAACCCTTTGCGCTCTGGGGGAGCCATATCTGGGGACTCAGCAGTCAATGAGGATCTTCTTAGTTCCTCCGGGAGGCAAACCTCCCGATCAATGATGGTCATCATCGTCCCCAGTCGCCCACGGTCTACAGCCAAGCTGCTCAGTGCTTGTCCTGTTCCCGTAGTATATATCACTTGGGCAAGATCAAATTCCAATCGTGCGACTGGCATGAGACTGGCCTTGCACCGTCAAGTGCTGAAATGCCTGCTCTCTGTCAATGTTTCCATCTTAACTAACGTGGACCTCGTCGTGCGATACATTTTCCCCCAGATCATCGTGCTGTGACTCCTCAAAGTGAAACCACCACAATGTGCTTGCCAACGGGCTCAGATCAGAGTCATCATTGCCCATTCATCATGCCGTGACTGTATGATGAATTTTTGCGACTGTTCTTTGTCAATGTTCCCATCACCTGTCGGGCCTTGTTGTATGATACATTCCCCCCCCCCCCAGATCCTCGTGCTGCGATTCTTTAAAGTGAAATGGCCATAAGGTGTTCGCTCATGGGCTCAGACCAAGGCCATCATTGCCCCTTCATCGTGTTGTGATTGTGCCATACGTATTGCGACTGACCGTCCATCAACAGCCCGTTCTCTGCCAAAATGTCCACAGCCAAGCGGACTGCGTTGTACGATGTGTTTCCAAATGGAGAGCGGGCCGGCACCTTTTTATAATCGTAAAAAAGTGTTATTTGTGTAGCAAGGTTTGTTGAGGTGAAATTTTGATATGGATGCATCTGAAAAGCTTGTCAGGTATTGATAACTATGTTGAAGGCATCGAGCATGATGGTTGAGTACCTACATCAACGATTATGGTTCTGTTCCTGGCTCCAGCCTGATGCAAGGTCCATGTTAGTGGATAGGTACTTCGGTACTTACCCCACGTAAGCTCTTATCGATATGATAAGATAAACATTTTACTTTGCCCCCATCACGGCCGCGACAATTTATGAGTCGCCGCCGAAGATCTGTCGGGAAATGTAAACCCTCCTTCGCCAGACATCGGCATGCTAATTCAGTTCATACGAAAAGTCATGGCCGCAGAAGTCAAGAGAGTGCCTATCCCCCCTCGGGGTGTGGATTACCGTGGCAAGGTTGTCCTTGCGCCAATGGTTCGCTCTGGCGAGTTACCCTCGAGATTGTTGGCCCTCAAGTATGGCGCGGACCTTGTCTGGGGTAAGCAACCCCGGCCTCACAATGTGTAATCTTTGTTCTGACGTCGTTTTCCGTGTATAGGTCCTGAGACTGTCGACTACTCCATGATTGGGACATCTCGACGATTCAACGAGGAATCCAAGACTATTGAATGGTTCCGGCTTTCCTCCCAGGGTCAAAAGGAGCCTCCTGCCGATGCTAAAGAAAGTATCATATACAGGATGCTTCCCGAGATCGAGAAGGACAAGTTGATCTTTCAGATTGGCACCGCAGACCCCGACCGCGCTGTGCAGGCAGCCAGATTGGTCGCCGCAGATGTTGCCGGCATCGATGTTAATGCCGGCTGCCCAAAGCCATTCAGCACCAGCGGAGGCATGGGCGCAGCCCTCCTCAAGACACCCGATAAGCTGTGTGCCATCCTCGAGGCCCTTGTCAAGAACATCACTCCAGAGTTTGAGATTGGGATTAGCGTCAAGATCAGAATCCTCGACACTGCCGCCGAGACAGAGGCGCTCGTGCGGAGGCTCTGTGCCACAGGCATCACGGGGTTGACTGTGCATTGCCGAACCACACCTATGCGGCCCAGAGAGCGAGCCATCCGAGGACAGCTCCGCATGGTAGCGGAGGTCTGCCATGAGTACGGCGTTGCGTGCCTCATGAATGGTGATGTTGAGAACCGAGACGAGGGCCTCAAGCTCGCAGAGGAGTTTGGCGCCGATGGCGCAATGATTGCAACCGCCGCCGAGAAGAACCCCAGCTGCTTCCGGAGCCAGGCGGATGGTGGACTGGCCCCTTGGGAGGAGGTTGTTGATCACTACGTCAAGACGGCGATTGATGTCGACAACCGGTTCGGCAACTCCAAGTTCCTCCTTGCTCAGATGGTCCCTGGAAAGTCAAAGTTCTATCAGCCCGTCAACCAGTGCAAGAACTATAAGAGCACATGCGAGGCGCTGGGTCTTGACAAGTATATGGACGATGCCATTCATATCGACGCCAAACGTGGCCTCGACCAGCCTCTGAAGGGAAAAGCTGCCAAGAAGGCTGCTGCCAGGGCTAATGCAAGTGCTTTAGCAGCTGGTGGACAGTCTGGGAGGTCAAGACAAGAGATGACACAGAAGCGCAAGAAGGCCTTGTCCGAGCGAAAGCCTGCCACTCTGGCTGAAGCTCCAGAGGTAACCAAAGTCGCCTCGGCTGAGGTAGCATAAACTATCCTCTAGCAAAAGGAACCCAACACATGGAAAGGGGAAGGTCAGGGGCGTCTGGTTCAACTATGGCAGCTCATATTCGCATTTGTGGAGTTAAGGATCACGATTTAGGGGGTTAGAGGCTCAGCGTTTGAGCGAGGTACCTATTCAGGATGGTTTATATATCGCTCCAAAGACAATAGACGTCTATCAGTCACGACGGCGGACGGCGGCCTGGCAGAGGCCCTTTTTAAGATAAATACAACACACCCTAGCCATCGACTCTCAGCAAGAGGCTCGTTGATACAAATGAAGATTGTTCGGGAACTCTATGTGGTGGTACATCTCATCTCGCTTTTTAATGGCTTGCTTCCATGGATAAATTCTTATTTGCCCTTCTGGACCCAGCCCTCGACAGCCTCCCTCGCGTCCGTCACCTTCTCGTCGACATATCGCACACCCACCTCGCTGTGGGTCTTGGCGAAGCTGACGCCATTCAGGATGCTCTCACGCAGCCGGATATGGGACTGAGCAACGACGGGGAACCTCTGCTCGTACTTCCAGGTGAGGTCCGAGATGTTGCGCATGGTGACGGGGAGCACTACCCAGCCGGCGCCGATGCCCAGGGCCAGAGGGAGCGAGGCGCGGAGGACGATGCTCCGGTTACGGGTGATGATGCTGCCGGCCATGGCGGCGACAAGGACGTAGATGGTGCCGGGCATGAGCTGCTCGCCGCTCTCACGGGAGGGAGCCAGAGAGGCAATGGTGCTGGTGAAGGACTGCTCGAGGTTGAAGGCCGAGTCCATGGTCTCGTTGACCTTGTTCTCGGCGGCCACAGCGTACTCGTACAATGCCAAACGCGCCTTTCCAATATGGACAGCCAGACGGTCCGTAGGAGTCGGCGACCTGGCCTTGGGCTCCTCCTCATCGACAGGCTCGGCGGGCTGGGCGGCAGCGGGTGGTGGTGTCACGGGTGCGGGATTTGGCTTGATGATCTCGAAGTCGTCGTAGATGGGCTTTCGCTACAATGGTGTCAGAAGGGGACGCTCCACGGGCTATCCAAGCCAACCCATCGGCACGACAAGAAAGGCAACGGACCTTGAGGCTGATGGGACCTTCGGCGAAAACAGTGGCCGGAGCGAGCGCCATGCCGCCGAGGGCCAGCGTCGCCAGCGGCGCGAGGGAGCGCTGTGCGAGTCAATTAGCATCAAGAAGCTCGGTCCAAGCTTGGATTTCGGTCACCAACCCGTGAGAACACCACTCGTGAAGCCATTGTGCGCTCAATTGACGAGTGGATGGGAAGACGTCACGCGGGAATCGAGGCAGACGACGGTTTGCTAGACATAATCATCACCAACGGAAAATCCAGGGCGGAGAATCCCATCCGGTTCCGTTCGGCCACTGAGAGTGGGGCATCTACGGGAAGTTGAAGTTGAGACCGGGGGATTGATGACTAAGGCAACCTGCTCCAAAACAGATGGAAGTGCTGCGCCAAAGATGGAAGGAAGGCAGGGGCCGAAGCCGGAAAACTCGACTTGGACCTCCAGGGCCAGCTGCAAGCCCCAATTACATTACTTGCTTGGCTTTACAGATTTGCCCCAGGTTTTGAATTCTTTTCTTTACCCATTTTATTCTCAGCTGGCCTCTTGTTTCTTCTCTACCGACTTTCCGTCCTTGCCATTCATTCCCTTCGTCGATACTGCCCCATGCCCGCAACTCTATAAGCGAAGCGAAGCGACAATGCTGAATTCGAGGGGCAGCCGCCTCTGGATCTGCACTCGATGCGTTCGACACGCGACCAAACCTCCTCAGCGGCGAGGGATAGTTTCCGCCGTGGCCCAGGTCTTTTCGCCGAGCGCTCCGGTCGATCATTCAGCAAGCTCTGCTCACGATGATGCTGTTCTGCGCAGTTTGTTCGACGCTCCCACCAGCAGATCTTTCCCTAAATTCAGCCTCAAGAAGAGCCAGGGACTCTTCAAGAACAGATATCTTACTAGCCCGGATGGCTTCCTTCGATTCGCCAAGGCAAACCTTGAACGGGCGACCAAGATTGTTCACAGGGTCCTCAATGCGTCCTCGGTGCAAGAATATCAGGCCGTTGTCCGCGACCTGGACAGGCTTAGCGATCTGCTCTGTCGAGTCCTGGATCTCTCAGACTTTGTTCGGATGACGCACCCGGACCCTCGATTTCAAGATGCGGCCGCCAATGCATGGGCGCTGGTCTATCAGTACATGAATCAGCTCAATACCATGACTGGCTTGAGCGACCAACTCAGCCAGGCTCTGGCCATGCCTGAAGTTACAAAGGTGTGGTCGGAGGAGGAAAAGACTGTGGCGGAGCAGCTCAAGCTGGACTTTATGAAGTCGGCAGTCAATCTACCCAAGGCCTCACGGGACAGATTCGTCGATCTATCATCACGTATCAGTGAAATTGGTTCTGCTTTTGTGCAAGGAATGCAACCAGAGAGGAAGAAGATAACTCTCCCTGCTCACAAATTCTACGGCCTTTATCCTGGTCTGGCGGCGACTTTAAAGGTTCGCTCCGAGATTACACTTCCTACTCTTGGATCAGAAGCGGCAGCAGCACTTCAGAGTGTCATCGATGAAGATACTCGTAAAGAGATATACCTCGCCCAGCGAACCGCATCTCGTGAAACCATCCAGTATCTCGAGGCTATGCTGAGATTGAGGGGCGAGCTTGCAGAACTGGCAGGATTTGAAAGCTATGGTCATATGGCTTTGAAGGACCGTATGATGGCCAAATCGCCTGCCTCAGTGATGCAGTTCCTCTTGGCCTTGAGGGACCACAACACCCCTATTATCCAGGACGAGTTGCGGGAGTTGGTATTGAAGAAGCGCGATAGGCTCAATATCCCAGACTCTAAACTCCAGGCCTGGGACAGGGACTTTTATATGGAAAAGATCCGAGCGGATATGAGATCTCGAAAGCGTCAAGAAGACCAATTGAGCTCATACTTCTCAGTGGGAACAGTGATACAGGGTCTGTCTAGGCTGTTTGACCGTCTCTACGGCATTCGCCTCGTCCCGCGGGAAAGCCTCCCTGGAGAGACTTGGCACCCAGATGTCAAGCGACTTGATGTTATTGACGACAAGGGTGACCAAGTGGCTGTCCTGTACTGTGATCTATTTTACCGCCCACAAAAGTCGCCAAACCCAGCTCACTTTACTGTTAGATGCTCTCGCGAGATTCTCCCCAGCGAGGTCGAAGAGATTGCAGCTGAGCAGGACGGTGATGCGCCGGCCTTTGAGTCGGCCGAGATGGCTGCCAACGACGGCATGGAGATCTCAACCAAGGATGGAGTGCTGAAGCAGCTCCCAACCATCGCCCTCGTCTGCGACTTTGCCAAGAGTGACAACTCCAAGGAGCCGGCCTTCTTGTCCTTCCACTCCGTCGAGACCCTCTTCCACGAGATGGGCCATGCCATCCACTCCATCCTCGCCCGGACGAGCTTCCAGAATGTGTCGGGCACCCGGTGTGCTACCGACTTTGCCGAGCTGCCATCGACTCTCATGGAGCACTTTGCCGCCGACCCAACTGTCCTTTCTCTCTTTGCTCGTCACTGGAGGTCGGACCAGCCGTTGCCTTATGAGCTTGTGGCTGAACGAGCCCGTCTCACCAAGCGTTTCGAGGGTATCGATACCGAACACCAGATCATCCTCGCCATGGTTGATCAAGCCTACCACGCGTCCGATGTTGCAAGCCCAGCCTTCGATTCCACGGCTGTCTTCCATGACATCAAGGGCCGCTTCGCCCATGGGCCTCAAGACCCCCCCAACACCTGCTGGCAGGGCTTCTTTGGTCATCTGCACAGCTACGGAAGCACCTACTATAGCTACCTCTTTGACCGTGTCCTGGCTGAGCGTGTCTGGCGTGTCGTGTTCAAGGCCGGCGAAAATGGTGCTGCCATTAACCGTGAGAACGGAGAGCGGCTCAAGGAGAACCTATTGAAGTGGGGAGGTGGTCGAGATCCATGGACATGTTTGGCTGAGACACTCCAGGATGAGAGACTTGCTCCTGGTGACGAAAAGTCAATGGCGTTGGTTGGAAGTTGGGGAATCAAGGATGACCATCACCCATAGATGTTGATGCACATATAGACACTCATATATAGACTTACATGTTGTTACGAAGAGAACATGTATAAATGACAGATACAATGCGTCTTTGTTACCAAAATGGTGACACTTTTAGTTTGTTCATTAAGGACTATCATAGGCGTTATCCGCAAACGTTGTGGTTCCAAAGGCCCAAAAACGCTGAGTCAGTCCAAGCACCGTGTACGCCAAACCATGACACCTAGAAGCGGGATAGGATGTGGGAACAAGTCAAAACTAATAGAAATCAGAAGATGCGTACGATGGCGCTCGAAGAGGTTCAGACAACTGTGCAGATGCACGCTATAGTAACAAGCAGAGAGATGGAAGGATTGTAAGTAGGACAGGTGGTGTAGAGGTGAGCGAATAGATAGGTAAACCGAGAACGAAGCCGTCTTCGCACAAGATAAGATTCATGAATCATCTGTCCTCAAATATCGAACAAGAGGGTATCGTCTCAAAAGGGAGCATGGCTGGCTGCAAATAGAATCGGATATATGCTGAATGAAAAGGTCTGCTGGTTTAACGTAAATGTATGTGTCGTCAAATGACGCGCCGTGGATGTTGAGAGGCACTCTGGCCGCCTCTGCCCATCGTGAGCTGGGATAATGACAGCGTCCTCGCTGCTTTTGTTTGTGCTTGGTCTGCCTTATCCAAGTCTTCTCCAAACGCCCCAAAGCTGTGTCCCTCCTCACGAGGAGTTTCGAACGACTCCGAGTACTCGCTCTCATCTCCATGACCAGTCCCGATGCCCGAGTCCTCAGGGTCGACATGACGCCCTTGTGAATGCGTGTTGATCACCAAGGAGCCCAGGACCTCTGATTCGTCATCGTGATCAAAAGCTGATCTATCGCCGAAAGACTTTGCCGTCGGAGGGGGGTCGAATCGCGTCTCTCGGATCACCATTGAATTGGACAAGACACTGAGCTGGTTGCCAAGCCTTTTCACCTGTGCCTCTAAGGCTTCTCGGGCGGAACGCTCTGTGTGGATCAGGGCCAGGAGGTTAGTGTAATGGTCTGTTGTGAATGACCCAGGCGCATCCTTTAGGAGGCTGGGAAGGCTAGTTGCCCCACGGATGGTTGCTGTTGATGTAGGTCGGTCCTTGATACCCTCGCCCAGACCGGACGCATGAGGGTCAAGAAAAGTAGGCTCCTCGTGGCTCGATGCCCGTGAAGCCGTCTCGGAGCGGTATCGACTAGAGCTCCTAGAGCCCATCGCGACACCTATATTGATCGGGTCTAGTGGTTGATCCTCCCTTGAACGGCTTCTTTGGCCTCTAACTGGGATAGGAGGTGCTGGTCGGTCTGGGTGCTCCGTCTGCGATTGCCAGCTGGGGACCGTGTCGCACATTCGGTCGAGAACCTGCTCCAACCGATGGACCCTGGACTCGAGATTGTTGATCCGTGTCTCCAAGGTCGCAGCATGTGTGATTTTCATGCCTGCCACCTCAGTCATCCCAGCAAAGGGCTCAAAGTGGAACGGTTCCGCGGTCGCTTTCGCCAGAGGGTTTTCCTCAACAGTATGTGTTGTCTCAGCCGCAACTACCGCCGTATCCTCAACCTCTGGGTTTTCGGAGGACACAGGTGACATGAATGCCGGGTCGTAACTTTCTCTCCAGTATCTGATCTCGTCACTGCGCCGGCGAGTGTTGCCATGGTCTTCCTCTGCCTCTGGCAACCCTGATAAACTTCGTGATCTTCGCCGCACTCCAGTAAAGTCACTAGTAATTGCGCGTCCAATTTCGTCGGGATCATCTTCATGCTGTTCTTGCCGGCTCTCTCGGCCATGGCTGCTTGCAGGTCGCGGCGAGAGCCCTGCCAGGTGGCTCTCGCGCACCCTCAATGCGCTCGCTCGTGCCTGATTAAGACCAAAGTCGGCGCTGAGGGAGTTGCGCGCGCTCTCAATGGCTCGGACATCTTCTGGGCGGACAGAGTGAGATCTCAACGCTCGGTCAAACTCAGTGATAGGTAGAGATGCAGATCGCTTCGACTCGGCGCCAGGGAAGGGCCGACTCCGGCTCCTGGGATCCGGTCTCTCCCTGGATCTTAAACTCGGGACTACATCTTCTGGTCGGGGATTCTCTCCTGTTGAGCGGCGGAAGCGTTCTGGTCGTGGTGGTGCCGGTGCTGAGCCAGTCTCCGAATCGGTATTGTTGGGGCTATCGCCGCCATTTGTCTTCTTCTTGCGGTTAAAGAGCTTTCCTAGGGCACCTCGAAGAGTCGATTGCTTGCGCT